TTCCACCACCCCCACGCGTCCAGTGAGGGCGCGCGCTCTCCACCGCCGCAAGCCGAATGTGACGCGCCCCGCGACCGCGCGATCGTTCGCCCCGCGACCGCTGTGTCCGGCTGAGGGGGGTGGGGGGGTGGGTTGGCCGCTTGCAACGAGGAGACGCAAGGGTCCTGGCAAGCGCTTGGGAAATTGGCGTGCCGTGAAATTGGAACGCCCGTTGCCCCCCTCCCTCCCCCAGCCGTCTGTGCTCTCAGCCTCCCGCCCCTGGCTCAGGCGCTTCCGCTTCTCCTCTTTTTGTGTGATGTGTCTTAACATTTTATACCAAGCCTTTTGTCCGTCCAAGGACGGGTGTATTTCATTAAATCTGAAACTTGCAAGTGAAAAGCAGACCGCGACGCGATATGCATTGCATCCATTCGTGTGCGATTTGTAAGGGCGCGGTGACACAGACCTATTTAATGTAAAGGTTTATAATCCCTTGTTGATCACGACGTCCTTTTTACTTTGATGTCTCAACAGCGTCACGGAGATCGCGTGACGTGAGGGTTCTGCCTTTGTTAGTGAGGGTTGTAAGTTGACGCCGAGGAGGGGGGAGGAGGCGCCTCGGCCCCCCATGTGGAGTGACGTCAGCCGCTAATTAATATTAATAGTGGGGGGGGGTATCCATTTGAAGACGTCACCTTTTCATGATTATTAATGTCGGGGGCTGTTCGATGTGGAGTGACGTCACCTGCTCATGATTATTAATTAGGGGGGGTGCTACATGTGGAGTGACGTCACCCGCTTATGATTATTAATGAGGGGGGGAGGGGTCCATGTGGAGGACGTCACCTGTTCATAAGTATTAATGAGGGGGGCTGGCCGAAGTGGAGTGACGTCACGCGCGGGACACACGGAAAATTCTCGGCTCATTTACAGGAGTAAATATATTATAGTGCACGTACACATTCTGCGCGTGCTCGCTTGTTTGCGCGCGACGGAGGCGTCTCGCACGTTTTGTATAGAATCTTGAGACGTAGCGGCTGCGTGCAGACGCCCCGGTGATCCGCGCTGTAATATTGTTGCCGGCGGTTTTGTTGTCGCGTTCGGCGCCCGCCGCGTTCACGTTCGCACGAAGGGCGCACAGGTCGCGGCTAAAAAGGAAACGCAGGGGGGCCGGCCGGGCGGGCGTGCGTGCGTGCGTGTTCTCGTCTCTTAAGCGCCCGCCGGCCCGGCGAGTCGGCGGTCAGTGTCTTTACGTGTCGGGAAAAGGCAGAATAAAGTTGGTTGTAATTATTATAATGAACAATCCTCTCTTTTGTGTCAATTATCGTCCAACTGGTCACGGCGCAGCCGCTTGCTTGTTTGCACCTCCGATTGGCACGGCTGGCTACGTGCGGTGCGAAATAAGTTCACCGTGCGTACGTACGTACACGCGACGTGGCGGTTGCAGAACCTGCGTTCGCGATGTCCGACGCGCGGCCGTTTCGATGAAGGTTGCCTCTGGCCGCGGGATGCCTTTGTCCTCGGTGTCGACGTTTGTAGTGCCCGAGACACCTGCGAGAATGAGCGCGTTGTGGCTGACAACAGTCGGTTGAGGCTACACGGGGGGACCTTTGTCTTTGTGTGCGTCGAGTCGGTAGTTTAGCGGCCAGCGCGCTGCAGCAACGGATACGGCGACCCGGGTTCGATTCCCGCTCACGGTTAGAACCAGTGACGATTACCTGAACTGGTTCTGGTCGTCCCCTAGGTCGACTCAGTCTCAAATGAGTAGCCGGTGCAGTGTGTAAACATCGCCACTCGGGAGACAAAGGCAGCCGGGCGTGGTGCTGGCCACCCACCCCCATGAGTGCCGTGCCGGCCTTCATAGGTGCTCGCTAACAGCACTTGCCCCAACAATCTGTTCGGCTATACGGGGGATCTTTGTCTTTGTGTTGTGTGTGTGCGTGTGCGGTTGTGCTGGCTCCCCGTCCTCAAGCTTGGGACATGGTCGGCTCATGGGGACGTTGTGCACACGTGGTGAACCTCCCGGTGTATTGTCCACCACCGATGTTGATTAAAAAAAACCGCAGCTTTTTGCACAAAGGACCTCGTTTGTGATTTTTCTTTTTTTATCCGTGTTTTGTTTACAAAGCGTAAAAGTAGCGGGCACTCATAGCGGCCACGCTCTTGCGCTGCAGTCGGTGAGAATGACGGCGGTGTATTGTGGTTCGGATATGGCACGAACTGAAACCCGGTAGGTAAGCCGACGTTGGTCTAACGTTGTCATGTAGTTGTAACCGTTGGACGAACGTTGACGCAGCGTTCCACGTTTTGATGGGGACACGTCGCAAAACACCGGTTAACTTTTGACGACCTCTTAGTTGGGCGTTTGCGCACAATATAATACGAAAAAAATACAACTAAGAAATTCCTCCGATTAATCTCATTCGCGTAGTAGCATCTTTTTTTAATTTATAAATTTCATACCAAAACATGATGACGCAGACTTTTATTGAATATTAAATATGCGAATCCTGAAAGTTGATTTTTTGCCCCCATCTTTAAAAAAAAGAAGGCTGTCAACCGAACCGTTGCCCTTCTAAAAAAACAAATATGGGCCAAAAATATTAAGACATTAATCGTTTGTTCGTTTCTCAATCCGCTTGTCCTGGTGGAGGTCGGGGCTTCAGCATGTTGAGTAGGGCAGTCCAGACCTTCCTTTCCCTGGCGACAGACTCTAGCTCTACAGTACTATACACTACACTATACACTACTATACATTACTATACGCTACTATACATTACTGTACACTACTATACATTGCTACACTATCCACTACACTATACACTACTATACACTACACTACTATACATTACTATACACTACTACACTATCCACTACACTATACACTACACGCTACACTACTATACATTACTATACACTACTACACTATCCACTACACTATATACTACACTACTATACACTACACTACACGCTACACTACTATACATTACTATACACTACCGCACTATCCACTACACTTTACACTATACTACTATACACTACACAGTACACTACTATACACTACACTACACGCTACACTACTATACATTACTGAACACTACTACACTATCCACTACACTATACACTACTATACACGACACTATACACTGACTCCTAGCTCTTCCTGGGGAATTCCCAGGCGTTCCCAGGCCAGCCGAGCGACATCGTCTCGCCTTCGTGTCCCGGGCCAACCCCGGGGTCTTCACACAGTTATGCATATTTGCATTTTTTGTTACATTTATGGTCAAGAATTGCACATGTTTTTTCTCACAGAGAGGTAATAACCGACTTGGTTTTTTTTTGCTTCTATCAACAAATAATATTCTGCACGGAAATATCCAGTTTGTAGTCACACAGGACTGAGGGGTTTATTGAAAATGAAATAAAGAATTGCCCTTGTTTATGTTGAGCAAAACTTTTATGGATGCCTCAATTATTACATCTGAAGTACGCAGAGGACGGAGTGGGAGGTAGTACAGTTGCTATTACGCCGTGCTTTTAACACAGCGGACTAGAGTTCGATCCCTGGTCAAGGTTGCGTACATCATCAGAAGCGGTTCTGCCACCCTTCATTCACAAACCCGCACTGACCAGCGTGGTGAAGTATGGTTAAGTATTAACACACCACTCATCAACAATATTATAATCTACGAAGGCCATTTCATCCAAAAACACCACCTATGATATATATTTATTTGTTTCATTTTAAGGCCACCACAGTGTTGTTGAAAAAACAAACATGCGTTGATTTATTTGTTGTTGATAATTGCACTCGTGCACCACTGCCAACGCAGCGTCACCAATCAATGATGGTGAAGTATGGCCATTGAATCTTCCATGGGAAGGAGAAGCCTTCATTCAACGGTTAATTCTCATTGCAACAAAGACTTCTTTACACCATCGTCCTCAAAACAAATCAGACTCAAAATGAATCGGTAATCGTGAAAACCAAAACAAATTGTCGGTTATGGAGGTTGTTTTTACCATACTTCACCACGCTGGTCAGTACCTGTTGATTGAAGCGATAGCCCGGGGGATCACTGATGTTAGCCGTGCCTGGGAATGGGTCACCTCCGATTGGCGCGGTTGGCTACGCACGGTGCGAAAGAAGTTCAACGTACGGTACATACACACACTTCACCGGCGTTCATAGCGCAGTGCGCTGACCTCCGTGCCACCGAATATTAAGAATTTAGTTTCGTACAACGTTATGAGTTTCAAATTCAGCGACACGGCTGTATCCGACAATCTTTCTCGTGTTTTTCTCCACAACGTGCTTAATACCGCATTCTAATTATGCCAAATTTATAAATACACAAAACGTACGTGTGTATTATGGTGTAATTGGATGTCTTTCGTATGCGATATGAACCGCGCACTTTCACATGGTAATTTGATATTCTGATAAAATAATACAACGTTGGCACTCGAAAGTCTAGCAGATATGTGTTCCGTCCTCTGATGGAGCTGCATTGTTTACCCAGTGCCGTTAATAGTCGAGCCCTCTCTATGCTGATGTGGTCTTTTTGCAACATCAATGCCAAATACTGCATTTTTAAAGTGCACGGCCAATTTGAAAGTATAAGAGAGGTATGCAACAAAACTGATTACCATATCAAAAACATGTCGCTCATTTTACTTTCAAATACCCGCTAATTATCCCATGCTCAAAGACTATTTTAATGCTTTATTTAGGGATTAATTGATCACCCCCCCTCCGCCTCCATGAAAATCCATGGCGCTTTTGCAGCCAATGCTGTGCGGCGGAGCTCCACGGGAATGACACCACGAGCGGTCGTGACGATCCCATTCGGGCTTTCACGTCGTCCGGGCCTGCTAACAACCATCGTCCACCAACGCAACCACGAAGCCCGAGTCCGACCAATCAACCGTCTGGCAACCGAGCGGCGGAATTGACGGCAACGCGAGATCGTCAAGTGCCAACGAGGTAGCTCGTCCTCCCGCGGGTGTTGATCCCTGAAATGCCACGGAAGAGCGCAGAGTCCCCCCTCGCGGGGACGCGAACGAGAGAGCGACTCGGAAAAACCCAGGCGAACTCTCGGCTCGGAGAGAGAGGACGTTGCCGCCTATTGACGAGGCTGCTCCGCTGTCGATGCACGGGCGACGACGACCCCGTCGACGGGACGTCGCCACCATCGCCACCGAGTGTCCCTGCCAGCGCAAAAGCTCGCGTGGCCGACGCCGAGGGCGGTTTGACCGGCGGCGCCACGGCGGCCGAGGCTGCCGGAGCCGTTCGGCGGCACGCCGAGAAGCGCGCCGCGGGAACGACCGCCGCGCCGGGAGGCGCCGACGCCGGTGAAGACCGCGAGGGCGACCGGCGGGTTCCGACGCGGCCGGAATCCGGTGGTGGAGGCGGCGCGCGCGCCGAGTGGCGCAAGAGGGCGGCCAGTTTCTCCGGCAGCCTGACGCTGTCCCCGCAGCCCGGCGGGCGCGGCGGCCTCGGAAGGAGGAAGAAGAAGCTCGCGGCTTTGGCCTCGCTGCCCAACGTGGAGACGCGTCGGATGGAGGTGAGCGTGAGCAGCGAGGAGGAGATGGCCGGAATTGAGAACCTTGCGTGTGGCGCCGGCGGCGATGACGGCGAGACTGTGGCAGCAGCTGGCGGCGGCCTCTCCATGCCGACGATAAACTTCATCCCTGCCAGCCCGTCGGACGTCCTGGAAGACGACCAATTCTTCGAGATCAACTCGGAGGAAGAGGAGGAGCGGGCCGCGAGCCCTCCGCCGTCGTCGGACAGCGACTGCGTGGACAGCTCGGGGAGCCACGCCACGGTGGAGCGAGAGAACGCGACGGGGAACGCCGGCGACGCGAAGAACTCGGAGGCGTCGCTTGCCCTGCCCGCGACGGACACGGCCAAGGAATTCCAGGGGGCCGTGGCGCGAGAGGGCGCGGAGGAGACGGCGGAGGAAGCCGAGGTGCCGGGCGGCGATCGGCACGGGCTGGTCGACGCCGTTGAGGATGCCACCGCTGCCGCCACCGCCGCCACCAAGAAGAGGAAAAGCTTCCGGCTGAATTCGGAGATCACCAATGCGCAGCTGAACGCGTTTCCGCAAACTCACCCAAGAAAAGGTACGGACGAGGGAGCGCACGGTCGTAAACAATTGTTGTTGTTGTTGTTGTCCTTCCCCCGCACCTCCGATGAGCACGGTAGGCGACGTACGGCGTGAAAGAAGTTCAACACGCATGTATGCAATGGCAGTCGCATTTTGACATTTTGTGAGCGGCAATAATCACGATGATCATTCGAGAACGTCCTGGGTGGCGCTGGAGTTGGCATCGCTTAGAAGTCTAGGGTCGAATCCAATTCAGCCATCTGTGAATATGAACTGGGCTTCTCGAGTGCAGCAGCGAGTTGAAGGTCTCAGCCCGGCCATCATTTGAATGCACAAAAAAACGCAAAGCTCTGAACGACATAAAATTTGGTTATTTGCTTGATTTGGCGAAATTCCAGCTCTGAGAATGAAAAAAATTGGTCTGATATAAAATCGACAAACATTTCTCTCTATGTCAGAGAATAGGAAAGTACTACGTATACCAGAGGTCACTTGAAGGTTTTTCAAAGGTGGTAGCTGTATGATGTCTCTCTCTCTCCGTGGACTAATCTGTCCCACCGCTTTGTGGCAGTGGGTTAATGGTGTGACAGCGATACATTTTCTTTGGAGAGATGAATTTTTTACGGTAAACAGTATGTTATTTATTTATTTACAAAAGCATCTAAATACAAGTGCGTACAAATATGTTTTACAAGGCAACGTTATCAACATGAATGAAACAAAGACGTCGATACCCCGTATAGCTTTAACAGACTGTTGGGGAAGGTGCTTTTAGCGAGCACCTATGAAGGCCGGCACGGTACACGAGGGGGTGGGTGGCCAGCACCACGCCCGACCGCCTTTGTCTCCCCAGTGGCGATGTTTTTACACAGCACCAGGCACTAATTTGAGGCTGAGTCGACCTAGGGGAGGCCCATGTCCGGTTCAGATAATCGCCACTGGTTTTGGCCGTGAGCGGGAATCAAACTCGGGTCGCTGGGTTTGTAGTGCAGCGCGCTAACCGCTACACTACCGCTCCCCACCTGTTCCATCAACATGAGCAGCACACACACAAACAAATGAACACATAAAAATATTTACAACATGAAAAAGTCTAATTATGAAATGTGAGTTGGGTAGATTGCGTCATGGTCACGCCAATGTTGTGCTGATCCATGTTGTGTGTTTAGTGTTGCGGTCATATTGTAAACTGTGTATGCGTGCGGCACAAATACTGGATTGCCGGACACATCTCTGTTTGATGTTGTTATTGCGTTTTCATTTCACGCAGGAAGTTTTAACGAAGGCATCAACCTACTGCAGTTCACGGAACAGAATATCGGTACGTTTGGGGGTTGTTTGGCCTTTCATTCGTTGTTTGCGGTTGAACATGCAGGCTTTCGCGAACGATTCCACGATTCATAATCGATTCTTTATTTGCGGCTGTCAGGTATGCGGCACATAGTTTTGCTTCTGCGATCTGGCCCAAAAAATCGATTGAATGTTTTGTAGTTTTTGAAATATTATTTATTAATGACCTCAAATATTTTGAACGTATATATATTTCTAGATGAATTGAATACAAAAGAGTGTGACATGAGAGACCGGTTGGTTCAAGAGATGCAAAAGCTGCACCTGCAATCGGACTCTCTGAACAAGGTAACTTCATCATCACGCGTACCACAAAAACTGCATCATTAAAATACAGATAAACAATGTTGTTGCTCAGGGGTCCAGACAAATACAAAGGTCCCCCGAATAGCCTCGTTTTGTATTAGTGTGCTGTGTCACCACAACGTTTGCTCTGGTGTTTCCCACGTGCCTGCAACATTTCTCCTGCACGGTATTCATGCTGCAGCCTGCGCAACCCTACGGGGTTGAGAATCGCTGGCGTAGCGCCTCTGGCGTGTAAATGCCCTGCATTGCACGTACGCATTATTTGGTGGCAGCACGAATACTAAAAATAACCCAATGGCCTTAAAAGACAAACATATAGACTGGGCGGCACGCAATAACACGTACGGTAAGTGCTTGCTTAAAGCGTGGTGTTCACAATGTAAACGCGTTTTCGCTATCATGCGATTCTTCCATGGGGGAACTCCTTCGCTCAGCGAGGAACGCGCGCACCGCTATAACGAGGAACACGCGCCGTTATAATGTAGACACGCGCACCGCTATAACGAGGAACACGCGCCGTTATAATGCAGACACGCGCACCGCTATAACGAGGAACACGTGCCGTTATAATGCAGACACGTGCACCGCTATAACGAGGAACACGCGCCGTTATAATGCAGACACGCGCACCGCTATAACGAGGAACACGTGCCGTTATAATGTAGACACGCGCACCGCTATAACGAGGAACACGCGCCGTTATAATGCAGACACGTGCACCGCTATAACGAGGAACACGTGCCGTTATAATGCAGACACGTGCACCGCTATAACGAGGAACACGCGCCGTTATAATGCAGACACGCGCACCGCTATAACGAGGAACGCGCGCCGTTATAATGCAGATACGTGCACCGCTATAACGCGGAACGTGTGCACCGTTATCACGCGGCTTCTGAGTGGTCGACGCCGAACTACTTTCTTGAGCTGTGAAGCTGAGCGGTACAATGATACAGGACGAGGAATAATGCTAAACGGTATCGTTAGATTATTTATGGGTAAATTGCGTTTTTTTCGTTCAACTTGGCATTTTTCAGGAACGCATTCTACTGCTGTATTAAACGAGGTCTGATCATGCGCGCCGTAACTTTCACACTGACGCCGTTACAGCCTTGTGACGCCGTTACGTCCCCTAACGGCCGGCATGAGAAGTCACTGTTGGAATTTAAATAACAAAATAAACACGAGGAATGCATACCTGTCAACCCCTTGTCAGTGCCCTACCTTATTGCAGACCAATTTAGACCTTATTGCTCACCCCGTGCCCCTTATAAATCTCAACGTTCATCCTACAAAGTCCAATCACAAGGGAGAAACACAAATTTATTTTCTTTTTGCCCGCATTGAAACGGCTGTACGCCGCATGGACCTGAAAACTCAATTTGCCTGTACAAGCATACGTGCTAAACCCTATGGGTTGACGACAGCGTTGGGAATGTCTCCCCACAGCCGCGTCATGTCAGAAGCATTGATTCGAGACACAAGCAACAACCCTTGATTGCTTTCGACACTCGGCGCGTCTCGTCAGCGGAGTTGAGGCTTGCTTTTAAAATAAATGCTGGAGAGAATTGGCGACCTTGCAGGCAAGGGTACACTGCTCCCCCCCCTCCCTCCCCCTTGCTCGCTTTGTCCTCAATCAATGCTGGTGGAAAAGTCCGCGGATCCCAGAAGGAAGGGGGCCGTGTTGGCTGTGGTGGGGGGGTTACGCGCGAGAACGCGGGTGGTGGAGAGATGGAACAGGGTACGCACGGCGCGAAGGGAACGCGCGAGTGGAGCGTTCTTGCCGGGTGCCTTTCGCTAGCGGGAGACGCGGACGAGGAGCAGGGCGGGGAGGACGCGCAGTGCGGGCGCGGCGCTACGGCGGCCGCACGCGGAGCAGGGAGACGCGACAGCGGCCCTCTCCGTGTCCCCCGATGACGGCTCAGCCCGGCCGAGGCGCGCCACGCTGGGTGAGGGGGCAGCAGTGACGGCATTGTCAGCTCAGCGGGCGGGGTGGGGTGGTTGCAGCAATCGGTCAAGGAGGGCCCCGATGCGCAGTGTCGGATTATCCCAGGAGCACAAGTTGCTACGTATGTAGTAGCTGCATATGTAGTAGCTACTACATGTGTAGTAGCTACTACACATGTAGTAGCTACTACACATGTGGTAGCTACTACATGTGTAGTTGCTACGTATGCTACGGGCCCCGCAATTTCAAGGGCCCCGCGCTAAATTTCAAGCCATCAATTCCGTTTCAGTGATTCTGCACTTGCTCTATTACTATAGTACTATACCGCCTTCGACTTTTACGATCGACTGGGTGTTTACGGTTTGCGATTTGTCGTATTATCTGGCTGTATAACAAATAAAAAAATACAATTACTCTACTATGCAGGTAAACAAAAATGTGTGTTTTAATATAATTGTTTAATTTCGGGCCCCTTTATAACGTATGTTACAGGCCCCGCACGAGCTTAATCCGGCACTGCCAATATAGGGTGCTTAAAAACAATGTTTAACACTTCTGAGAATTTGCAACAATAACCACGTGACATGTGCTGCTGCCTCCGGGCTCTGGAGACCACCTGGAGAAGATTCCAGGCCACGTGTTGACAACGATGGCGAATAAGTGGAGACTTTTTGAAGCTATTGACATTACACTTGTTATCATGTTACAATGCATTATCCGCTCTTTTCAAATTGAAAACGATAGGCCCATGTAGGTGTTAACATTTTTTTGAAGCACCCCGCGTTTGATTTGTCTTGCATGGGGCTATTATATATCGCGGCTCCACGTGTACAATAACCGTGGTTAGTTTGGTGCTCTCTTTACATCTCACGGTGATTGGCAAGGGCCCTCAACCCCCCACCCCCCACCGCCTCCCAACTCGTAGCTTTGGCCACCAAGGCAAAGATACGCTCGTTACTCTTCTGGTGAGGGAGGGGCACCCCCCCCCCCTCACTCCCCCCCCCACCCTCCTTGATCGTCTCGAGGGGTGGGGTGGTGGGAGGAAGCTTTGTGGTGGGGGGGGGGGGTGTTCAGTGACGTCAGCACTCGTGATCCCGATTCATTTGTCCGGCCGCCCGCCCGCCCGCCAGCCAGCCAGCCAGCAAAACTTCTAAACGAAATCTACTGTAGTCTGATACTTGATTGTGAAAAACAATAATTCGCAATTGGCACGGTGCTAAACGCTTGTTTGTACACGTGACAGGTTAACGGGTTAATTTGTTTGGCTCTGTCGGGTTGGGGGAGACGGTTTTAACAAAACGAATGTTTTGTTCAATCTTGATTTGAGGCTTTCGTGACTGCAGAAATCCATACTCTTTGGTTCTTTCGGTAAAGTCACGTAGGTAGAAAAATAAAATAAAACAACAAAATAATAATATATCACGACGTTTCGATCGCAACACAAGCGGTCGTCTTCAGGCAGAAAAATAATCCAGCAGTGGAACTGCTGATTCAGCCTCGATCGTGAATGAGTCTATGGGTCTCTCTATGTGAGTATATGGGTCTCTGTGAGTGAGTCTATGGGTCTCTGTGAGTGAGTCTATGGGTCTCTATGAGTGAGTCTATGGGTGTCTCTATGTACGTCTATGGGTCTCTGTGAGTGAGTTCATGGCTGTCTGTGAATGAGTCTATGGGTCTCTCTATGTGAGTATATGGGACTCTGCGAGTGAGTATATGGGTATATGTGAGTCTATAGGTCTATGTGAGTCTATGGGTCTGTGTGAGTGAATCTATGAGACTCTCTATGTGAGTCTATAGGTCTCTGTGAGTGAGTTCATGGGTGTCTGTGAGTGAGTCTATGGGTTTCTCTATGTGAGTCTATGGGTCTCTGTGAGTGAGTCTATGGGTCTCTGTGAGTGAGTCTATGGGTCTCTATGAGTGAGTCTATGGGTGTCTCTATGTACGTCTATGGGTCTCTGTGAGTGAGTTCATGGCTGTCTGTGAATGAGTCTATGGGTCTCTCTATGTGAGTATATGGGACTCTGCGAGTGAGTATATGGGTATATGTGAGTCTATAGGTCTATGTGAGTCTATGGGTCTGTGTGAGTGAATCTATGAGACTCTCTATGTGAGTCTATAGGTCTCTGTGAGTGAGTTCATGGGTGTCTGTGAGTGAGTCTATGGGTTTCTCTATGTGAGTCTATGGGTCTCTGTGAGTGAGTCTATGGGTCTCTGTGAGTGAGTCTATGGGTCTCTATGAGTGAGTCTATGGGTGTCTCTATGTAAGTCTATGGGTCTCTGTGAGTGAGTTCATGGCTGCCTGTGAATGAGTCTATGGGTCTCTCTATGTGAGTATATGGGACTCTGTGAGTGAGTATATGGGTATATGTGAGTCTATAGGTCTATGTGAGTCTATGGGTCTGTGTGAGTGAATCTATGAGACTCTCTATGTGAGTCTATAGGTCTCTGTGAGTTCATTGGTGTCTGTGAGTGAGTCTATGGGTTTCTCTATGTGAGTCTATGGGTCTCTGTGAGTGAGTCTATGGGTCTCTGTGAGTGAGTCTATGGGTCTCTATGAGTGAGTCTATGGGTGTCTCTATGTAAGTCTATGGGTCTCTGTGAGTGAGTTCATGGCTGCCTGTGAATGAGTCTATGGGTCTCTCTATGTGAGTATTTGGGACTCTGTGAGTGAGTATATGGGTATATGTGAGTCTATAGGTCTATGTGAGTCTATGGGTCTGTGTGAGTGAATCTATGAGACTCTCTATGTGAGTCTATAGGTCTCTGTGAGTGAGTTCATGGGTGTCTATGAGTGAGTCCATTGGGTTTCTCTATGTGAGTCTATGAGTCTCTGTGAGTGAGTCTATGGGTCTCTGTAAGTGAGTCTATGGGTCTCTATGAGTGAGTCTATGGGTGTCTCTATGTAAGTCTATGGGTCTCTGTGAGTGAATTCATGGGTGTCTGTGAGTCTATGGGTTTTTCTATGTGAGTCTAAGGGTCTCTGTGAGTGAGTCTATGGGTCTCTGTAAGTGAGTCTACGGGTGTCTGTGAGTGAGTCTATGGGGTTCTATGAGTGAGTCTATGGGTCTCTGTGAGTGAGTTAATGGGTGTCTGTGAGTGAGTCTATGGGTTTCTCTATGTGAGTCTATGAGTCTCTGTGAGTGAGTCTATAGGTCTCTGTAAGTGAGTCTATGGGTCTATGTGAGTGAGTCTATAGGTCTCTACGAGTGAGTCTATGGGTGTCGCTATGTAAGTCTATGGGTCTCTGTGAGTGAGTCTATGGGTCTCTGTGATGGTGCCGGGTGCGTTTCATCGGCGCTGCGTGTTCTCACTCAAAAGCGCTTTCTAGATTTTTTCATTTTTTTCGTAAGGACAAATTGACATGAACAAGGGCTATTGTCCGAAACGTCGTCAATTTGACATATATGTCATGACAAATTTTACGAATTTTTTCTTTTAAGGTAGTATTGTTCAACTTTAGTGTTTTTGTTTTGTTTGACTTGATGGATGGGTTTTAAATCGTTTATATGAATCGTGATATTAGGCTCGAAACCCCGACGTGTTAAGAGTTAATGGTGTGGGCTCAGGGGTGTGAGGCTTTGGCCGTGTCTGTTCATGTCCCACCCTCGGTGGCGTTATAAACAAAGCCTGGAGGTTGATCAAAACTGACGGGATCTATCTCTCTGGCAGAGATCGTTGCTCAAGATTGAGTCATTTACCGTCAGTCTGGGGAAGCTGCCCGAATCTGAACGCGACGAGAAGGGCTTTTGATGTTTTGTTGTTGTTCAAGAGTTCAACAGTTAAAGAGTCAAAAGTTTGAAATGAACCCGGACCACTAGCTTTCGTTCCCCTCCCCCCACCCCTCTCAGTTTCTGTCACGATCGATTATATTCATGACTTATGCACGTGCTTGGGAACTCAAAAAAGTACAATGCAAATTAAATTAGTTAAAATATTTGGCAGTCTAATTCTTAAACATTCTATTTGTGAGTGTGATCCGTTACACACCTCTAGCTTCGTGCGGTGGCGTTAATTCCGTGCGTTATGAATACTTTGGCCCATCGTTTTATTTCCCCCGGTTCACGACTAACATCAGTGGCGAACAATATCCGAACCCAATCCTGGGGCTCCCCTTCACCAAAACCTGCACCGACCAGCAGGGTGAAGTATGCTTCAGAAACTTCCGTGACAGTAGTGGAGAAAGAGTGTTGGCTTATAACGATGACGTTTCATTATTTGCACCAGACTTTTTGGAGCAATCCCAGGTCTACCTTTGCTCAAGTGACTTTGCCGACTCAGAGTTAAACAATTCATTCGCTGCTACTGCTGCTGCTGCTGTTTTGGCGATGGTGCACAAGCACAATTTAAAAACGACAAAACCATCAACATTCGTCAACAACAATGTATCCTGTCGAGAATATACGTGCATATCTATCATATGCACGTATATTTCATTTGCACATAAACAGAGGACATTCACCCGCTTTAAATAAAGTCAACTGCAGAAGCTACATCAGTACTTATAAACTTAATTTCTTGAGAACCGCCTTTTTGTGTGGCGTGTTGTCCTTCCCCCGCACCTCCGATCAGCACCGTTGGCTACGGTACGGCGCATAAGAAGTTCTACACACGGCGCGTAGATGATAGATGTATCCGTCTCCTCTTGACGGAGATCGGCTAGGACGGCGAAACTCGACGCTCCAGCAACTTCGTGCGGTGTGTGTGTGTAGAAGCATCGGTACTGGGTGAGATAAAGACGGCCGGGATCGCGGTGTCACGCCGCCCTGCCCCTCCACCCCATTCCCCCCCCCCCCCCCCCCGCAGCGATGTACGTACCGGGTTCGCCTCCCCCGCTGAGTGATCGGAAGACGCCCGGCGCTTGTCCAGTAAGTTCCTCGCATCGAGGACGCGGCAGCAGCAGCAGCAGTAACAACGACGACAACCGACATTCACCACTCAGTGGCTGCTTGCGCCAATCCAAGTGCACACGAGTTCACGCACGCGCGCGCGCGCGCAGAGGCAAAAGGTTCAAGCCGTGTAGCCCATCATCGGCGGGCTGTCGGGGGCAAAGTGCTGTGAGCGAGATCTGACACATGTGTGGCTAGTACTAGTTGAGGCTCCTGTGCTATCTTGAAGAGGCAGCAGCACAAATCTACCAAGGCAGGACCTGTGGCTGCACCTCAGAGCTTGACATCCTCCCTGACCTGTCCAGTGTGCCACAGATAATTCCGGGCTCGGATTGGCCTGTTCAGCCATCTGCGCACTCATCAAAACCCAGCAAAATGACAAACGTGCCATGGTCATCATCAACTATGATGGACGAACAAGAGAGGGGGAGACTACCACCACGCGCGGCCGTCTTTGTCTCACCCAGTGCGGATGCTTCTACGCACACAAGCACTAGTTTGGATTACACCTGGAGAGGCTCTTAAAAGCCGGTTCAGACGCATTGCTCACCACTGGTGTTAGCCAAAGCCAGGAAACAAACGCGTATCGCAGGGTTTGTCGCGTATGTATGTACTGCGTGGTGAACTTCTTTCGTGCCGTATGTAGCCAGCCGTGCTAATCGGAGGTGCGGGGGAAGGACAACAAACTAAAGCTGCAATGTCACCACTCCCCGCTCAAAGACACACGACACAGTATAGCATTTAACAGGGGCAAGTGCTGCGATGAAAGTGTGCCGATAGGGCATACAAGCGAGTGGGGTGCCTATCACTACTCCCGGCCGACTCCGTCTCCCAAGTGCTGATGCTTACACACCGCACAAGATACTAATTTGAGGCTGAGCCGACCTAGAGGGAGGCTCAGGGCCGGTTCAGATAATCGTCACTGATGTTGGCCTCGAGCGGGAGTCCAACTCTGGTCGCTGGGTTCGTAGCGCAGCGTGCTAACTGCTGCGCCACCGCTCCCCGCACACATATGCGCAGACACACAAACAAACGCACAGACCCGATGCATCGACACAATTGCTTTTATTTGATTGAATAAACATATCACCCTCCATTCTCCTAGTCCCAAAATAAATATCACTTTTAGTCAGCTTGTTCGCCTTTAGCCAGCAGAACTTGCTCAAGGAAATAAACTTCGGACCAGTTTCGCCCTTCTGGGTCTCGTCAGCAGTGTCATGCTTGCTAATCGAATGCTGCTTGTTTGCCAGATGTGATCTGAGTCTACTTGCAGCGGCTTTGTGATTTGAGTCTACTCGCAGCAGGCATGTAATTTGGGTTTACTGGCAGAAGGTGTAGAAATTGAGGCTACTGGCAGGTGGTGTAAGCCATCGTGTCTTCACAATGGAACAATGACAGTAGAATGCTATCGGGCTCTCTCCGACACACAGTGTACATCTGTGAATGCGAAAGGAAATCGCTTACATCTGCGAGTCGGGTACAAACCTTTCCATTCTGCCCATTTATTTTTCCCACATCCTCCGAGGACAATGTAATTTGTTCCAATCACCCTAAGAATAAATTACATTTCTAAACGACTCAAACAGGGCCGGGTCATCGTCGTTATTATCATCATCATCATCCAGACACAGAGTCACGGGCCTAATGGGCTCCGTGTTTATTGCCACAAAGACAGCAGCGGTCGGCGGAGTGGAGGGGAGCAGCAGCAGCAGGAGGAGGAGGAAGGCGCTGGAGGAGATGGAGAGCGATGGCGCCTGTGCGTGGCTTCAGGCGATGGGCATGGAGAGGCTGGGAATCGTCGTTAGAGGTAATTTGCCAGAAAACGTCTCTGTCTGTCATCACATTCCCGCGCCGTCTTCTCGGAGGGCTGGCGGGTCGATTTAAACAATTTACGTGAGATGCCAAGTCAAATAGGCCAGCCTCTCTCCCTCCCTCCCTCTCCGTCCGCCCTCCAAACGATGACTTCACTCCGCTTTAAAGTTGAACTGCAGAGACGCTCGGTGCGCATTACACTGAGCGCGGAAAATATGTTTTAAATATTTGGGCTTGGTATTGAGTTGACTTTTTTTTGTTCAAAGTTTGTAATTTGTTATATAATAAACAAGCCAAAAATGACAAGAGCCAGAAGACTTACGAGCCATCGAGACGGTTTGGCGCATTTGAAAAATAAAATGTTGCATTATCTCATTTTTCGGGGGGTGGGAGGGAGGAGGGGGCATTTCATGTGTTGCGGCTGCACAGTGACAAGATCTGTAAATAAAATGTTCGACCTCACGACGGCTAGAGGAACCACAATGCGCAAAGCAAGTGAACGGGATACGAATTCAAATTAATTTAACATAAACACAAGAGGGATGACCCTGGTGACCTGAGTTCGATACGCTTGCCGCAGCAGACGTTGCGTCGCGAGTGGCAGCTCAAACTGGTCCTTGGGCAAGCTGTGACCCATCCACAAACCCGCGCTTAACCGCCTTGGTGGCAGTTCGGTCAAACAAATCCCCGCGACGGCACACTGACAGAGTCATCGTTACTGGAGAACCACCAGCCTCAAGCCACCTGCTGGGACAGTCCCTGCTCGAGTCTCGGCAGCTTCTGCCTTAACCGGCACTGGAACGCCGCGTCTCTGAGACATCGGCCAGGCGTCGAGGCGCGGAGGCCGTCCTTCTGAGGTTGCCAACAGAACAGCGCTGACAGAGAGCTGTAAATTATTATCATCGTTATAAGTTATGTAATGTAATACAAATAGACCAGATTTTTGTGTGGTGGTCGTTATTATGTTGGAGAGTAAACCGGACTTAATTAAATTAATCTTTATGAACTTATGAAGTCATCACGCAAAGCGACATCCTGGCCACCGATGATGGTTCATGTGAGATTTCTGCTGCAAATTCTCATTTCAAACGATTCTCGGCCAGAATTCGCAACTTGCAAAAATGGCCAAACAAAACACCGTCGCTCGCGGAATTCATTCAGTTGAGAGTAAATTGGAGCAGTTGGTATTTTTTTTCTCCAAGCCCTGTATGTATGTTGAACTTGTTTCGCACCGTACGTAGCCAATCGTTGGTAATCAGAGGTGCGGGGGAAGGACAACAAACTAAATACAAAAATCAGTTCTAAAGAAAAAATAAATAAATCTAGATTTAAAAGTGCATAGCTTCCAGTGGCTTCCTAATATCGGAAGGAAGAGCGTTCCAGACGGCCGCAGAAGCGCACCTGAAAGCGCCCCGCGATGCAGTGACCGTCTTTGTTCGATGGCCAGCAGCCAAAAGCCGCTGTGAGGATGACCGGAGTTCACTTCAATAAGTTGCAACATTTGCCAACACACATCTCGCCTAGGATTGACTCGTCATAATCCCCACCAGCATCGAATTACAATGCATCCATTATCATCGTCACCATCAATCCCCGCCGACCAACCGAACGGGCGACCGAGCCGAGACGAGAGGTCGCTTTGCTTTTGCCGCAGGCGAGCGGCTCGCCGGGCGCCACCTGGCCTCCATGGACCCCGAGACGCTCGAGTCGCTGCGGCTGCGTTCGTGGGCCGAGCGCGAGCGGCTCCTCTCGGCCCTCTACAGCGAGACGCACTCACGGGAGGCGCGCGCCGTCGACTCGCTCCTCCGTGAGACCCCCGTCTCACCTACACCCGCCCGCCCCCCCGCCCCACTTCCCCGCTACGCAGGGCGGCTCTGTCCGTCCGTTCACTCCCAACCGTCGACGTTTCTGTGGCGTCGTTAGTCGATTAAGTTTGTTGAGCCATCTGGGCCCGGATTGGGCAAAAAGCCGAGCCCACTTTTTACCCAGGAAACTGGAGAGCAGCACAGACTAAGTGTTGCTCACGTGCCCTTAAAACGAACAATAACATGTTTAAAAATCACGGTTAAGAGACAAAAAACATATATACTATAATCTTGGTTGTTTCGGTAAAGTCACGTTGAAGGGAAACAATAAAATAATAGAATATATTTATTGTTTTCTATATATTTTATTATTTTATTGTTTCCCTTCAACGTGACTTTACCGAAAGAACCAAGAATATGAATCACTGTAGTCACGAAAGCTTAAAATCAAAACATATATACTGTTAAAAACAAGAATTAAAATTCACATTTTTGTTTTACTTAAAATCTCATCAATGTATTGCTGGGTTTACCGTTTGCTGTTCAATGATTGATTATAATGATGGTGATGGTGTTTGCCATCCGGGCTGTAAATGACGGGGAAAGATCCCATCGCAACGCAATGTTGACAGTGCAGGCCGTAAAACTCCTACACATTTCCAACGAGACGGTTTAATGTGTAAAGAGCCGACAGCCTCTGTGCATATGCCAAGAAGAGCACAATGGATTTCTTGAGCAAAAATTCCGATGGTTTTTTTGTCGTTGTGTAACGCGCGCAATGTTTGCGTCTTGTTTGACACTGATGATGGCAGTGACGATGAACCCATCACACGGCCAACGGGTTGTAGCGAAACTCACATTGTGAGAATAGGTTTTCCCATTTTTTCTGGCAACAAAAACAGGTGTTAAGATGTTAAAACACCAGACTGAAACCTTTTACAAGGAATCATGTCTGCATTAACCACAATATTTGTGGTCAGAACGCAAACAAAAAAACGTACTCTGAAAATATGATGCATTGTCCTTGAAACTGATTGGTCCTCACCAGAGACAGCTTTCTTTTGAGCCTCGTCTCAGAGGACGCCATTGACCTTCTATGCAAACTCAACCGCACGGGGGTTCATCTCTAGCGCCAGTCGACCTTGTGAGCTCTCGCGCCGAGGGTTCTGACAAATGAAGATGACGATGATTATGATGACTGTGACGATGATCATGATGACGATGATGACGACGATGAGCGCAGAGTCCCTGAGCGGCGCGGACCTGCAAACGTTCACCGCCGCCATCGCGGGTCTCGGCCAGCCCGGGGAGAGGCCCGGGGAGAGGCCCGCGGAGGAAGAGAGGCCGAGGAGGAGCCGCCACCCCTCGCAGGGTGACAGAGTCTCCGATCTGCGCGGAGACCTCGCCCGGATCCGGGCGGCCATCGCCCAGAAGGAGGAGGACATCGCCCGTCTGCCGATGCTGCCTCCCGAAACCGATAGGTGGCGCAGATGTTTACTACCTCGCCTGGTATACAGGCGGTGGTCGCGACCCTGACGCCTGTACATTCGGAGTTTGCGTGTCTCTCTCACCGTGGTCGCGTGGATTTTTACGCGGCTCCTCCGGGTTTCACCTCCACATTTAGAAACATGCTTTCGAGGGAATTTGGCTGCTATAAATTTCCACGTGATAAGTCACTTCGTTGAGTTCATTTGTGGCCAGGTCGCTTCTTAAAAAAGAGAGCTATGTAGCTGCGTGGGCCTTACCTGGTAAAATAAAACAAAAATAATTAAAAAAAATAATAGCTTAATATTCTTTGGGTCTTTCGGTAAAGTCGCGTAGATAGGTTCAAAGAAAATAACAACAAAAATAACAGCGATCGTCATCACGATGACGATCAGGATGACGATCGCTTGTGTTGTGATCGAAACGTCGTAGTTTTTATTGTTATTTTTTTGTTATTTTATTTGAACCTATCTAAGTGACTTTACCGAAAGACCCGATTAACATGAATTCCTGAAGTCACAAAAGCTCAAAGTAAATATTTAATAGCTTAATAGTTTAGTGACAGAGTGACGGGAGACAAGCTCGAGAGATTGCGTCAAATTTGTCGACCGTCTTCTTTGGTTCTTTCGGTAAGGTCAAGCGGCCGCTTGTGTTGTGGCCGAAACGTCGTGAGAATTTTATTGTGTTATTTTATTATTTTATTCTCATTCTACGTGACCTTACCGAAAGAACCAAAGAAGATGACTCATTGCAGTCACGAAAGCTTTAAATCAAAATTTAATTGTCGACCGCTTCGTTGAGCGATGCCATCGACCCATAGGTTACCACCACGAACCCTATACGCTCGCCCGGTGAGCCACCCCAACATGAGCGGCGGGCCTCCCGTCCACACGGGCAAGGTCGCCACGTGCAGGGGGCGCCTTGGGCCGAGCGACGCGCAATGACGACACGCGGGCGTCACCGGCTCCGTCAGCCGGCGCGCCGCGTTCCCCTCCCTGCTCGAGGTGACCTCGAAGGCTCCCGTTGTGCTTTTTTTTTTAATCCCCCTCTTCTGTGCACGCTAAAAGTCGTTGGCTTTTGGACGCTAGCGACCCCAAATACATTTCAATTGCGCGGGTCCATCGATCGCGTCAGTCCCCACTCGCACCGTCGAGCCGCCGATGTGGGAGGTTTCACGACGCGGGTTGTGTGAGCGGGCGGGCCGGTCACTCGGCTTGAATGGGGCTAAGCCCCGTTCCCCCTTTGTTGCGCTACGAACCTGGCCACCCGAGTTCGAGTCCCGCTCACGGCCAACCACCAGTGACGATTATCTGAACCGGTCTTGGGCCTCCCCCTAGGTCGACTCAGCCTCAAATCAGTACCTTGTGCGGTGTGTAGTAAAACGTCGCCACTGGGGAGACAAAGGCGGGTCGGGCGTGGTGCTGGCCGCCCACCCCCCTCGTGTGCCGTGCCGGCCTTCATAGGTGCTCGCTAACAGCACTTGCCCCAACAGTCTGCTAAAGGCTATACGGGGGATCTTTGTCTTTGCGGGAGAGCCGGTCGCTAGGCTCGTCCGCCCGCCGCCGGTGCTCACGTGTCGAGTCTTTTGACGTCCTTTGCGTAACGCAAAACTTGCTGTGGTTGCGGGCGGAGATTCACCTCCCCTCCGTGGTCGTGTCATTTGCAATGCATTCTCCTTCGCTCACTCTCGGAGAGGAGAACGACTCGGGGGAGCGATGAGTGATCACGGACGAGCGGGAGGGCGGCGACGAGAGTTGCCCAAGATCTGCGGTCCTCTAAATGCGAAGGCGTTACCAGCCAAATTATCGAGTGCTTACACGTGAAAAGAAACCGGAGCACCTGGAGAAAACCCGCGCGTGCGAGGGGGAAGCACTCTATCCCGTACAGATGCAACTATGTAACAAACACAGAAATGTAAAAAAAAAATCGACTCTTGCGCGTCACGATTCAAAGTATCGAACACGCCGTGAGCTTCACCATCGCTCTTCGTAAAGAGACATCCGTCTCACTTGTCATAGGGGATCCGCCCTCCGACCAGCAGATGTCGCCGCAGCATTAAGTTGAACATTTACGGAACAATCCAACGTCATCAATGCCCGGCGCTGTCAAGTGCTTGGTTTGGTGCCCGGGCGGCGCTTTGACGTTCGTCACCTGTTTGTGTCGGTGGAGCCAGAACATGCGTTCGTATCCGGCACACCACATTCAGTACACCTCTTGGATCTCTTGGATCTGTTTTATGCACACACACCTGTGTGAACGCACCTGTGTGAACACACCTTTATACACACACCCGTGTGAACGCACCTTTATACACACACCTGTGTGAACGCACCTTTATGCACACACCTGTGTGAACACATATATACACACCTGTGTGAACACACCTTTATACACACCTGTGTGAACGCTCCTTTATGCACACGCCTGTGTAAACGCCCCTGTGTGGACACGCTTTTATACACACACCTGTGTTAATGCTCCTTTATGCACACACCTGTGTGAACGTACCTGTGTGAACGCTCCTTTATACACACGTGCCTGTGTGCCACTCACCTGTGCAGCCTGCAGGTGGAGGAGCGCGAGATGTGGCTCCTGCAGGGCGAGATGGAGCTGCTCGATCTCAAGAAGGAGCTTCTCGGGGTTCGCTCGGCTCTGCAGCTCCGCAGGATCGCGGTGAGCTAAACACTCACCATAGATTATTATACACAGTAGCGTGGAGTTACACACATAGACTATACATACTAGCGTGGAGTTACACACATAGACTATACACAGTAGCGTGGAGTTACACACACAGACTATACACAGTAGCGTGGAGTTACACACATAGACTATACATACTAGCGTGGAGTTACACACATAGACTATACACACTAGCGTGGAGTTACACACAGGCTATACACAGTAGCGTGGAGTTACACACATAGACTATACACAGTAGCGTGGAGTTACACACATAGACTATACACAGTAGCATGGAGTTACACACATAGACTATACACACTAGCGTGGAGTTACACACACAGACTATACACAGTAGCGTGGAGTTACACACATAGACTATACACAGTAGCATGGAGTTACACACATAGACTATACACACTAGCGTGGAGTTACACACATAGACTATACACAGTAGCGTGGAGTTACACACATAGACTATACACAGTAACGTGGAGTTACACACGTAGATTTTACACACTAGCGTGGAGTTATACACGTAGATTTTACACACTAGCGTGGAGTTACACACATAGATTTTACACACTAGCGTGCAGTTACACACGTAGATTTTACACACAAATATAATCCTGAACGACGAGCATTGTATACGATGTTGTGTGGCATTGTGGGTAACGCAGGTTGGTGAAGGTTTGAGCGAGCCTAGGGCCGTTTCAGATATCACTCGCCACTGATGTCAGCCGTGATCGGCAATCAAACTCATTGTCCCCAGCTTTCACAACGCACTTGCAATACACCGCTGCTCCTGCCGATGACAAATGGAGCGATAACAGCCTCAGTATTTGTTTTGCTGCAAAGAGCACACGGACGGAACCCTCACACAATGCGCCAGAGTCACATCACTCATGAAACAAACCATGGCGGCACATCGCCCGTGCAATCTGCCCCATTCACGGTGATGGAGTCTGGCACGGTGCTCTCGAGGAAATTGGATGGACGAGGCAAAAGTTGGCGACTCACAGTTCAGAGACACCGAGCTGGCACCGCTGATACTCCTTCGGGTAAAACGTCTGGATTTCAGCCGCCTTCTGATTAAACCTGATTCTTGCGTGCAGCGAGTTGGATGATCTCAGCCCGGTCACTCATGGTCGCACAACCTTTGAAATTCAGTTTGGCACTTAATTTGGTAAATTCCTGGCTCCGAGAATGAACAATGTTTGGTCTTATTGTCATGGGATAAGCACCAATCTCGTAGCAGAGTGTTGTAACCGTGTGCCCCCCACTGAGGCACACCTACCTTCAATTTAATGATTGAGAAGATCCGATTGCAGCATGAAGATCGTAGTCATCAACAGTCAAGGCTTCTCTAACGACCAAACATTGAGTTCTCCCTTTGGCTACCAAAGCAATCTTGGAAGTTGAACCAGTGGCATTGCCCAGGATGACATTGAACTTGACTTCTTCCTTCAATGCCATCCTGAAAAGCTGCCTCTGAATGGGGGTCCTGCTGTTCATTGGGGGGGAGGGGGGGTTTCTTTGCACCCCCCTGCCATAGAATCACCACTGCTGGCTCCATTCCCTAACCCTTACCAGAGACTGGATCGAACCTGGTTTTTCGAGCTTGACGGTCGGTGGTTCATTGCATTTCTTGAGCGGCGGGAACGGTGCGTCCGTCTCTCTTGGCAGGAGGCGGCCCTGTCTGCGGGCTCCCGGAGCCACGTGACCGCCTCGTGCTTGGAGCGTGAATGGGCGGCTGCCAGCCGCGCCGGAGAGACCATCACAGTGACACTCTAAGTCACGGCTGGGGTGGGTTGGGGGGTTGTGTTTTTTTCCCGAGGAGGACTTTCAATGACACCTTAGAGTCATCGAGTCTTTTTCTTCTTCTTCTTTATATGGCTGCTGATGTAGATGTAGAGCAACAGCTACAATTTCACATTCAGGTGGTTAGGCCGTAATAACTGCGTCTGGAGCAGCGGGGTGTATCGCCGTAATGAAAGTGTAGTGACATAGAATGGGTCACTACGGCGCCTCGCGCCAGTGACTGATAGAGAGGGAAACTGGGAGTGTAGTAGCCCTCTCTGCCAGTGGGGCATTGCAATGTCATGGAACGGGTTCCTAGGGGGCATAGTGCTGGTGGCTGGCAGAGAGGGGGCATCTGAGGACGGAGCAGCCCGGTTGGCTGGCAAGGGCATGTGATAGGCCAGGGTAAGGATGTGGGCCAAAAGTGACAGAAGGAACACGTGGGGTATGGCCCAGAACCTTCTGGTAGGTTCCAGAAGGGGGCGTGGCTGAGGGCGGAGCCAGGCCACGCTGGGGGGCATAAAAGGGAGGTCCCGAGGCTGGGTCGGGGCTGTCTACTGGAATGGAGTCCTCCGTGCTGCGTCTTCCCCTGGGTCTTCGGTCTTTGTGCTCGGCATCGTGGGTCAGGCAGTGTGCCGACTGTCCTGACCCAGTTTATGTCGTTATCCCGTTGTGGTCCATAGAATAAACGTGTTGCCTCCTGAGTTAGTGTGTGTCTCTCAGTGATCCCACTACACAAGTAAGAGTCATCAAGTAACTACACGCAACAATAATTAGGCCCGTTTGTCCAATCTGTTGACAATCACTCTCCCGCACACCCTGCTGCGGAACGTGTCTGCCGAATGTAATGTGATGGGTTGTTTTTTGTTATTTTTCTCATGCCGTCGTTGGTGACCAAGGCTGAGCCCCCATCAACTCGCCGCACTTGAGATCCAGCATGGCTGAAACACGAGGATTTCAAACCAGCGGTGCTAGTTCAGTGCTCTGACCCGAACCACGGACCCCCACCTCCCCCAACCACTTCTTAACAGCGTCACTTGCGGTTTTTGGAACGCGAGTCGATCGTTTCTCTAACTACCGTGCCCGCTTTGATGGGTGTCAGTCGCTTGGTGCACCGTAAGACATTCTTCTGATGGATTGCCACTCGCTCGGTGTCCGTAAGACATTTTTCTGATGGATTGTCAGTCGCTTGGTGTTTGTAAGACATTCTTCAGATGGATGTCAGTCGCTTGGTGTCCGTAACACATTCTTCTGATGGATTGTCACTCGCTCGGTGTCCGTAAGACATTCTTCAGATGGATGTCAGTCGCTTGGTGTCCGTAAGACATTCTTCTGATGGATTGTCAGTCGCTCGGTGTCCGTAAGACATTCTTCAGATGGATTTTCAGCAGCTCGGTGTCCATAGTATATTCTTCAGATGGATTGTCAGTCTCTCAGTGCCCCTAAGACATTCTTCAAATGGATGTCAGTCGTTCGGTGCACGGAAACACTTGCCACAACAGGTCCGCTGGTCAACCCCCGGTTAAACGTGTGTTTTAGGCGCCATTACGAGCAATGGCCTCTTCATCAGGGCAATGGATGTGCTGCAGTGTTATTGATGAAAGTGTTTGAGTTGTATTGTTAGCGGTGCCTGCACACCGTCGCCAACGGTGATTGCAGTGATTGTGCAGACTATGGCCATGGGAAGGATTCATCATCAGGATGACAGTGAACATATACATATTTTAAAGTACGTGTGTTTTTTTGAGCGTGTGCCCTGTGCGTCATGTTCCGTTGCAGCAAAATAAACGTGGCAAGTTCTTTGGTCCTTTGGGTAAAGTCACATACATAGAAAACATTTTTTTTTAATATTTATTTTCTATCTACGTGACTTTACCGAAACAAACAAAGAATATGAATTCCTGCAGTCACAAACGTTTCAAGTCAAAATTTAAACGTGGCAAGATTTCCCGCATTCTTCTTCGATGACACGCGGTTCCAGTCATAATTCACTCCGGGTTTACGTTAATAAGATGACCATCCCCCTATACAACCCTGGCTCTGTGAGCGTTGGTGCCACGACCGCTCATTGCAGAATCTTCCAAAACACGGCCTCGCCAACGTCGGCCCTCATCGCCCAACGACAGCCGCCCACGTGGCCTTTGATAAATCAGAGACCCGGGTCGTCCCATCATTTTCCTCCAACCTAAAAGCAGAATCGGGCGACAACTATGGAATCAGTGCGGGAAAACAGAGATTTGGCAAAGTCTTGGGAGGGCCCCTCGCTTACACAGCACGGTTGTGGATATCACTGCCCATCGCCTGCCCATTGAGTTGAAACTATAACGATTGTATTTTGATTTAAAGCTTTCGTGACTGCAGGGATTCATATTCTTGGTTCTTTCGGTAAAGTCACGTAGAAGGGAAACAATCAAATAATACAAATATAAAACAATAAAATTCTCACGACGTTTCGACTGCAACACAAGCAATCATCATTAAGTGTCAAAACCACAGCAAAAAATTTGAAAAAAGTGGCGTTTTTTTAAACGTTAGCACCACGGACAGCAATTTGGTAGTTATTCAGATGGACGAGTCATCTATGTTCGGAAAAGAGGAGGGGGGAGACGAATATAATGGATGCGGTCTGAAAGCCACAGTAAGCGTGAACAATCAATTAAGACCCGAAATGGTTTATCAAATCCTTCCAATGATTGCTAAGCCAGAATCCATCTTCTCGGTTGACTTTACCGAAAGAACCAAGAATATAACGATTTTATTTCACCAGGTAAGGCCCACTGAACTCTGTAGCTCTTTTTCAGAAGCGACCTGGCCACAATTGATAGCCCAACGAAATGACATGAATTTGGAAATTCATAGCAGACAACAACTCTAACACAGTTTAACACTTAGGCTTTGGCTACTAATATTATCCATAAGATGTTTTTGTGTTAGATTGCGTAAATATGAATTTGTCGTTAAACCCGCCACCATACAAACCTTACCAATTGTCTGTGTCAGGTGGTAGCGGGTTTAACGACACATTTATATTTACGCAATCCAGCCCAACAACCTCTATTATGGATAAATCTAAAAACCTGTGTTTCTAAATGCGGTGTACCTAATGGCCTAGAAATTGTCAGAATCTTACATTTATATTTTAATAATTAAATATATATTTCATGAATGCTATATGTATTTTACAAAGTTCGTTCCCATCAGTCTATTAATGTAATTTAATTGCTACTCTCTCCATCAGTTGCACTACTTCCAGTGCAGCTAATAAACTAGAGCTTTTATACAATCAGATTTTCCACCTGTGCTGTCTCCGCCTCTCTGGGTGAAAAATCTACCCTGAGACCTTCAGAATGTCGAGTGAATCCCCTCTGCTGTTCAAGCAAATGGGGACGATGTTGTTGATTGTCATATTCTTTAACCAATAGGATGTCGAGTTTGTCATGGTGGGCGTATTCTTTGACACGCCGGAGCCTTCTCGCTGGCCTAGCCGCCTACGTCAGCATTGTTCGTGTGGCGTGATCGGAGGGCCAGTTAGCTAACTGAAGTAAAACTCCCTAGCACGTGACGTAGCATCATCTAAGATTTATTTAAACTTTCTATCGTGACGTTTAGATTTTTAGATGCTTTAGAATTTTTTTTTCTGTGGGGAAGCCTGTCGAATCCTGATTGCGTTGTGTTTTTTTGGCATTTTTGCTTGCTTGGTGGTCGTATGAGTAAATGTGAATGGTTGTTGTGAGTTTGTTCTTGTTTATTTGGGAATGACATTGATTTGGGCTATGCGATGTCTATTTGTGATGCAGCATCCTGTCACACTGCGTACTAGTGGTACATCCTTGATGGTTTCAGTCACCATGTATTCATGTCTCTGACATTAGTGTATTGTAACTCTCGTGTTAAATCACTTTATTCCATACCCTTTGGTTCTGTCTGTGTCTCTGTGTTATCTCTCTCACTCTCTGCTTGTGTGTCTTTCTTTGTGTCTCCGGTTCTGTGTTTTATCTCTCTCTTAAATGTAGCAATCTTTGGAAGAACGTAATCAACCAGGTAGGGTGTTGACTGTTATGTTAGCCGACTCTCTGTGTTGTATTGCATTACATTTCTAAGTTTACTGTGTTTGTTTTCTCTTTCATTTGTACCTGATGATGATTGCTTGCGTTGCAATCGAAACGTCTTTCTACGTGACTTTACCGAAAGAACCAAAGAGTAATTCCTGCAGTCACGAAAGCGCCAAATCAAAGTTGAAAACGTAAAATGAATCACGACGTTTCGATCGCAACACAAGCGGTCGTCCTCAGGCGGAAATAAATAAATAAATCCAGCAGTGGAACTGCTGAACTAGCGAGAGAGCTGTTACAAGAGGTTATTTACACTTTATTCCACTCGATAAAGGTTGCTGTCACTGTGAATATGGGGTTGGTTACGTCGAATGACAATAGCCTATAGCCCTCGTGTCACGGTGTGAAATTCACGACCCGCCACTGTTGTACCTTCACTTAGAATGGACGTTGTAGAGACGGCGCGGCTTGTGTAATGCTCTATGCAAATACATCCTCGGTCATGTGAAGTTGACTTTGGCCACGCAAAGCCCACGCCGACCTCTGCGTTAATCAGTCACAGCTTTCTGCCCTTATGCAAATAATCCTCAATACGTTGACTTCGTGGGAAGGAGGCTGTGGTGGCGGTGGTTAACAACACAGCGCTTTGCATCCAGCAATTCCCCCCCGAGATCGATTCCGGGCTCGGGCTAACACCCCTTCACCACGCCACAACGACCACGCGCAGCCAATGCCACGTGACCGAAGCGGCGTAGAAAGGTCTTCATCCAGCAGTGGACTGACGAAGGGCTGTAAATAATTATTTTTTGGCTACCGTAAAGCGCGGACTCGACTGGCTTTGCGGCAAACGTGTGTAGGCCCTTCAAGCAACAACCCCCCCCCCCCCCCCCGAGAATCTTAATCGCTCGTTCACGATCGTCTCGTCTGCACGTTGCGCTGGGTGGGACACGTGTGTGCAGGTCGTGGGGGCCGATTGCCAAAGACCGGCATTGGAGTGAGTCTCCACGAGTCTGGCGATTCGGGGAAATACGAAGGAGGCATCGCAGCAACGCCACCCCGCTGCTCCTGACGCGTGGTTATCTGGCCTGACCACCTTGCCTGTGAAATTGTAGTTGCTGCTCTGCATCTATATCAGCAGCCGTACGACAAGAGGACGAAGCAGAGAGGACCTAGGGCCAGATGGTGGTGGTGGTGATACTGCGAGGGCAAGTCTTGGGGGGGGGGGGGGGGGGGGGGGGGGGTGGTCGCCGTGCGTCTTACCGCGCAGGAGCTGTGGACTCTGGTGGAGGGAAGAATGCGTTGCTCGGTGGCCACGATGACGTCTTGATCGTCATCTTCATGTTGTTCATACGTGCAGTTATAACGCGGCTGGTTTAACACGCACACACCAGTGGACTCGTGAAGCGTCTTGCCGCCACCGCCACGTGAAGTCAATGGCGCGCCGCACGCATCCACTTCGTTCACGACGCCCCACGAGTTGGCTTTCTGCGTCGGACGCAGACGCGACTTCCTCCCGTGACCTCCTCCCGTGACCTCTGGCGAATAGAATTGACGAGTCGCCCCGGAGCTGCTCGTGCGGCCAAGACGCGTGTCGTGTTTTTGTTTATTTATTAAAAGTACATAGCCGGTATTTGTTGTTGTTGTTGTACAGGGTCGTAATAATACATAGCATCGCGCGGTGCTAGTTACACGCACAGCTAATTTACATCCCGCGTACGGCATCCGCTCAAACGAATGATCGCGACGCACCCCGCAAACTCTCCCCGCGTCGCGATTCCCATCGTCACCAAGGGCCACTGGGGGTGGTGTCCGGGAATCCGGGGTGAGCGCTCCGACGAGAGGCACCGGTGATCGAGTCCAAATGTCTTAACGGTGCGATGGGACGGAAGGTTGGTGGGCGCACCCCTCCGTCGTCCGTCCGAGTAACGCGTGGACCGCAGAGCCAAACAAACCAAAGCTGAACACGTGTAGGGCTTTCGCGACCGGTATTACGATGAGTTCACAATTGAGTTTTTTTTTTAATTCTGGGAGTTAAAAGCACGTGTTGTAAAATGTCGCGTCGTAAACCCTCCACCACCCGACACAGCAAATTGATTAAGCTGTCGCGTGATGAACAAACGTGGCCCAATGTATGTATTAACTGCGTCAGCACCACCGGTAGTGTTGGAAAATGCCTGATAATGCTGGTTGTAACTACCAGCGAAACGTCCATACTATCAAATTGTTCCATGTGTTCTGGGCCCTCTGAGCTATACAGCTCTTCTTTAGAAGCGACCTGGCCACAAATGACAGCTCAACGAAGTGGCGAATCACGTGGGAATTTATAGCAGCCAAATACTCGAAACGCGTGGAGGGAAGAACGTGCGAACTCCAAATATACAGCAGGCGTCAGGGTCGGGTTCGGACCCACGACCTCCTGTCAACCAAGAGAGGAAGTGAACATCTCGTGACCGTGGCGCCCCACTCACGAACGGTGCTGCTGCTGTTGCGGCAGTAACACATCGGCCACGTTTGTTTCACGCGACAACTTTAATAATAATTGGCCGTGTGTGTTGGGGTCGACGGAGGGTGTACGACGCAACATATTTCTTAGGTGGCGATATGAACCCCTCCCCCCCCACAAATAAAAATCGATTATGAACCAAAATAAAAGCTGGGCAGGATGAAGAGAAAAAGAGAAACGATCGAGAGACAAAAAAATTACAACCAAAAACAGCGACAAAAACAAACAAACAAAAGACCGTAAGGTCTGCACCACAGGGCAGAGGCCACCACAAGAAACAAACAGACATCACGGCAGCGCATGCAAAGGTAAAATATACACGGCACAGCAACGTATTCTGCGAATCTCTGCTCGCATCAAAGTTTCGGCTGGCTTCTGTTAAAACCCATTGATTGGGGTCGGTCGGTTCTCTCTGCGTGCCTCAAACGTCCCGATGAGGACGTGGGATGTTTTGACAAAAGTTTAGTCAAAGTGTCCCCCCCCACCCCCTTTCCCCCCCCCCCCCCCCCCCGGACCTAACCACTCTACGAACAGTGCTCAACTCTCGTTAGAGGTCTCGCGCACAGTAAGAATTGAAATTCCACATTGCTATGTCGGGGACCAGTGTGGCCATAGAACAGGGATGGGGAGACCGTTGCTCTTTAACGAGGACTTCCGAATACCTTTTGTCGGGCAACCTCACGGAACGCTCAACACGCATTGCCGTTGTCCAGTAATAATAATGCAAACATCAAGTTAGGTCGCACCTTCACAGAAGTGATTGGGCGTTCGATTGGGGGGGGGGGGGGATAAAATGACAAACAGCATTGCCAGGTTAAATAATACCTCTCACCGCCCACCTGGAGTGCTGGGTTAGCGTGGCGAGGATTGCATTACAGTGATGACAATTGATTGATTACGGTGCCATTTATCAGTGGTATGCCTCGTGGTAGTGGCCCATACCACATGAGATTCATGGAGCCACCAACTGCTGTGGACTTTAATTCACCCATCCCAGAGGGACGACGACGGGCCCAGTTGACCTCTGACCCATAATTTAGACACTTGGGTGGGGGCGGGGGGGAGAAGAGGGTGACCGTAGGGGCCTCTAGTGGTTGCAAGGGGTCATTTGCGAACCGCGTTTACACGCAGCGCTATTCTAGTCAAAGCGCAGCGATTCTTATGCACGCGGTTGGCCACAACGCGCGTCTGGGCGGGCTTGAGGAGGAGCGCTGTAAACCACGCTCGCACGCGTGGCCCCAAAGAAGGCGAAACAAAACAGTTTCGCCTTTAGAGGCCAACCCCCTTTTCCTGATGACGACCGCTTGTGTTGTGATCGAAACGTCGTGGGTTTTTTTTAAAAATGTTTTCTTCTATCTACGTGACTTTACCGAAAGAACCAAAGAATAGGTATTTTATAGGCAACGTTTTGGGCAAAGGGCCCGTTTTGCTTTCACGGCGCGTAAATGAAGCACAGGCGACGTGCTGTGAAGAAGCGTCGTGGCCTGAAAAGTTGCCTGTTCACGTACGCTTCGCTTCCTTGTTGTTAGCTTCAGATCGACGTCGGCGCGTCGGTAGAACCTCTGCTAAGAAACGGGCAAATACGGTGAACAAGGCGCGCGACTTACACTTCGCACTGTACAAGAGTGGCAGTGAGTTTGTTGAATGCACACTTCTGCAATTCATTAAATGTGAACCAAAACACTTTTTTTATTTTACCAGGTAAGGGCCCACTGAGCTGTGTGGCACTTTTTAAGAAGCGACCTGGCCACAAATGATAGCTCAACGAAGTGGCTTGTCACGTGGAAATGTATCGTAGCCAAATACTCTAAACGCGTGATGTTGATTCTAAATGTGGAAGGGAAAACCGGAGGACCCGGAGAAAAATCCACGCGACCATGGGGAGAACACGCAAACTCCAAATATACAGCAGGCGTCAGGGTCGGGATTGAACCCACGGACCTCCTGTATACCAGGCGAGGTAGTGAACATCTCGCCACCGAATAAAGGACTTGCGAAGCAAAACACACAAACACACAGGATCTCATCGCGCTCCCTGTTCGACAACATCTGCGAAAAAATATATAATAATAATGCATTTATTTAATATATATCTGAAACGTATTAACTTGCTTGTGTTTTATTTAAATCTTCAAATACCGCACTTGATAACTATACAAACAGCAGGCAGCAGCGTGGTTTATGTCGTGTTTGGGAGTAATACGATTGCAATAACAACATCAACAATAATAATTCATAGGGATGCAGTCTTGGCATTTCATTCAAATAAAAGGGTTTGTTCCTTCAAAAAGTATTCGACTATACACACACACACACACCCATATACTGTACCAAGGTTACAAAACCAACATTGCGTAGGGTTTCGTGGTCGCTGCTGCTGCATAGCTCGCCGTTGTGATTTTCCGGTTGCGCCGCGCGTAGTTCGCTGCGACGTCCGACGTTTCGCACCCACGTGCTGGGAGCTTCTTTCGGGAATGGGGCCCGCTTCGACTCGACTGAATGCATTCGACTGGATAGACTTGACAGAATCAACCCCCAATGCGATCGAATCAACTCAGCCGAACTAATGCAACAGATGAAATTCAACCGAATCAATTCAAATGAAGTGTCAGTTCACACCGACTCAATTCAAGTGAATCAATGACATTCCACCGAATCAATTCAGTTTCAGGAGAGACGGGTAATGGCCATCTATCAATGGAATCGATAAAAGCGAACAAAGTCCGTTTCCACCGATTCAGTTCGGTCACCGAAGAATCTGCCAGCTCAGCCAACACAGAACGCGTGGTCCCAGCTTCCGCAGGAGGATGGACTTATTTCCTGAAGGTAGCTCCCGCCGCGTGGGAGTGAAACGTCAGGACATCGAGCCCAACGACCCGCGGTACGGACCTCGCAAGCGCGCAGGGCAGAGCCACATCCCAACATTAACCAGCCGTCCCCCCCCCCCCTCCACCTCCCGCAACCCCGTGGACGAGCCGGCTGGAAACAAAAAAAAACCCCAGCGGATTTTGCTTCCGTTCGGAACCATCCGTCGTATACCCCGTGGGCGGCGGCGGCTGCGGGCGGCTCCCAGCAGAGGTGGCGCCGGAAACCCCATTTGGCTGCGCGTGTGTGCGTGCGTGCGTGAGAGAGACAGAGAGAGCCGTCGGGCACTAGCGGCCGGGCAGCAGGGCCCACGGGATGGGCAGGCACTGGCTGCCCCGCTGTGACGCGATGAAGCCGGCGTCGCACGTGCACCGGAAGGAGCCGTCCGCGTTGAGGCAGCGGCCGTTGGCGCAGGGCGCGGGCTCCTCCTCGCACTCGTCGATGTCTGAAAGCAGAAGGGCGACGGGCGAGCATCATCATCGTCGTTGTGGCACCTCCGATTAGCACGGTTGGTTACGTACGGTGTGAAAGAAGTTCGACCTACGTACATATGTACGTAGGTCTTATATCGTTTCGTAGATTCATTTAGCGCCTCCTCTGCCTGCAGCCAGCCTCATGGTTCCAAGGCGCTATATAATATGGCCACGAGTGGCTCGTAACCCGTGTGTTCTAATTCTGTCTCTCGATGACATTCCAATTCAAGTGTGCATACTTCTTGCACTGCTTCCATCCACGGCTTTCATTTCGCTTTCTTTGTCAACGGCAAATTAATTTTCGCCACGTACATCGCAGAGGTGGCAGGGTGGGGGGGGGGTGACATACACCGAGTAGCACGTGAACACAAATCGGAGATCAGAAGGTTTTTGGTTCGATCCCGACACTGACGCCTGTTGCATATTTGGAGTTTGCGTGTCTCTCTCCACGTGGTCTCGTGGATGTTTCTCCGGGTCCTCTGGTTTTTTCCTCCACATTTAGAATCAATGTACGTTCAGAGTATTTGGCTGCCATAAATTTCCACGTGATAAGCCATTTCGTTGAGCTGTCATTTGTGGCTAGGTTCGCTTCTGAAAGAGCTCAGTGGGCCTTTACCCGGTAAAATAGAGTTCACGTTTTTTTTTTTACTTTAGTTTAGGAGTGAGATAATGCGAGGAGGAGGGGCTTCGGCGAATCCAGGGATTAACGCCAACCCGTGGTCGTCACGGCCGCGATGGAACGCGTCGGCGATCGCCGGCCAGCGAGCACCCACCGACGCAGACGACGCTGAGGTTGTCGAGCTTGTATCCCACGTAGCAGTCGCACGTGAAGCCCTCGGGGACTCGAACGCAGCGGCCGTTCTCGCAGCCGTGCGAGATGCCGCACTCCTCCGCCTGCAGCCCCTCCCGGTACGGGTACGAGCCTGCTGCTGTCGCCGCCGCCACCGCCAGCACCGCCATCGTCACCGCCACCACCAGCGCCGCCGTCGTCACCGCCACCACCACCACCACCACCACCGCGAGCATTCACACGCGGCACACGCAACGCAACCATTGCTCAACGCGAAGCAACCGTCGCTCATATTATTTCTTTGAAATTAGTTAATACTCACACCTCTATTAAATTGTCTGTTTATAGTTATTACCCAAAAATTGTTACTGAATATGTCAATGGCCTTTGGCTGGCGAGGAAAAACCTCTTCCTGGAACTTGGTTTCGCTTTACGTCGCTTTACTTCAAGTCGCACTTGATCCAGAAAGTAACCACGACGTTAACCTCGGAGTGACCGTACTGGCAGGCATCAGGGTCGGAATCGAACCCACGATCTCCTGTACACCAGGCGACGTGGTTAACATCTCGCCACCTCGGCGCCCGGTCTGTGAGCGACGCCGAGCGGGCGACGGGGGAAGCTGCTTCCCTCTCTCCGCCGCACCTTCGTCGGGAAGGAAGATGGGGACGTTGCCCTCGTTGCCGGGGTAGAACCCCACGGAGGCACCGGCGGCGGCAGCCGCGGCACCCCGGTCCAGGTAGTTGGGCTCGGGCAGGTAGTGCGGGCCGGGCGCGCCGTCACCACCAATGCCGCCGTACGGCCCGGAATAGCCGAAGGACGGGTCGAGCGAGTGGCCAAAGTTGTCCACGTCCGTCCTCATGCGGATGTTGCACAGCAGCGCGTAGTCGTCTGAGATGGGAGGGGGAGGGATTAGCGGCCAAGGAGAACAAAGGGACGCTGGTTGAGCTCGTGGTAAGAGATAGGCGGGTGTAGAATATTGAGTCTAGATTTAAAGCTTTCGTGACTGCTAGGATCCATACCCTTTGGTTCTATTGGGTAAAGTCACGTAGGTGAAAATAAAATAACAAAAAATCACGACGTTTCGGCCACAACACAAGCGGCCTTCATCAGGTGAAGGGACGAGACTGTCTGGAGGACAGCGCTGGAGTGAGAAAAGCCACGCTTAGATCATGACCTTTAAGCTGTGTGAGAAGAAAAAGGCCAAGTGCCTTGACAAAGGAATTAGCATATAATTTAGCATTGAAATAGCTCATTGAAATAGCTAAGTTAAAGTATACACATCCGCTGAGGCACCCTTTGACAAAGGAATTAGCATAGAATTTAGCATTGAAATTGCTGAGTGATTTCGCTTGTAACTGGTCACAGAAATAGCTATGTTAAAGTCAGAGCATATACATTCACCGAGGCACCTAGTACAAATCAAACAGGAAAATTTAGCGAAACACAACCACGCTCAGACCGCGGACCTTTAAACTGTGTGCGATCAAACACGGTGTCCTGACAAAGAAATTAGTATAAAAATTATCATTTGATTGGCCGATTTTAGAAAAGAGGTGGTGTACGTGCCGGTGGACTTGCAGTTTGGCGCGGGGGGGGGGGGGGAGTTTACCTATTGATGGTGTGAAAAGGGAATTTATAAGAGCTGCGAAAGTTTGGGGTACCACTACTTGAAAAAATATACTGTACCATTGAAATTAGTTTAATGTTTAGTTAGATTTAGAACATCTTTCCAATGGTTGCTTACTTTGAAACCATCTTCTCGGTTGAAATTGTGTCTGTGTAGATCTGAATTGCCTCGTGAACAAATCTCTGATAAAAACCCGTGGGTTTGCAAAGAACCTTTGGTATCGGAGAAAATTATATCGTGATCACCGACAGCGTTGTAACAGTGATCAGCTACGGCAGAAGAATTTGTTTTGCCGTGTTTCAAATCTGATTTGTGCTCGCGAATTCGGTCATAGACATGTCGCTTTGTCTCCCCGATATAGCAATCACTGCAGGTACAACTCAATTTGTAAACCCCGGGGTACTCTAAGTCAGGAATGACATCCTTCACGGATGGGATCAGATCACGAATTTTGTGTACCGTATTGAACCAGACCTGGATCTTGTGTTTGTTTAGAATTTTGGAAATCTTTTTAGTAACGCCTGCTATATATGGTAGAGTGATGGTTTTGACCGGAGTATCAAGTGGTTGTTTCTGTATGGAGGGAGAAACATCTTGGCGGATGGTACGGTCAGAGTAACCATTCCTTTTGAGGGCCAGGTGTACATGTTTTAATTCACTGGTCAGGTGGTGTTGGTCCGAAATGCAATGAGCCCTATGGTATAAAGTTTTGATGAGATAATTCTTTTGGGCTGGGTGGTGGTGGGAATCAGGTTTCAAGTAGGAATCTGTGGGTGGGTTTCCTGTAGACAGAATGCCCCAATGAGCCATCAGGTCTCCTCTCAAACAGAACATCTAAGAATGGTAGCTTGCCATCTTTCGAGTTTCACGGGGGGTGGTGGTCGACACATGGGCATAGTCTCGTGTGCAAGAGTGACACCTGGAGTCACCAAAATGATGGAGGCGCCTCCGATTAGCACGGTTGGCTACGTGCGGTGTGAAAGAAGTTCAACATACATACGTGCATACAAAATGAGCGTTGCAAAGAAGCGAATAGAAATGAGGGCACCTCTGACATTGGCCAGTGCGATGTCAGCATCGTGGGACAAAGAGAGCATTTGGAAATCCGGCAGAGTAGGCAGTGTAATATCCCGAGGGTGTAGCGCATATGTTGAACTTCTTTCATGCAGTATGTAGCCAACTGTGCTATTAGTACAAGATTGCCTATACAAAACATTTTCAGAAAGTTTCAGAAAAATGTTTTTTTTTAAATTAGACAATAGTCAGAGCACTCTTCTAGATTTGCTGCTTTGGGATTGGTGCTTGTCGAATGACACTCAAACTGATATTTTTTATCCATAATAGAGGTTTTTTTGGGTTAGATCGCATAAATATATAAATGTGTCGTTAAAACCCGCCACCACCCAACACAGCCAACTAGTAAGGGTTGTCACGTAAACAGAACGTGGCCAATTCGTCACTAGTACAGCACACCGGTGTGTTGGAGAGCCAAGCCACAGCATTTACAATCTGAGTACGACGTTTCGCCACTAACTACAACTTGCTTCATCAGGAGAAGTCCAACTGTTTCGTTCCTTATATAGAGGCGTGGATGTGGTGACCACGCTTCTGCGCTCTTGCGCCACGTGGGGGGAGGTGGGGGGATTACTGAGGCAACGTGCATTATGCATTAAGCGAAAGCCTACGTGTTAAACTGATATTTTTTAATTCTTGGTGTTGGACTTCATCCTAATTAGGTGAAAACCGAAATTAAAACGCGATGATATTTTGCCGCGCAGTTGTCGGTAACCAGGCTGAGATCATCAACTCACCGCACTGGAGTGCCCAGCTCAATCATTGGGACGGCCAAAACCCGGATTGGGTCCCAGGAAATTCGGCGATGCCAGCTCAGCATCTCTAACCTTGGCCGACGGCTCACAACTCCCAGAGAAGTTGAGGAATGTCCACGTCAGCGGTCGGCAGAAACGCACGAAGCGGTCGCACGCGACCGGGGGCTCTGGGTAGCTTAGCGGCGCTCGTCGACGCCGGTACGGCGCTCTTCATCGCTCATCATTGCCGGTGCAACACTTGTCATCACTCGCCATCGCCGGAAACGGCACTCGTCATCACAGGTACGGTGCTCATCGCCGGTACGGTGCTCATCATGGCTCGTCATGCCTCGTCATCACTCGCCATCACTCGTCATCGCCGGTACGGCACTCGTCATCGCAGGACAAAAGCGAAGAATTCACGCGGCGGCAGCGCGGATCGCTTCAATCGTCGGAGACCGAGGTACTAAGAGCGCCCGCCCCACTTATGCGAGGAGCAGACAGAGTCAGTTATGCTCAGCATAAATGTTTTTGTGTGCGGTCATATTTGGCGACCCGGCTATAAGGCATCGATTCGCAACACTCGGGAAGCCGGTTTAATCGCGGGCCCCGGCCCGAAATCTGGATTCGAACCCAGGTCAGCGACTTGACCTTCTGCTGCCAACCCAGCCACCTGCAAAGCGTGGAATTTGAAGCGAAACCGAGGACTTAAAGGGCGCGAGGTTAAAAATAAGGAGAGGCCGGGCGTATTTTGGAGAACTCTCCCGGGACGATCACGGGAGTGGCAGCGTCTCGAGGCAGCCGCGAGCCGCCGTCAAGTTTGCGGATCCTGGTGCAAGTCAAGGGGGGTGGGGCAGAGGGGGGTGGGTGGGGGGCCGTGACGACAATGGTGGCGTTTGACAACTTTCCCCGTCGGTACGATCGCGAGCGGAGCGAGACCCACGTGCGACGTAATCAAAGAGATGATCCGGATGAGGCCACCGGCGACGAGGTTTTAGAAAATAAAGGAAAAGGGGGCATTGAGCGGTTGGGCACACCGGTTGGGCACACGTAAAAAAATCCAACGTTCGTGTTTTGAACGTCAGCAAAATAAAACGTTGAAGAGAAAAAAACGAGACGTGACGCAGAATTTCCAAATGAGAAATAATCCAACGTATCGCAATTTTGATAACGGGCCAAAAGATATATAAAATGAGACAATCGCATCCTGTCTTTGCCGATTCGGGAATCGTGAAATAATATGAAATGTTTAAAATAACCTGAAGAGCGTCTTTGGAAGTTGTAGAAATGAAAGAAATAAGCAAACGATGCGGCCAAAATTCCCGACGTGCGGAAAACAACGGGCACGCTCAGCGGTGACGCGCTTTTTGGAAGCGTGTGACAAATGTCTCCATGAAGTGTGCTTTCAATTTCCTTTGTATCCGTTTCAAGAATGTTTTCTCGGCTTCAGTTGTCTCTGCCGCCTGGCGTTTAGGCGGTGCCAGCTCCCTGAACATCGGTGACGATTCCACAAAGCTATTCAAGACCAAGGGCAGCCACCCCCCGCCCCCCACCGCCCCCCCCCCCCCGTGGCCACGGACGACGCCTCACAACAAACACCAAACACCAGCGAGCGACCTCTCGCAGCTGACCTTTTGGCTTCGCGCAGCTGACTCTGGTGCGACTGAGAATTATTAGGAGCATTGCTGCTGGTAGCAATTCCAAAAACAAATATTGCAACGCTTGCGTTTTTTTTTCGACGGCAGTGTCCAGAGTTGTGATTTTGTGGCTTCCTGCGTCACGGTCAATGGTAAGCGAGAATGGCCACCGGTGAATTGTCCAGGAGAGCCTCGTCGTGCCTCGAGGCTGATTTGAGGAGGTGCCATTGCTACATTGGGATCTCGGGACGTTTGACCAACTCCATTCATGGGCATTTGATTTCACGTGGGAGGAAACCGGAAGACCCCGGAGAAAACTCACCGCCCTGTACCAAAGGGGGTGACACTCAGCACTGTCATACCCTGGCCACCCCCCCCCCCGCAACCGCACCCTCCCCGTCACGCCTACAACACCTGGCAAGCCCTGGTGGTGGCCACCCATCCAAGGACCGAGCAGGCACAAACCTGCTTAGCCTCTCAGATCTGAGGACACCGCGCTCGTTCAGGGTGAAGTCACCCTGGGACACTTCTGAGTCACTGCAAAGCAAGCGACGATGGACGTGGATGCGCTGCCAGAAATGAAAATACGACCGCACCGTATTTCATTTCGGATCCAAATGTGCGCGCTTTAAATTAATTTAGAGCAATTTCAATTTTATAATTAGAGAGACGAAATCCCACAGCTGCCCTTAACTCACAGAAGGCATGCATAACAACCACACCCCCTCCCCCACCCAGCCCACCCACGAAACAGGGCCCGTGCGGCACAAAGTCACGGAATTCTTTTCTTTAAAAAAAGTACTACGAAAATAGAATCTGTATCGCTCTAATCATTTTTTTTTTTACAGAATAAAAAAAAATTGGCCACGGTGGACCGCACTAGGGGTTAAACAAGAGTTAAAAGAGTGAAGTTTTTGCAGAATTCCACGCTGCGGTCCGGAGCGGAATCTTGACGAGCGGCGGGCACGTCGCGTCGTCGATCGGCGCGGAGACTCGACGGCCCGATGATGATGTCAACGCGGGAACTTTCGCACCGCGTGCCGTTCGAGGTGAAAGTGAATGAACCCCCATCCACCGCCCCCCTCCTCCCACCCAACACCAACGCCACCCATCGCCGATGTGAGAGAAGTTAATTCACGGAAATACTTGCCCGACGCTCGCCGTCGCGAAAACCCATGTTCGCGTGTTTTAAAACGTTTTAGAAAGCCGCGGGGGACACAAGCCAACCGCGGAAAGCTGGCTGGGGGAACTCCATCAAGATATCGCGTGGAAATGAGTTCGGTTAACCGCGCGGCGCTCGTAGCATTGTCGGTGACGCGGTTCGCGTTCCCGAGCCAAGGGCCTGTTTACTCGACCCCCGGAATTCTCCGGCTTTCTCCGCCGGTTTTGCCGCGCGACTCTTGAGGTGTGGAGGAACTCAGAGCGATTGGCTTCATGCGCTCGGGTCTGGGGGTTGCCAATTAAAACAATTACGGCGTTAACGCGTGTTATTTATGCAACCGCTCGGCGGGTTCGTCAACGGGTTTGGCCTTGGCGGTGCCGCAACGGCGAACGGGACCGACCCCCCACCCCCCGTTCCCCCACCCCCACCTCCTCCCCACCCACCCCCCTCTTCCCTCCACCCCCCATCCCCCCCTCCCCACCCCCCCCCCCCCCCGTTCCATGGCACAAGGTCGAGTTTCCCAATGAAGTAATTTCCACCGTTCGACAAACGCTGGGCACCGCCAACTCTTCCGCGCAGCATCGTTAGCGAAACGCGTCGGTCAAGGTGCCACTTGGGTGAACTCGCACAATGAGCAACATTTGGGTTGATAAAACAAAAACATATATGTAACAAGATTGTTGTTCTTCCAGTTACAGGAAAGATACATATGTTATAACACATATATATAACCATCTAGCCATCTAGCTAGCCACACACTAGTACTATCGCTCCCTACTGACTCTAACCAACTAGTCATCTAACTAGCCACACACTATTACTATCGCTCCCTACTGACTCTAACCAACTAGCCATCTAGCTAGCCACACACTATTACTATCGCTCCCTGATGACTCTAACCAACTAGTCATCTCGCTAGCCACACACTAGTACTATCGCTCCCTACTGCCTCTAACCAACTAGTAATCTAGCTAGCCACACACTATTACTATCACTCCCTACTGACTCTAACCAACTAGTCATCTAGCTAGCCACACACTATTACTATCACTCCCTACTGACTCTAACCAACTAACCATCTAGCTAGCCACACACAATTACTATCGCTCCCTACTGACTCTAACCAACTAGTCATCTCGCTAATCATACACTAGCACCAACCAAACAGCAGGATTTCCCACTAATCCCACCTAACCATCCAACCCAGCCATTAGCCAGAGCTCCCCTTCCCACCCCCCTTTGGGAGTCTGCAGAGGCCGGCACCTGAGGACTTGGGAGGGCAGAATGCGCACTCGGGGCCCCAGGCCTCGCCGTAGAGGCAGCAGCACTCCGTGTAGGTCGTCTGGCGTCCCACCGGCTTGCTGCACATGAAGGAGCGCGACAGCTCCGTCCAGCAGATGTCCACGTGGACGTTGTCCAGGTGCTCGTCTGTGTGGGGGCGGGCGGGGGGGGCGCGGTGCGGTCATACACGGCCATCCGACATCCCTCCCGTAACGCAAACTCAACAGCAACACCGGTGTGTGAGGCTCTAATAGTGAATATATACGTGTGAAATAGGCGACGTTTCGAGTAATGGCCCATCTTCAGACGTAGATCGCTTGGGTTTGCCGCCCCTCCCGGTTATCCCAGGATGATTACCCGGATTGTCCAGGTGGCTGTACTGGCTAATCTGTAAGTTTTCCCACGACAAGTCCCGTTGTGGTAAGTTGCCTGCTGGTCGGTTGGTACTCTCATAAGGCAAGGGTCAGTCGAAAGCTACACGTTGCTCTCTTAGACCTCACGCTAAACACATACAATCGTGCGCCACTGCCCATCGTCAGCAATCCGAGTCATTTGCCTCTGGAGTGTGACACTTACGCCGGTAGAAAGCGCCCCCCACCCCACCCAATCGCAAGCCCTAACGCAGATCGATCGACAGCGCTCGGCACGACCCCCGCGGGAGGGGGGGGGGGGTCTCTCCCCGATCCAAACCTCCTCAATCAGCGAGCCCGCTTCGGTTAGTGCGCGGACAGCGGAGGGAACGTCCACCACGGCACGACGGTGGGGTCTAAGCAGGGGGCTCAACGACTTGGGCTGAGTTGTGGGGAGTGCGGCGGAGGTGCGGGGGGTAGGGGGCAGGGGGTAGGGGGCAGGGGCTTAACCTTGGGAGGGGAGGCTGAGGGGAGACATTGGGGGTTGCCTTGGGGGTGTTTGTGCCGGGGCGATGGTTAGGCCTAGGAATTCGGATCGGCGGGAGAACGAGTACTCGTGGCTGGATGGCTGGTCGGTCTAGAAGGTTGGTGTTAGGGGTAAGGCACCTTCCGACGAGCACGGTTGGCTACGTACGGTGCGAAAGAAGTTTGACAACACGTATGTGCAGCAGGCGGTTGCATGGGTCGCCGTGTGGTAAGCGTTTGGGTCAACGGTTAAGGCTCGCGCCATTATTGACCTTCCTTTCTTAATCAATCCGACTCAAGCCTTGGCGCGTTCTATCGGCAACAGCTCCCCTCCGTTCTGCTGCACCCCAACCCCCCATCCCCCCAACCCCCACCACCCAAACCCCCACCACCCCCAACCCCCACCACCCAAACCCCCACCTCCCACGCCACCTCAACTTTGCGTCGCCGCCTGTCGCTTCTGGCGCGGAGCGCGTACCGGCGGGGCCGCTGCGGTTGACGCAGCGCTTGCCCGTGTCGTCCAGCACCAGCGGCGGGGTGCAGAAGCAGTTGTAGCTGCCCTCGCTGTTGTAGCACTGCCCGTCCAGGCAGCTCTCGGGGCTCTGGCACTCGTCGATGTCTGCGGAGGTCCGAGCCGGCCGCGCGCGGGGAGAGAGCGGCGCAACAACAAATGTAACGGGGTCGGAGTCGAACTCGATCGCCGGCTCGCGCGGGTATCTACGCGGCGGCGTTCGTCGCCCCGTAACAACTCCGCATTCATGTGGCGGGGGTGAGTCTGTCCGCAGGGCAACCACCGTTGACTCCCCCCCCCCTCCCCCACAAAGTGGTGCTCACAGAAGTCACGTGATTTACACGAGGCTCGAGCTGGTGTCGATAAAGAGATGATCGGAGAAATTATTAACAACCTTCAGATTTGATTTGTTGGTATCGTATTAACAAGAAAGGCTGCAAAGCAGGGATTGAGATTAAGTACGAGCAAAAAGTCTCGTACGACAAGCCCACGAAACATCTCGAGGTATTGGCAGGAGGAACACGGCAGGAGGAATACGGAAGGAGGAACGTGGCAGGAGGAACACGGCAGGAGGAACACGGCAGGAGGAACACGACAGAGGAACACGGCAGGAGGAACACGACGGGAGGAACACGGCAGGAGGAACGTGGCAGGAGGAACACGGCAGGAGGAACACGGCAGGAGGAACACGACAGAGGAACACGGCAGGAGGAACACGACGGGAGGAACACGGCAGGAGGAACGTGGCAGGAGGAACACGACAGAGGAACACGGCAGAGGAACGTGGCAGGAGGAACGTGGCAGGAGGAACACGGCAGGAGGAACATGACGGGAGGAACACGGCAGGAGGAACACGACAGAGGAACGTGGCAGGAGGAACGTGGCAGGAGGAACACGGCAGGAGGAACGTGGCAGGAGGAACACGACAGAGGAACACGGCAGGAGGAACACGGCAGGAGGAACACGGCAACAGGAACGTGGCAGGAGGAACACCAGAGCCCAGCATGCGCACCTAGGGCAGCTACCGAAGGTGGAACCTGGGGATCAAAACGATGAACCGGAGAGGTGGACGAGAGAAAGTTTGGGGCGCTTTTGGAATAATAATGAAAAGCAACGTGCACGGTGTGCCCAGACGCGCGTAATCAGTGTGTGTTACCTACTATGACATATGGATCAGAAACTGGACCACAGCTCCCAGATGTACGTAATTATAGAAATATATGAAATGTAGCAACAACAAAACATTTTAAGAATTCAAATCCATACCATTTGCAAAAAAAAAAAATCCAAAACCAAATGTGCAGTAAATATTCAATTAAACACGCGCATGGGATTATTTATTTTGACAGCGCTCTTTATTTATCGGACTCCTAGGAGATGAGCCGGCTTTTAGCGCACGCAGCGCTGGCCCCTCACTCGCTCGCCCACTTGCCCGCTCACCCCCCCTGGCAACCAAAAAATAAACCGGGGCCAAAGACAAGGCCGCCGCATCGCGGCATCGCCGCCCACGATGCCTCGACTCTCGCGGCCTCCGCGCCCGTGCAGTGGGAGATTCGTGGGCGGCGCTTGCGGAGGAAGCTGACCGTGCGTGCCCACGACGGGAACCCGTGGGTTCTGTGGCCGCTGCGACCGACCATCGTTGAAGGGAAAGGTGCAGCCGTGAAATTATTGTTGGGACCTGCCGACCGACGACTCAGCGCGGGCCGTGACCCCGTCTAGACCACTGGGTGGACAAGTGCGGCACGGGAGGATGAAAGAAACTCGCTCCATCGCCTGAACTGCGTCGTCAGGATATCAAATCGATGTAAGCGGCGACCTCTGCTTCCACATTACCAGCGCGTCCCGACCGTTAAGCCAAAACAGAACAACGATGACACGCTCTCTCTGTGTGTGTGTGTTTTTTTAAGACTCTTTACGGCTCCTGCTGGAGGTCCTGCCAAAAACAAACTCTCTGACCTTCCTCCTCCAGCATCTCCTGACCAACGCCATCCTTGCAACCCCCCACCGCGCCACCCCTGCCCCCCCCCCCCCCCCCCCACGCCAACATCGCTCTTCCCACGTTAAGCCCGGGCGCAAAGCACAGCGCCCGTAAAGCGTCGGGGCCGTGGCGCCAGCGAGCCCCCTGCCGCCCCCCCCCCCTCTCTCTCTCTCTCTCGGTGGGGTCTCTGTTGAGCGAAATCTTGAAGTGCAGACCGGGCCTCGGGGCGTTGACTCCCTGGCAGCCACAGCGCCGCCCATCCACTCGCGCTCGATATTCGTCGCAACGGGCGCAGCGCGCGGTCGCTTTCCGACGCAGGGATCCACGCCCAGGCTTCCTTAAACGAGCCGTTAAATTGTTACGGGTCGATGTTTTTTTAAATTTTATTTTATATATTTTTATCTTGTTAAACGCTGGGATTCAATTGTAAAAATAAATAAATTGACAGCCGAGTGTTGTTATTGTTGTGAAATCGCGTTTCCGATTCGTCGCGTTGTGGTTGAATTTGGGGGGGGGGGGGGAGGTGCGGGGGGCGAGTGGGAATTGTACGGCGATGTTTTGTGTTTTTGTAACCGCGGTTGCTGAGGAGAGCTGGCTGGCTGGAAACGCCAAGCGCGCACAGCGAACACGCGGTTAGCGCTACTGATAAATAAGAGCGAGCGCGTTCGTTGAATTGAGCGAGGTTATCGCAAGAACTCTTGAAAGAGAGACGATGATGGGAGGAGGAAGAGTTGAGCAGTGTGAGGGGGGCAAGGCAGAAGGAGAGGTTTTGTGACCTGCAGTGTAGCGAGCCAATGTTTGTGTGTGGTAAGCAAAGTGCCATGGGTGTGTATGTGAGCGTGTGTGTGAGTTGTGGTGCATCAGCCAGTCGTCTCAGTCAGTGGACCCACGGGCACCTGGGTCTGCCCCGTGACCTTCTGCCAGCGGGCGTTCGACACTTCACGTGGCCTCAACGTGCACCTAGCCTGGCACAAGCGCCGTGGTGACGTCACCGCCACCTAGTGGCGAATGGCGGTTGTTGTTGTGTGTAAGTGTGTGGCCAAGTGTGCGAGTGTGTGTGGGGAGCGGCAGCGTCGCGGTTAGCACACTGCACTACGAACCCGGCGACACCCGCTCACGGCCGCCACCAGTTACGATTATCTGAACCAGTTCTGAGCCTCGCCTTGGTTTAGTCAGCCTCAAATGAGTACCTGGTGCGGTGTGTAAACATCGTCACTTGGGAGACAAAGGCGGCCGTGCATGGCGCACGGCCTAACAGCACTTGCCCTAACAGTCTGCTCAAAAGGCTATATGAGGGATCTTTGTCTTTGTGTGAGTGACAACGAAGGCCGGCACGGCACACGAGGAGGTGGGTGGCCAGCACCATGCTTGGCTGCCTCCCCAGTGCTAATGTTTACACACCACGCAAGGTGCTCAAAGAGGCCCACAACCGATTCACATTCGTCGCTGGTGTTGGCCATGAGCGGGAATCCAACTCCGGTCGGCGGGTTTATTTCGCAGCGCGCTAACCACTACACTTTTGCTCCCCACAGTTACGTGCACACATACATACAAATAGAGACAAAGATCCCCGTTATAGACTTAACAGACTGTTGGGACAAGTGCTGTTAACGAGCACCTATTAAGGTCGGCACGGCACACGAGGGGGTGGTTGGCTAGCACCACGCCCGGCTGCTTTTGTCTCCTCGGTGGCGATTTCTTTTTATATATCGCACCAGATATTAATTTGAGGCTGAGTCGACCCAGGAAAATGTTCAAATAATCGTCACTGGTGATGGTGGCCAGCGAGCGGGAATCAAAGTCGTGTCGCCGGGTTCGTTCGTAGTGCAGGGCGCTAACCGTTGCGCCACCGTTCCCCAAAACAAAAACACACACACGCAAACGCAGGCACACACGCGTACACAGCCACGCGCGCGCGTGCGCTCGCGCGCACACACATAGCTTCACGGGACCGTGGAAAAACCAACACAATTACATGAATGGCGAAAATGTGCTGCGGGTAACGCGAGCCAAGACGCGTCCCCCGCGGGGAGGAAGCTCGCCCGGTGCTGGGCCCGGCAGCCTGGACCCCCCCACCCCCCCCCGCCCGCGCCCGGCCCGGCCTGGCCTGGCGCGGGCGCGGAGCTGCGGTTTGGTGAAAAAATGCGGCCGTGGAAGCCCGAGCCACGGAGGCCCCCCCCCCCCACCCCTTCACCCCCTGAACGGTTTCAGATGGTGGCTGAAACGTCCTCCGCCGTGGGGAATGGGAGGTTAAAAAAAAAAGAGGAATCGACTCCCCGCCCCCCCACACCCCCCCCCCCCCCTCCTTGGTGGTTTCCAAGACTGAAATGTAACATTTCACTGAGGGTTACTCGATACGCTGTTAGAAACCCTATCCATCTGACAAGTCTTTGGCAACGGTACGGTCAAATGTAAATTAACGATTCGAGCGAGGGCAAAACACAAAAAAACTAAAATGTGCGTGTTTACCGGGAAAAAAATTAGAGGGGCCCCCATCTACAATGCGCGACCAAACGCCGGAGGCGCGGAGAAAAAAAAAAAAACTGGATTTGAAATATTAAGTGAGATGATGATCGAGCGACCAACTGAAAAAAAATCCTTCCCTGCGAATGAAGTTGTCAGCGACATTTCGATATAGCGACTCTTACCGTCGAATTCCTCGCTACTTTGTCCGAGGAAGAGCGAGAGAGCGAAGGAGAGAACGGGGGGGGGGGAGGGGGAGTAGCGATTGCGAGAACGGGAAACGAGAGACAGGGGAGACGGAGAGGGTCAAATGGCGCAGAATTGGTGAGTGAGTGAGTGAGATTGTGGCGTACGCCGCCTGCAGAGCGTGTGGGAGTGAGAATGTGGGAGCAGAGAATGAGCGTGGCGGTGTGATGAAGATAATGATTTGCATAAATTAATCTCTCAAATGCCACAGCATCTCAAAGAAAATGTCGTAAATTTTCGGTCCTGTCAATCCAACGTTGGATGAAAGACTTCCCCATCATAGCGGTCGTTTGAGCATACTTCACCACATTGGCAAGCGCCAGTTGGTGAAGGGACCGGCTCAAATATCATTTGCAAAGTGACGTTAGCCGTGGACCGGTAGCGCGTTGACGCGACGTCCGATGTTTTGTGCGGCGCGTGGCCGGGGAGCGATCGCGACAGCCACCCCCCCCAAACCCCCGCGCCCTCGCCGGCTCACCGAGGCACTGCAACTTCACGGCGTTGTAGAAGTAGCCGGGCTGACACTGGCAGGTGTAGCCGGGTCGGGAGTTGGTGCAGCGTCCCATCTTACAGATCTCGCGTCCGAACAGCGTGCACTCGTCGGCGTCTGCTCGCCCGAGACAAAACGGCAAGAGGGACGGCAGTGGCCGGTTGCCAGCAACGTCACCGCGACAAAGTTGGCGAAAACACCGAGTTTCAGAATCGGTATCGTCGTCGTCAGCAGCAGCAGCAGCCAGCTCTGGTCCAAATTTTTCCCACTGCAGAAAAGGCTTGACGGGACTTTCCTGAAAAAGCGGTCACGAGAATACGGAAATGTCACGTGTGGAGCCATTGGTGACCGGGCCGAGACCATTCACTCACCGCGCGTGGGAACCTGAAACATTTCATCCCCGTTGGATGGCTCAAACCAGTATTCAAACCCATGCCCTTATCCGTGCTGGCTCGGCGATCTCACCCCTGAGCCAACCCGGCAAACCTCGCCGCGTAATTTATTGCTTTAATAAAATTATTAGATAATTATCTTCTATGTCTGTTCTCTTTCACGGTTGACTTATCCGTGTGTCCACACTCTTGCTGGTCGTAAACTTGTTTTCTTCTTCTTGCGTGCGGTTCAGGGCCATCAGTCAAAACATTGATCATGCGGCGTTTGTATCCCTTAGATTCCCTCAAAAGAATCTCTCCAGCGATTGCGAAGAGGCTACACAGCTGGCAAACGACGCCCGCACGTGCTTCCGCCGCGGCGATTATTTTGCTTCATTCGGTGGAAAAATATATAAACCAATTATCTAGGAGGCTCCCGGGATGTAATAAACTCTCTCTCCGCTGGACAATCGTCTCGGGTTGCAGCTCCAGCGGTCACGACGAGCAACGCGCGGAGATTTTCGCTCGAGCAGTTCTCTCGGCGACGCAACGCGCGAGCGGAGGTCGGCGAGCGTCTCCTCAACCGTCGGTCGGTCCCGCCGAGAGGGAGCGAGCGAACGTCCGTGTATGCACGTGTGTACGTTCAACTTCTTTCGCACCATACGTAGCCAACCGCGCTAATCGGATCTGCGGAGGAAGGACAACGAGCAAACACACAAAGTGTAATTCTAAAAGAAGTTAGTTTTCGATCTAGGTGTGCACAGCTCCAGTGGCTTCCTCATATCCGAAGAGAGCGCGTTCGATATGGCCGCAGAAGCGCACATGAAAGTGCGCGACAAGGCGACCGTCTTTGTTCGATGGCCAGCCAAAAGCCGCCACCGCCGCTGCGAAGATGGCCGGAGTTCGCGTGATGATTTCTGGCTTCTTGACGAAACCAGCAGGGAGGTATCGTGGTTCACTTGTGGGATGCAGCGAGGTATCGTGGGGTTGGTTCACACCGACGCGGGCGCACGGTTCCGGCCAAAATATTCACACGTGTAACATTCTACATAGAAAGACAAAAATGTCATAATAATAATAATATGTAGACCTTTGTCATTTTGTTGTTGGATGCAGGCCGTCAAGTGTCACTGGCTGTTTTGGGTTGTTTGGCGATACTTCACCGCACTGGTCAGTACGGGTTGGTGATGGAAGTGGGGTGTGTGGACACTAGCTGACATTAGCCATGGCAAGGAATCGAACTCGGGTCCGCCGTGTTCACAGTGCGACACACTCACCCCCGCGGCCACCAGGATGCACATGAACGACCGTCTGGCGTATCGCGCACGCACCAACGAGGACAACAGCACGGACAAAATTACGATCGTGCGGCCGGTCGTGCGAGGCCAAGAGCCTCGCCGGCACGGCGGTGACAACCGGCCGTTCGTCTACATGGCCGGAGCTCCCCGGGGCGAACGGTTGCGGACCCCCGCTCTTCGACCGCACTCGCCGCCACGATCGAACACTGCGCGGCTGCTGCCCCTGCACCTGCACCTGTGCAACCGGAGCCTCGAGTCTTACATCTTACATCACCTCCCGTGGAGAGACGCTCACGTCATCGCCCGGTCGGGAACCCACGAGCCATCGTAGCCCAACGCGGAATTCCCTTGGGGGGCGCTCGGCCGAATGTTAACGTGAGCCACGGGCCAAAGCGAAACTTAACGTTGGGCCCGCTTCTGGCCGCTTTACGGCGAGCGCGGGAGGAGTTAATCGACGCTCGCACAATTAGCGCCGGAAGATTTCTGGTGCCGTTGCTGCAGCTCGACGCTCGCCCCGTGACGCGAAGCGGCCGTTGCCCTCCGCGCTTTTGCGCCAACACGAGCGTCGTGTTGGCGCATCGGAGCTCACGCTCGGGAGGGCTTCTCACCATTACTCAGGGCCGAAACGACATCGAAAATGTTGTTCGTTGTTATATATATATTTTTTAAAGTTGTTAAAACAAGACACAACTCGTTGACAAAAATAAAACGGGTCGGTGGGGTTCATTACTTTAAATGTGACCTGTAAAATTAGTGGCGGCGACTCGGGTTAATCTGCCAAACGAAAAGGGAAGCCTTCGATTTTATTTTTTTTAAATTGTACGGCTTCGCAAAAACGACGACGTTAAATCGCGTGAAGCGGCGCTGGGAAACGGCGGAGCCGTCAAAAGGTCAGATGCGCAAGCTCGGAGGGAGAAGAGAGACGCAGAAACCCCTCCACATCATTAGCTGCGCTTGCAAAACTGTAACGTGACACTTGCTGCCGAGCGGCGGAGTGTGAAGCCACGCTCGCAGACACCCAGATCCTCGTTCGTTCTTTTTGTTGTTGTGCCCTTCCGCGAGCCCCCCCGCGCGCTCCATCAACATGTACACAAGACCCCCCGAGCGCCGCACAGATGCAAGTCATTAACACCAGTCGTGGCTTTCCTCCTCCACAGTGGCATACCAAACCAAGCAGTTAACAAATACATGACATACGCATTGCATGCGCATTGCATGCACATTGCATACGCATTGCATACGCATTGCATGCGTATTGCATACGCATTGCATATGCATTGCATACGCATTGCATACGCAAAACATAGACAGATTTCTCCCCATACTCTTTGGTTCTTTCGACCTTGCTTTAGTAGCTTCCTCTCTCTCACCTGAAGACGGTCGCTTGTGTTGCGATCGAAACGTCGTGATCTATTAATTTTATACCTACGTGACTTTACCAAAAGAACCAAAGAGTATGGATTCCTGCAGTCACAAAAGCTTCAAGTCAAGATTACATTCCCCCCCATACAACCCGAACAGAGCCTCCCCCCGCACATCGCATTAGCACGTTCTGTGAGAAAGAAGTTCAACATTCATACACACATACATACAGACCTACGGGGCAAGTGCTGTTAGCGAGCACCTATAAAGGCCGGCACCGCATACGAGGGGGTGGGTGGCCAGCACCTCGCCTGGCCACCCTTGTCTCCCCAGTGGCGATGTTTACGCACTGCACCAGGTACTCATTTGAGGCCGAGTCGACCTAAGGGAAGCCCAGGACTGGCTCAGATAATCGTCGCTGCTGTTGGCCGTGAGCGGGAATCCAATTCGGGTCCCCGGGCGCGTAGCGCAGCGCGCTAAACGCTACACTACCGCTCCCTACACGTACAAAAAGACAAAGATCCCCCGTATAACCGTAACAGACTGTAGGGGCAAGTGCTGTTTAGCGAGCACCTCTGAAGGCCGGAACGGTACACGAGGGGGTGGGTGACCAGCACAACGCCCGACCGCCTTTGTCTCCCCAGTGGCAATGTTTACACACCGCACAAGGTTCTCATTTGAGGCTGAGTCGACCTAGGGGAGGCCCGGGACCGGTTCAGATAATCGTCACTGGTGTTAGCCGTGAGCGGGAATCGAACCCGGGTCGCAGGTTGCATAGCACAGCGCGCTAACCGCTACACTACCGCTCCCCCACACGCACGCACACGTAGACGCATACTAACGCACCACTTCCATTCATCATGCGCACGCCAATTATTGCCTCATGGCAATTTGGCCCAAAGGAAACCGCAGCTTGCACGCTCGGCACAGGGCTCTTCCCACCGCGCTTAGCACAAATGAGGAAATATTACATTTTTTGCCGTGCACAATTTTTGTAATCGCGGGGCTATTATCAAATTTGTACAATTGGGGTCGTTGATAATGGCACAAAAGCCGGCCGAATGTGGTGACTAATCCGACCGGCGGGGAGACGTCCGCACCTCCCGCACGCCGGTCGCTGTGCGGCGTCGGAGCGCCGAGAGGCGTGCCGGGGTGGCTCACAGGGCATGTTCCATCACAGCAGAGATCCGGAGGTCCATTCCGGGTTTTCAGCCACCACGTGTTTACACCGGGTTCTCAAGCGTAGCAGAGTTTGACGGTCTCGGTGACTTTTGTTTCACATTGCATGCGGTTAATTTGGCTACATTTCAGCTGTGAGAATGACAAATAGCCCGTTCGACTGTCGCGTGACGAACGATCTAAGAGCGGAGTTAAACAAATTATCCGGAGATGCTGCTGCTGCTGCGCTGGCAGTGGTGCGCGCAAGCACACATAGCAAAAAAGCAACTCTTAATTTAGTTCTCAAAAATGTGCTACAAAGAAGGGCCGTTGCCCAAAACGTCGCCTATTACGCATGTTATTGTAAGGCCTCAGTAATGTTGTTACAATAGGAGAGCGTTGTGTGTGGCGAAGTCCACCACTCGGCCGTCTAAAGGGTAAAGAGGACGCATGAAGGATGCTTGAGAGGTGCCGGGTCACGAGGATGACACGTGACATGCTCTGTACAGTGCATGCCTCGGTCTATTTTCCGTCGTGCGAATTAAAGCTGTTCAGGAAAATCGCTACATAGTAAATTCATTACAGCTTATGTTAATTACGCTTTTTTTTTCTCGCACATAAATTGCCCAGTACGCAGTTTATATGGGGCGAGGAGATGATATTCTCCCTCGTCTGGTACGCAGGAGGTTCGATCAAGGGCTCCGGCGATGCTTGCTGTACATTTGGAGTTCACGTGTTGTCTCTCTCTCTCTCTCTTGCCGACGTGGTCGCGTGGATTGTTCTCCGGGCTCCTCCGGTGGTGCCCTCCACATTTAGATTCAACGCGCGTTGAGATTATTTGGCTGCTCCTCATACGTTCCCGCGGGGGATGATGATGATGATTCAGCCACTTTGATGGATGAGCTATCACGCGTGGCCACGTCACCTCTGCACAATAGCTCAAGTGGGCTTTATCCGGTAAGTAAAATAGTAATCAGTAATGAAGCGGTTTATAACTGGAGATGCTGGCGACAATTAATCAAATTACGAGAGGGGGTATACGTCGAGTGGGTAGGGGGGAGGGGGTGGTGGTGGGGGGCGGGGGGCGAGCGAGAATCATTGTACGGCAGCTCCCATCGACGTTCGTGCCCAGGGGCGTTAGGGTATGAATAAAAGAAGGGAAGCAAAGGAAGGCTGGCCAGGCGGGCGGTGTTAAACATCGCGTCGCGCTCGGCTCACTTTCACAGCGGCGCAGGAAGAGAGCGCTTGCCTTCCCTCGGAAGCCGGCGGCGACCTCTCACCCACCGGCTGGCCGCGGCCGGAAACGTGTGCCCGTGTCGGCGTGAACCAACCCCACGGTACCTCGCCGCTTGCCCCCCCCCCCATTGAAGCACGACCAGCCTGCTGCTCATTTCGCCCAGGAGTCCTAAACCAACACGCGAACTCCGGCCGGCCTCGCGGCGGTGACGTCGGCTTTTGGCTGGCCGTCGCCTTGTCGCGCGCTTTCAAACGCGCCTCTGCGGCCGTCTGAAACGCTCTTCGTTTCGATATTAGGATGCCACTCGAGCTATGCTGGAGATTGAAAACTAATTTCTTTAGAACTGCCTTTTTTGCGCTGAGTTTGTTGTCCTTCCCCCCCCCACCCCCCACCCCCCGCACATCCGATTAGCACGATTGGCTATGTACGGTGCGAAAGAAGTTCACCATACATACACACGTACACAGTGCCGACGTGAACCAGCCCCGGCGATGAGAGGCGGGGGTGTAAACGAAGCACGCGTAATGTGGAACATGGGGCGCGATGCCTCCCTCCCTCCCTCCCTCCCTCCCTCCCTCCCTCCCTCCCTCCCTCCCTCCCTCCCTCCCTCCCTCCCTCCCTCCCTCCCTCCCTCCCTCCCTCCCTCCCTCCCTCCCTCCCTCCCTCCCTCCCTCCCTCCCTCCCTCCTTCGCCTCCACCACGAACCCCGCACCGCTTCCACTCATTAACGGTGGCGCAGCCGCTAACGAGATCCTTAGCAGCATCCGATTTTCACGGCCCGTTAATGAGACGAGTTCACTCACGGCGTCAGAGGGGGACCAAAGTTGGGTGGGGGGGGGGGGGCGCAGCGGGGTTGGTCGGCTCAGAAGCCGGCGCTGCCTGCCCACACTGAGACCGTTAAGAGAGCAGACGGCGACGTTTTGCGGAGACGATGGAGAGGATGGGTTGGCTTCGCGCATATCCACGGCACATTTTTACGCGCTATGAAAAAGGGTGCCGTTGTCTGAAATGTCGCCGATTTAACGGGTTTTTTTTTCCTTTCAAGGCCACGGTGTTATTTACAAATATGTTGAGTTTTGTTTTTCTTCCGCTTCCTCTTTAATTGTGTTTGTGCACCACTGCCAATGCAGCAGCAGCGGCATAACCCAATTATTCCTTCTATTTGTGTATAACTACTGAGATCGTCTTGAAAAAAAAAATGTCACAGGGACCCTGGGCATTGATAAAATTGACACTGGAATGTAATGAGTGCCACTCACTGCACGAGTCTGCGTGCCTCCCCCTTGCCGCTCACCTTGGAAGATTCTCCTGCTGGTGACAGGGTCCTGGCTCGGGATGTTTCCTCTGCCTTCTGGACACAGCGACCGAAACTCCTCTGCAGAAACAAGAGATCCATGGGCTCACTCGCACGGTGAGCGGTAGACTCACACGGAGAGCCGTAGACTCGCATGGAGAGTCATAGACTCGCACGGAGAGCCGTAGACTCGCACGGAGAGCCGTAGACTCGCATGGAGAGCCGTAGACTCACACGGAGATCAATAGACTCACACGGAGATCCATAGACTCACACTGAGATCCATAAACTCACACGGAGAGCCGTAGAGACTCACACAAAGAATGATAAACTCACACGTAGATCCATAGACTCACACAAAGAATCATAGACTCACACGTAGATCCATAGACTCACACGGAAAGCCATAGGAGAAACCTACAACCATACACTTACATAGGGACAACCATAGACTCGCTTAGACACCCATATGCTCGCATTTGTACCCATAGACCCACATGGAGACCCATAGACTCAAATGGGAATCCTAAGTGTATGTATGTTGAACCACTGTCGCACTGTACGTAGCCAACCGTACTCATTGGAGGTGAACATGGGTCGAAGGGAGTCTTTGGGCTTCTATGTAAGTGTATGGGACCCCCTGTAAATATTTGGATCTGTATATGATGAGACCTATATACTCACATACAGACCCAGGGACCCATAAACTCACACAGAGACCTATGACCGACTTCCTCTCACAATAAACACACCGTGTCTGCACAGTATCTTGAGATGTGGTGGCATTTATTGTACAGTATTATCTCACTCTCAAAGAGAGAGAGAGACTGTGGTGCGAGAAAGAACCACAGACAAGCGGGGTAGGAAACCAGGCTGTGATCCAACACCAAATTCCCTCCCGAGCTCTGCAGTCCTCTACATATATATGAAGGCATTACCGGCCAATCAACGAGCGTTTAAATGTGGGAGGAAACTGTTGTGCGTGGAGAAAACCCACACGTACACAGGGGGCCAACGCTGGACTACTCCGCTGAAATGGAAACGGGTGTGAAGTCCGCATTCGCTGTAGGGCCCTTCTCCCGGCAAGCCAGGGTACACGGCTCCCCCACGACGCCCACGACAACTGCGCGATGATCCGCCGACCCTCGCCGCTGCCTCTGTTGGTCAGCGGATTACCTGGCCACCTGCAAGCGTAGCCACCGCCGCCGCCGCCGCCGCCCGGCTAGCTCGCCGTGCCGCGTCTCACGCGGTTGCTTCTCGCGGCAAGGGGGGGGGGGGTGGGGTGGGGGGTGGGGCGCTTGCGGTTACCGGTGCCGGCGGGCGGGCAGGGCCGGATGGCGCAGTCGGCGCCCCAGCCGGCGCCCGCGGTGCAGCAGCACTCGGCGCGGGTGGCGTTCCACGCGAGCACGTTGGAGCACGCGGTCTCGGCGTCCACGTCGTAGTAGCACTCCTTGCGCTCGTCGCGGCCAGAGCTCCCCGTCCTCGCGGGCACTGCGGCTGATGACAGACGGGAGAAGGGGGGGGGCGACGAGGGGGGGCGGGGGGGGGGGGGGGCGACGAAGGGGGGGGGGGCAGGGAGGCGCGACGAGGGGGGGGGCGGGGAGGAGGAGGATGACGATGATGATAATTACGATCCTGTTCGTGCCGATGGCAAATTTGTTCCTTTGATCAATGCCAAAAGATGTCCGGATCTGCTGGCCGAGACGATGGGGCTTCTGCTGAATGAGCACAGGACCACAGTGGTTTACCGTGCGGTCGATAGTTTGGGCTGCATGGCCACAATCACACTATGGCATGTCGAGTATTTGATGACGCTGTGTCATCATCATAATCATACGTTTATGATTATAATATGATTATGATGCACAAGTAGAAGAAAAAAGTAGGAGATCTTATATTCTTGGCTCTTTCGGTAAAGCCACGTAGAAGGGAAACAATAAAATAATAAAACTAATTAAAAAAAGATCTATAAACTCCGGTTACGGACAATAGACCCCCGACACTCACCCGGCCGCCGGTCGGAGCCTTCTGGGAAGACGACCGCACCGTGCCTCTCCGTCGTTTCGGCAAAACCTGCGAGACAGTTTCATGAAACAATTCCTGAATTGGCTGTATTAGGAACGCGAACCCCAAAATCGTGACAAATTCCGAAAATAGCTGTTGGGTTTTGATCGCGTGTTTGCGGACGGAGGGATGTTCACGCACGCTGCCTCAGATGCCTCATTCCTGTACCTGACGCCATATAAGTTGTACGCGACGTTCATGCAGCACGCACACTAATATGTTGTAGATTTAAACATGTTTGAACGCGTGTTATCGCGTGTTTGCTATGTATGCCGTCACCTGATACCCTGGACACCCCTGCGAAGTGATGAGATCGCAAGGGATTATCCTCCAGGTATCCGAGAAATATATAATTGTAAAAAAAAAGAGATAAACGAGGTACCTAGTCTCCACGTGAGGCCGGGCAGCGATCCCGTGGAGTGGAGATTGGGAACTCCGATGGCAGAATCTGGAACAACACAAAAAGTCACCTCATCCCTTTTCCTCCATCCCCTCCCCTCCTGTCGACAATTTCACAACAAATAGACGACCTGCAGCAGCTGCTGCTCCTTAAGACGCAAAAGGTGTAAGAATATAACATTTAAAATAAACATCACTCAATTTGAGTTGAGGTTTTTTTTTATACGTACGTTTTTTTTTTTATAAAATAATAGCAACATGGAGGATGGGAGTTGTGGGGGGGGGGGGTTCTCACCGGGCCGCGCCGGCGTGCCTGCAGGAGGATTGGCAGAGCCGACCTGGCCATGTCCCTCCGGGAGTGCTGTGCGGTGGAAAGAAAACACACGACCGTGAAATCCGCCGCCCGGGAACTCCACTTGGAGCCGAGCCAGGCCAGCGCCGTGATGCCGCCGGCACGTGATATTCAAAAAATATGATTTCAACAAGCGGAATTTGGGAAACTTTTTACATCGTCATTATTATTTTTTACGATCATTAAATAAATTTGAATGCCACTTTATGTTTGGTTCTTTTGGCGAAAATAACATTTCCGCAGTGGTGTTGGCACGCGGCACATTGGCAGGAGTCACACGGTCACTCTGTCGACATGACAAACGCCCCCCTTCACCCAACGGAATGCCGCCGCCGCCGCCGCGATGTAGCGTTTAGCGCAATTGGCTTGCAATCCAGAGGTCGTTTCGATCTCCTGGCAGGTGAGACAACCCCCCCCACCACCACCACCCCTCCTGCCCCACCACCCCCAACATCCCTCCCTGGCCAGCATCTGTCCACGCAGAAGTTGACACCCATGCAACCGCAAATTAAACGATCAGCAAGTCGCGTGCGGTGGACGGTTACTCCCATTACTTCCAAGGCATCTGGCCGGCGTGGAAAAGTAAACTGAAGAGGGGTGGAGGGGGCTCTCCTCGAGCAACGGCACGAGAAATAAACTGCAGGGCTGTGCCTTTACCTTTACCAGGGGAATCATAAAATATCTCTCGGCGTCACATAATGAAGGCAATGGGGAATCGATACCTGTGTGAACGCGTTGAGCCGTGTGAACAGCAGGTCCTCGCTGGCGATCATGACTCCCTTGAAGAGAGCGGAGAAACGCGACCGTCATTCTCATTGCATACGACGCCGTGGAGCGGATCCCTGCCGAGCAAACCTCAAGGCCAACGGTCGAGACAAATGACGGAATGTACGTACGTGTGCGTGTTGAACTTTTTTCGCACCGTACGAAGTCATCCGTGCTCAGGGGACGTGTCGGGGAAGGAAGATTAGCTAAATACAAAGAGCAGTCCTGAATACGAAAACCACAAATTAAGAATGGCAGTGAAGAGAGGGAGCCACGCCCGAGAGAGAGAGAGAGCAGGTTGCATCGCGGAGATCGGACCGTTACATCGCAGGGCCGTGAGAGGTGGCGATGGATTTGGGGAGGCTTTCATCCAGAAGTGAATTGATCATAGCTTCTGACGAATCAAATTTGATTGGGGGGGGGGGTTCGGGGGAATGGTGGCACAGTGGTTAGTGCACTGCGCTTTGATTTACAAACTAACATTTTGTGACGATTCCTCGTTTTCAGCAACGGCGATCGCGAGTGGCAAACTGAACCACGGTATGGGGTGAACAATCACAGGCCGGGGTGAGGAAGTGTATCATCACAGGAAGCCGTCAGTCATGTAGCGCGGGGGGAGGCCTTCATCCAGCAGTAGAATGACAAAGGGGCCGTAACGCAAATATGCGCTGACGACATCGTTCGGACGTCTTGGGATTTTGCGCAAGGCTCGCATTCTTTATTTATTTTTTCTTCCCTCACGTGCACTCGGGGTTCGTGGCCCCGAGCCGGAATGGCATGCCGAGACGCCGCAGAATTTCCTCGCTTGAATAACAAAAAAAAAATCATCACGTTTTTATTTATTTTCTTCCTCTCTGCTCTTCGTGCTTCAAGAAAATTTACACCATCCCTTGGACCATGTGGTAAAAAAAAAGAGGAGGAGGTTTGTGCGCCCAGCCCTACGATATCAGATTGATTTTGGCATGAGGTGTCTTCTGTGGAAAAAAAACCGAGAGGGCCGACAGGAGCGCTCGCAGGAGCCAGCGGGAGAGGCGCCCCGTCAGGGACCTCCTCTCTCGCGGAGACCCAACGGCGATCGCCGCCAACGACGGCGCACAACGAGGGCCCGTGCGGAAACAAAATGACAAATGTGTGTTCGCTCGTCGTGTTAAGGTCGCGGGGTTCACAGAGACCGTTCCCGTGAAGGATGTTCACGTGTTTAAACACAAAACAACCGAAGGAGATTTTCTCCAGGGTTCCTCCCCTCCCCCCGCCACCACTGCCCGCAACCCGCCCACTGTAGCCGCGTGTTCCAACGCAACGAAGAGAGGACGCGGAGGCCCGATCCGGGCCGCCAATAACCCCAGAGCCCTCGCACAACCCCCTCCGACGGGGCCGCTGCGCGATTCACAGCCGAGTTTTTGTTTTTATCATATCGGTCAGATCGCCGCGTAGGCAAAAAAAAAAAGAAATGCGTCGCCATCAGCACACCCCTCCGCCACCCGACACGCGGACCATTCGCGAAGTTTGCCGCGCGAGCAAACGTGCCGGTGTGCGCTGCAGAGGCACTCGCGGTGCGTCGAGCCGCTCCGTAGCAAATCGTTAAACGCGCCGCGAAAGCGTTCGCTCGCACGTTCAACATCACCACGCCGTCCGGGTTCGCCGATCCTCTTCAACCAAAGGAGGAACCAAAGCCATCGCGGTTGGGAGCTCTTCCGCCTCCGCCGCCGTGCGCGACGCGTTGGGGAGGAGGAGGGGGGGGGGGCAGGGGGGAGTTACCGGGCCGCGGGTCCGGAGTGCGGGACGGTGATCCGTGCGCCGGCTGCCCGTCCGTGTGCGAGCTGTGACCTGCAAGTGGGAAAGGCAGAAAAACGACAGCCTCATATTCCGATTTACGATCGCGTTCAGTGGGCACGAAGGTTCTCTTGTTGTTGTTGTTGTTTTGTGTAAAAGTAGAATTTACGAACAAACCAAAACAAATATCGGTGCTCACCTGGTTGTGGCCTCGACGACATCGGTGTTCGCTGACCTGCGTTTCAAAAAGGGTGGGGGGATTCCCGGATTAAACTTGAATCGAGGTCACAATTTGTGATTTGTTATTTAATGTCAAGATACTACAACCGATCTCCCCGACTTAGGCCAAATTCACCCAAACCGGCGATGCGACAAAATCTCGTGATTCCAGGTTGCAATTTCGTTCCCTATTCGACATTTTTCTTCTCGTTTTTAGCGTCGCTTTAGTGTTGCTTAATTTTGTTTTTGTGTCCCGTCCCGCGCGGCTTTGTTCACTCCATCAGAGTCCAATACTGGGAGGACATTTCCATGCAACTTGCACGAACGCAAGCAACCTCCTCTGCCGCGTGACGTTCGATGCACGCAGCGTTAACGCAATAAATTACACTTTTTAAGTGACGGAGTTATACATCGTTATGCAACACAGATTTGCAAGATAACATTTCGTCAGGATTCCTCTGCACAAAACTGTGGCTGGGACCTGCTGCGAGAACGTTCGTTTCGGCTCTCGTCAGTTCGAACATTGCCACCCTGCGTTGTCCTGGAACTGCCGCCGCCACTGCCGACGGCTTTGGACTGAGATCATCCTGCCAACAGAGCTGTCTTGGCTCAATGGGTCTCACCGGCTGGAATAATAAAGTCGCGGTCTGAGTCTATGAGTCTCTGTGTGACTCTGTGTGGATCTCTATCCGCAAGGTTACAGAGTTGACGTCTGACGTACGTCTCCTCAAAACTTTGTGCTGCCCCCTTTGCACCCTCGCACCCCCCGACTTCGCGCGGCTCGGGCGAATGACAATTCGCGAACGTGAAACGTCTACGGAACTCTCCCTGCAGACCCCGGCAGCTTGTCAAAAAACACGGCTCTGGATCGGATCTCAGCGGCCCCCCCCCGCCGACCCTCCCCCGGTCCCACGCGGCTCCTCCTAATGCTCACCCAGCGGCTCGTCAAACGCACGGAGCCAGCGTCGACGTTCACGCCTGGGTGGGCTCGGCCGAACGAAATTTGTTTCCTCTGTTGTTGTTTTTTAAAATTCCTCAATGTAATCTGCTTTAATGAATTCCTGCCAAAGTGAAATTTTAGACCGGCCGGATACGATTTCAATTAACCGTAAAAAGTTGTTGGGATAATCATGAAAAAAATTGTCAAAGAAAATAAGTCCATAATATAGGTATATAGGTATATACGTGTGCCAATAAACCCGCTACCACCTGACACAGCCAATTAGTAAGGTTTGTCACGTAAACAGAACACGCCAATTCGTTATTAGTACAGCACACCAGTGTATTGGAGAGCAAATCCACAACATTTACAATCTGAGTACGACGTTTCACCAGTAATTACAACTGGCATCATCAGGCCACACGTTCGCACGATCGTGGCATCGTGACAAAGAAAGCAAAACAACAGAAAACGTAATTGCGTCCGCTCACTATGATTGAACGCAAATGTTCGGGCCACCTGTTGGCTTTCCGAGGGCCCTGTTGTGCAACAGGAAACGCAGGGTGATCCATTTATACGAGGGGGTGGGTAGCCAGCAACCACACCCGGCCGCCTTTGTCTCCCCAGTGGCGATGTTTACGCACCGCACCGGGTAACTCATTTGAGGCTGAGCCGACCGAGGGGAGGCCCAGGACCGCTTCAGATAATCGCCACTGCTATTGGTGGCCGTGAGTGGGAATCGAACTCGGGTCTTTGGGTTCGTACGTAGCGCAGCGCGCTAACCGCCAGACTCGCGCACACGCAGGCAAACAACCAACCAAACAAATGCGATGGCAGAGTGTGTTTTTGTGCTGGCCACGCTGTATATTATTCCTTCACGTTACTCTCAATACATTGCAAAGCACGTGTTTGCATCCCAACGGGATGGGAGGCCGTGATCAAACAAAACAAAACAAAAGGCCGCTCGCGTCCGATTGGGCCGCGTCTGTCGCTCACCTGCGCCGCCAGGTTGCTGCTGCTGCTGCCTCTGCTGCTGCTGTTGCTGCTGCCTCTGCTGCTGCTGCCTCTGCTGCTGCTGCTGCCTCTGCGTGCCCGGGAGCTGTCCAACGTCCGTTGTCTCGTGGGAGCCTTCATGGAGCGGCGGCAACATCCCAAGACAGATTTCAGCGGCGCTTATTTGGCGTTGTCGCGAAACCGGATCCGGCTACGTTCGCTTTTGCCGTCAGCTGGGAACCGTGAGTGACGGACACTTCCCCCCGAGCCGCCGTGCGAGCGCTCGCCAAGGAAACGCGACAATCGCGCGGAATGAGCGGCGGTGCCATCCGCGCAACGGGCGTACAGGGGCAGCGCTTAGCGCGTAGCTCACGGACGCGGTTTGGCGATCGTACCGCGCGTTCGTGCCCGGGCGAGCGCCGTACCGCACGACGTCCAGGGGGGGGGGGGCGGGGGCGGGGGGGGGGTTTGCTCCGAGTCCTGGCAGATTCTTCGGGAGCTCCCGGTCACGTGGAGCGAGCGAAACAACGCGCGGTACGACCCAAATACACTAAAACGCGCCGGAGAGCAAAAGCGGTGGTGTTCGTCTATGTGGGTGTGCGTGTGGGTGTGTCTGTGAGTGTTCAAACACCTGGTCGAGTGCCTGGCTGGGCAGCTTGGCTGTGCAGGTTCAATGACTCGTTGAATTCTGCAATGATAAAATAAGCACACACGCACAAAGACAAAGGTTCCCGTATAGCCGTGAGTGTTGGGGCAAGTGCTGTCAGCGAGCACCTTGTGATGGCAGGCACAGCTGACGAAGGGGTGTTGTGGCCGGTATTACGTCTTGCCCACCTTTGCATCCCCTGGCACTGATTTCAGGAGGAATATATGGAAGGATGGAGAAGGAAGATCACATGGAAGGAAAGAAGGAAGGGACAAGCGGAGAGATGGAAGAAGGAACAGGTGGAAGGATGGAAGGAAGAACGGGCAGAACGAGTGAAATAGGAACAGGCAGAAGGTGGAACAGGTTGAGGGAATGAAAGAAGCAACAAGCAGAGAGATTGAAGGAGGAACGGGGTGTCACGAGGTGCAGGTAGAAGGCGGAGAGGGGGAGAGGCAGAGGGGTGGGGCGAGCACCTGTGGACGAGTGAGGCTGACAGCGCCCCAGCGTGTGGTCGTAGTCGTCGCCCTCACTGTCGCACACGCAGAAGAAGGTCCCCTCGACGTTCTCGCACAGCGCCTCGCCACACACACCGACCACCAGCTCACACTCGTTCACGTCTGTGTCACAAAAAAAAGACACAGATTCCCACCCCCCACACCCACCGCGTAGCCTTAACAGACCGCCGGGGCAAGCGGTGTTAGCGAGTGGCGCCTACAAAGGCCGGCAGGTAGTGCGGCCAGCAACGCGTCCGGACGCCTTTGTGCGATGTTCACACACCACAACCGAGTACTCGTTTGGGACCCGCGTCTACCGAGGGGAGGCCCAGGACCGGTTCAACTCGCCGGGTGCGATGGGGCCGTCACGCGGACGGTCCGTTGCCCCATGACAGCCCACGGTGAAAGGCTTCAAAGCTTCATAGCTCGTCGGATTCCTTAAGTCTAAATAGAAATTCTGATTCCGAAGGCCCCCGCGGTTTCCGCTCCTCGAGCCGTGGGAGCTCGTCAGCCGCAAACGTGCGATTCCCGAATAGATCACGTAAATATATAAATGTGCCATTAAAACCCGCCACCACCCGACACAGCCAACTAGTAAGGGTTGTCACGTAAACAGAACGTGGCCAATTCGTCACTAGTACAGCAACACCGGTGTGTTGGAGAGCCAAGCAACAACACTTACAATCTTGAGTATGACGTTTCGCCAGTAGCGCGTCGCGAGTGAGCGATTCCCCCCCCCTCCCCGCCTTAACGAGCGTCACGAAACAAACCATGGTCTGAGAAACGACTGCGTCAGACTTCCCTCCGAACGCTGCACCCGCGGCAGCGGGGCGGAGTGGCAATTCCTCACCTACGCATCCCTTGCCTTCCTCGGCGCTCTGGAAGCCCTGGTCGCACAGGCAGGAGTAGGATCCGTGGGAATTGACGCAGTACTGGTGCGGCCAGCATACGGCGTCTGCATCCTCCTCGCACTCGTCCGCGTCTGCGGGAGCCACACAGAGAGCGATCGCCGAGTCGAGCCGGGGGCTCCTCCGCCACCGTGAGGCTCCGGGCTCCGAGCCGACCGTCGTCGTGGTCAAGGCGGCCGCTACGCCGGAGCGAGCGTGTCGCGAATGAGCAAGCGAGCAAGAGACGCTCGACCGAGTAGTTCAGCGGCGCCCCCCGGCTCCTCCGACTCGCTATTCGCACGTGCCGCGAACAAGGTACGCGCCTAAACGCGTTCCCTCTCCCTGCTGCTGGATTACGTATGCGCGTGTGTTGAACTTCTCTCCCACCGTACGTAGCCAACCGCGCTAAATCGGAGGTGCCGGGGGAAGGACAAAAATAATTGAACACAAAAAGCGGTTCGACAGAAATGAGTTTTCAATCCAGATTATTTAAAAGTGCACAGCCCCAATGGCTTCCTAGTAAAAAGGTCTCTCCGCAGCGTGTGGAAGTCGGGGTGGACGCTCGACCATATTTAACCGCGCCGCTCAAGGAGCGGGGTTGGCAAAAAGGCGCGGGAGCACAGAACACAACCAGAATGGATGTTGTCCCATTGCCCTCTGCTGCCCACAACATAAGCCCCACAGAAGCCGACAGCAAGCTGCTTATATCGAGGTTCAACCCACGGTGTGAGCGTTGTTACCACTGCAGACGGATTCAAGAATATGTTGCTCTAGTTTTACAGCGCTAGCTTAAGTACTAAGCACAGAGGTGTAGGGAGATCCATGAGTTGTTGCTTGTCCATACTTCACCACACTGGTCAGTACAGGTTGGTGAAGCTGTCGGGGTACGAGGGGGGGGGGGCGGGTCCAAATCTTACTCGCCACTGATGGTAGCCGTGGCCAGGATTCACAATAAAGAATCACCGCACTCGGTATTGGCTTCATGCGCTAACCACTGAGCCACTGCTCCTTTTTTTGGGAAACTGTTTACACAAAGTGCCAGGAATACGTTGGATTTCAGAGTCACGATGGCCTCAACAGACTGGAAAGTGCTGTTAGCACGGCACACCAGGGGGTGGTTTGCCAACACCACGCACGGCCGCCTTTGTCTCCCGAGAGGCGACATTTACACATCGCAGCAGGTACTCACTTGAGGCTGAGTCGACCCAGCGGAGGCCCAGGATCGGTTTCAGATAACCGTCACTGGGTGTTGGCTGTGAGCGGGAATCGAACTCGAGTCGCCGGGTTCGGAGCGCAGCGTGGCGCTTAACCGCTACTACGCTACCACGTGCGCATATACACGCGCACGCACAAGGACAAAGATCCCCCGTATAGCCTTAACAGACTGTATGGGCAAGTGCTGCTAGCGAGCACCTATGAAGGCCGGCACGGCACACGAGGGGGTGACCAACACCGCGCCCGGCCGCCTTTGTCTCCCTAGCGGCAACGCTTACACATCGCACCGGGTGCTCATTTGAGGTTGAGTCGACCTAGGGGAGGCCCAGGACCGGTTCAGATAAAGGTCACTGGTGTTGGCCGCGAGCGGGAATCGAACTCGGGTCGCCTGGTTCGTAGCGCAGCGCGCTAACCGCTACACTACCGCTCCACACACGGAGCGCGCGCACACGCACATTGCGTTCGAATGCCCCCTCCCACCCCCCCACTCCACCGCGCCCCGTCTCACATCAACTCGCTCGCACGAACGCCGCCGCCGCCGCTCAGTCTCAAAAAGCGTCGACGCGGGGAAGCGGCGCGCGACAACCAAAACAGTCCCAAATAACGAGAACCGACTGCAACATCGCCCCGCCGCGCGGGGCACCAGGGGTCAAGTTCACAGACAAGCGAGCAACTCCCGTGCTCGCAAGCAAGTTCGAGACGGGCCACTCCGACACTGCGCGTAGAGATGGGAGATGGTGCGGGGGTGGGGGAGAGTGTGGCGTCCCGTGGTGTTGTTGTGGGGAGCCCAGTTTCGCCCAAAAACTACCCAGTAACTACATTTATTTTTTTATGTAGTGAGATTAATTGTGGACGAAGACAATAACTGATGAGTGGTAAAATGGCAAGATATGTAAACAGACAAGCGACGAGAGAGATGCGTGAAGCGTTTTAACTTTAATGGTGTTGCCATGTCGTTTATCAGGATGTGAACTTGAGGGATGAAATTTCTCTCTCGATAAATCAGAGCTCTCCTTGAGCTGCTTGGGGCCCTGAGCAAGGACTGGGGAAAAGTGGGGAGGGGAGGGAGAGACCGAGGGAATGAGACTCGGGGGGGGGGGGGGGGGCTCACTTTCATCCACCGTTCACCACCGATTCTCCCCGAGGAGGCCGGCAATAAATGCCCACGTGTCCTGAATGTGGCCGAAACCCACGTGGGATTCCTTCAGTCGTCAGACAGACAGAGAGAGAGAGCCCTGTGGCTCTCCACCGGTGCTACTGCTGCTCCGCATGCCGCGAAAGAGATATCTCTCAGCCGGACCGCGGGACGATGAAAACAGCCGAAGGCTAGCACGGCATTCAGCAATAAACCGTTGATTTACTGCTGCCCCAGAGCGTGAGATTTATTGTGGTAATAATAATAAAAGTAAAGATGCAGCCCCGCAAGTACCTGCTCGTGCCAGTGCTGGATGGATGGCCTACCACAAGAGAGATTGAGAGCGCTCTCGACAACAACAACAACAAAAAGAGCAAGCACTCGAACGGGTCGACGATAGGTTGCGGGAACGCAACGTCGGAGACATATATACGAGCTCGCTTCAGATGAGACGGCGAAGGTGAAAGGTGGAATGGACAGCTGCAGGGATACTCTCTCCAAGCGTGAGCTGGTCTTCAGTGGAATGGGGTGGGTGGGTGGCTGGGACCCAGCATTTTCCTTGCGGGGTTCTGTCACTCAAACGAAGCTGTAATTACCGCACAATTCAAGCGTGGACTTCACAGCAGGGGTGAAGGATGAGGCGGTGCAGGGTTCGTTGGGAAGGCACATACCGGGAGTTCCGTGAATGCAGCGGCGGACTAAAGCCGGTCACGTGGCAGCGCGCCACGCTCGTACTGGGCTTATCGCGATCGAGCGGCGGAGTAAGCGGTGAGCGCACTGCAAACTCGATTGCTCGAGATGGATTCCCGGTCACCTCTTAATGTCTGAACCGGTCCCGGACCTCCACCACCAACCGAAACGTCTCGATGCGAGTCTTACGAGTCTTTGTGCGAGTCTGTGTGTACCTATGTGAGTTTATGGGTCTCTGTGTGAATCTATGCGTCTCTGAGAGTCTATGGGTCTATGTGTGAGTTTATGGGTCTCTGAATGAGTCTGGGTTTCTATGTCAGTCTATGGGTTTCTATGTGAGTCTATGGGTTTCTATGTCAGTCTATGGGTCTCTATGTGAGTCTATGGGTCTCTATGTGAGTCTGGATCTCAACGTGAGTCTATGAGTCTCTATGTGAGTCTCGATTTCTATGTGAGTCTATGGGTTTCTATGTCAGTCTATGGGTCTCTATGTGAGTCTATGGGTCTCTATGTGAATCTGGATCTCTACGTGAGTTTATGGGTCTCTATGTGAGTCTGGGTTTCTATGTGAGTCTATGGGTCTCTATGTGAGTCTATGGGTCTCTATGTGAATCTTGGTTTCTATGTGAGTCTATGGGTCTCTATGTGAGTCTGGGTTTCTATGTGAGTCTATGGGTCTCTACGTGAGTCTGGATCTCTACGTGAGTCTATGAGTCTCTATGTGAGTCTCGGGTTTCTATGTGAGTCTATGGGTATCTGTCTGAGTTTTTGAGTCTGTGAGTGAAATCAAAACCCATCACTTTCATCAGCAACCATTGCTCAACACGCGCTGTTGCATGAGATACAAATGGAATCCATCTGGCGACCCCAGATGCCACTTGAATCGCTTCTCCAAACCCAACGCACGCACAGAGTTCTAAACTCACACTCCCTTCCTTTTCAAACGTCATGATCGTGAAAGACAAGCGCGTGTCTGGAACTGAGCTTGGTTGTAGGAACTTGTGGGCAAAAGAGTTGATGTGGAGGGAGTTTGAACGTCAGGCAGTGCGGACTACGGGGGAAATGCTCTGCCAGAACAAGTCCTTGAGCGTTCGCGTTCGGGCAAATCCTCGGCAAGCAATGGCACGGCCTCCCCACTCGCGATTCGATGAATCAGGGGCTCACGATTCATTTCAAGAGATGATTGATCATTATTCTTCTTTTGTTCGGTCTCGTTGGCAAATGTCTCATTTGTATTGTCTGCCCGTTTTTTTCCTGGCTCTTTAGGGTCCGACCTTCTAACATTGTTCTTCTCAGACCCGCTGTGTGCGTACGCATGCTGAACTTCTTTTGCACCGTGCGCAGCCAAGCGTGCCCATCCAAGCATCTCGATGCACGCGCCTCGCAGGTTCACGTTCGCGTGCGACGCGCGCTTAACGCTCACGCGACTCGATCGCGACTCGCGTTTGCGGCGAACGCTCGCGAATGTCGACTCGAACGTCGGACAAATCCTCGCCCACCGCCGGCACCTCCCGTCGGCACGGTTGCCTACGTACGGAGCGAGAAAGAAGTTAAAGCGCAACGTACGCGCGAAAGGCGAGAGCGGGTTCCGTGCGGACCGCTGTAACCTTACCCGTGCCCTTCTGCTTAGCGCCGCGTCATCGCCGCGACACCCGCGGGACGTCGTCGTCGCCCCCCCCCCCCCACGCCCCGCTGCTCCCCCCCCCCCCACCTCTCCCCAGCTGTCAAAACACCGCTTCGACGTGGGGCTCGCTCTGAGAGTCGGCCCGGTTCATGGGCAGCCAGCCGCGGAGCAAAATATAGACTCCTCCTGTACCCCCCATACCCCCCAAACCACCCCCCGCCCCACCACTATTCCTCCCCTGTGCGGAATGTACATTTTGAAGCCTTACTTAGGCGTGTTGTTGCAGTATGGGACCGGCCTTGGCAGTTGTTCGTGATTGACGTTGTACAAATCGCTTGGCGCTACGAGTCCTTTCGCGGGTTACTCCTGCGTGGTAAAGTGCACACGCCCGTGCATTGTGCTTTTGTGCACGCGTACGTAAGCACAACGTGGGTACATCTCGTGGCCTACACACCCAGTGAACATGCCGACGCTGGCCCAATGCTGCGCCTTTTCCTGGGCACGAAGTTCATCTGCCAAGGGGGAGGGGTTGTAAGGTTTCCGCCGATCGTGTGATTCGATGAGCCGGGCATGATTCAGGATCTCGATTTGATTTCAAGAATCCCTTCCCTCGGAGTCCAGGTGAAAGTAGCAGGCCTCTGGTTGCCGCGGAGATCAGGTGAACGCATCGAAAGCACGTGCGATTGGATTTGAGCATATGGCGAACTTTCCGACGAATCGACGACGCATCATTGTAACACAGAAACACAGCCCCGTGTCTCCCAAACGGCGCGTCAGTGATGGAAACGGTTCGACCATACTTCATCACGCGGGTCAGCGTCGGTTGGTGAAGTGTGGAGGCGGGGCCCCAGGGACTGACTCAGACAGCACTCTGATGTTAGCCGTGGGCCAGGAATCGAACTCAGGTCGCCAGGTTCAGAGCCAGCGACTGCTCCGCTGTCCTAATGTATGAATGATTACGGTACACGATGTAACACAATTTTTTGTTCCTTGGTATTAAGTGTTCTTTTTTAATTGCTATTATTCCGCACAAAATTTGCTTTTGTGACCGGGACTTTACGTGAACGAAAGACACAAATGCACACCACGTTTTCTCATTGAAAATAGGTAAATTTCTAAATATCAATATCCTGGTCACAAAAGCAAAGTTTTTGGGGAATAATTGCCATTTTCTGTACTTTTGAGGAATAAGCAATTAGGAAATAACACTTTCTACTCAGGAACAACATTTTTTATTGTTACACATTGTTATACACACTAACCACTGTGCCTGCCTCTTCATCCCTGGGTGGATAAGGGGCCTCCCCACACTGCAGGCAGTGGGGGTTATTTGACCCATACTTCACCACGCTGCTCACTACGCATTGGTGAAGGCGGGCAAGCGGAGATGTGAGAGCGTGTAAAGTACGGTACAACAAACGGATTTTTGCGGAATGCTCTCTGCTGCGCACGACGTAGCACCCCAACCCCTACATACAGCAAACCGTTCGTTATTCGCGAGGAATACGTTCGAGAGATGCTCGTGATCGGCACATTTCGTGGATGATATTGGCCTACGAAATGAATTACACTTAAATAAACACGTAAATAAGCTATTAAATACACGAACATTATCATAACACAGCAGCAACAACATTTGGTTGTTTGCTATACACAAACTAACCTTTAATTATGATGATGCGGTGCATCATCACTTCATCTCATCACTCTATCTCTCACTACTTGAACTCACCACGTTCCCAGACGCGATTCGCGGAGAGCCAAATCATTGCGGAGAGCGAATTTCGTGCACAACGAGGGAACGCCGCACTGCACGAATACGCGGGCACACACTGCAAGACAGGCGAGCGCTAAGACCCCAGGGGGGGGGCCCGCAACAGCAACCCGCAAAACGGGGCGGGGCGGGGGGGGTGGAGGGAGGGGGGCACGCGACTCGACGGCTTTTGGCCTGGAGAAGCAACGGCGAGGGAACACAAAATCCCCCACGCGAGAGCGGCTCGTTTCGGTTCTGTCCTGCGCATGGCATCATTTTAAACAACGCGAAGGTCACACGGCACGGCGAGTATAAACATTTGCGGAAAAAACGGAAAAAATGGATATAAATGAGATAAACAAACAAGATTTTCAGTTTTTTTTTTTCTCGTCCACCGCCGCCATCGCCGCCGTCGTCGGCGTCTCTCTCTCTGCGAGCCGACATGAGGCGCGCTGCAACGACGTTCCTCCCCGATGCTCGTACATCATCCGTTCGTGCGTATAAACAGACGTTGGCCATGAGTCAGATTTTGTGGCCTTTCGCGCTCATTTAAAAACAGCCAGATGGCTTAACAGCGGCTTCGTGGGGAAATTTTTGTTTTTTTAATAAGACAATAATAAAAAAACGAAGCCTTAAGCTCGACGCGAAACGTGCCACACGCTCTTGCTGCAAATCGTGTTTGGCGCAAAGTTAATTCAAATGTCATCCGGTCCAATGATCATTCGCATCCAGACACAGCAAACATCTAATTCCCTTTGCGAAAGCTTACTTGTTAAATTCCCTAATTACCTACATATCATTCTGTAAATACTTAACTGCAGTAATTTATAATTATGTTCCGACCTCTGAAAATACACTTTTGGATGAATATTTCCTCCACGTGCCATGTCGGTAAGTGGGGCATTGATTGATCATGCTTTTGCACGCGGGTCAGCGCGTGTTGGTGGGGAAGGACCGCAGGATTGGTTTAGATATCACTCACTACCGACTTGAGTTAGCCGTGGCCAGGAATCGAACTTGGGACACCAGGTTCATAGTGCAGTGCACTAACCACTATTCCGCTGATCGATGATGTGAATTAGCACACGTACATATTATTTTGATTACTATCGCTATAATATGTGGATCATACCACTTTCACTAGTGATGTGCAATTAAACATAATTGAACGTGAAGTCCCATTCAATAGCAATAATATTCCTGCCTTTTTATAAACATGTTTAAACAACGTAAAGAAACTGCACTTTTGCTTTCAATATCCCCACCGCTTTTAAATCGTTCGTGCGCAATCCGAGAATTTGTACAAACACCGGAATTTAAAATAACAAGTCGCATTTGATAATATCACCAACACGATAAAACGATAATATTGTCGCATCGAATTAGACGCCCGCTTTATTCAGACGCAAGCACTCGGAGGGAAGGGTGGGGGGGGGGCGGCGGTGGTGGGGGGGGGGCGATGTGGGGAGGGGGGGTCGGTGTTGGGGGGGTTAACCCATGGCGGGGGGTTTGCTCTCATCGTTTAAGGCCCCTCGCGCTTATTAGAAGCACATGACGCCACCGTCAACTCCCGGGCCGTAATCCGCCGCACATCTGCGTCGGGTCTCAAAAGCCCCGCACAAAGAGATCCCCCCCGCCCCCCCCCCGCCCCCCCGCGTCTTTGAGGTATCAAAGGCTTCCAGACCTACAGAGCAGCTTCATTAAGAAGGCTCGCCGCTTAAACACGGCCCCCGCGCAAGTGGTCCCCGCTCGCATTCCCGCGCCCGCCCCGTCGATGCCAGGTCTAAGGGTCGGGGATAGCGTCGGGAGTCAGGGAGGGTCGGGGATAGCGTCGGGGGTCAACGGGGGGGAGGGGGGGGGGGGTCGGGGTTAGAGTTGGGGGTCGGGGGGTTCAACGGCCCTGACGCTACGAGAGAGCGGCGCCACCTGCCACAATCTGTGTGCCACGAGGCCTTCGCGGGAGGCCCTCGCGGGAGGCCGCCGCGGGAGGCCGGACCGGTGAGCGGCGGCGCGTACGCGCAGGTCGGTAACTCACCGACGCACAGGTCGGAGCCTGGCACCGTGCGGTAGCCGCTTGGGCAGGAGCAGCGGAACGAGCCGGGAGTGTTGATGCAGGTGCCGTCGCCGCCGTGGCCGCGGCACGCTCGCCCGCCCGCACACTCGTCCACATCTGCGAGCGCAGACGACGACGGCAGCGGCGACGTCGGTTAGGTCGACATCGACAACGACGACAGCAATAAGAACGGCAGCATGCGCAACGTAACCAACTACACCGATAACACCAACACAACGGTGATGTCAACAACAACGACACCAACAGCATCAAAAACGATTATCGTGACAACGATAACGACAACGTTAGCAACATTAATGACAGTGATAATAACGTAACAACATCAACAGCAGAAACAACGATGTCAATAACTCCAATAATGACATCAACAACATAATCAAAGTCAACATTAATAATAATAATAAAGGTGGGACAAGTGGTTGACTAATGAACAAATGGTAGACTACTTGGGATCCTTTAAAATTGGCGTCCGCCCCTCACATCTTTGCTCCTGAAGGCGGGAAACCCCACATAAGCCACGCCCATCGTGACGCAGCTGATGATGTTGATGACTACACCAAGGCCCACTCGTCACCTCCCAGCCAGTGGCACATGTCTTTGTTCCAAATCCAAGCGACGGAACGACTCGAAGGAATAAGGAAGAACCACAGACGAGCAGGAAAGCCAAAAGCGAGGCGTGAACCGGCGCCAAATTCTCACCATTAACCTCACAAAGCTCTACGGTCCTCTATATATAGAGAGAGTTGTTATTGGCCAATTAATGGGTGTTTACATGTGGGAAGAACCCGAAGCACCCAGAGAAAACCCAGGTGTGCGAGGGGGAAACACTCTATCCCATACGGTGGAATCCACATGTGCTGTGCCGCACGGTTCCTCCTCGACGCCCACGTATAAGGGAGTTTCACAACATTTGTGCGGTGATCAACCGACCCTCGCGTGCACAGCCGCGTGCATAGCCACCACCGCCCGGCAAATGACAGTTGAGTCATCGATTTACTCAAGTATTCGGATGACAGCCCAGCTCTGGGGATGTGGTCACGCGCGGAGGTGAAGGCCAGCTCCAGTGTGGATGTGCCGAGCGGTGGGATACGATGGCAAGAGTGCCACGGTGGTGAGATGTTAACTATTTCGCCTGGTATACAAGAGGTCGTGGCTTCGATCTTGACCCTGACACATCCATATTTGGAGTTTGCATGTCTATTTCTCCCCGTGGTCGTGTGGATTTTTCTCCTGGTCCTCCGGCTGATATACATTTCCACGTGATAAGTCATTTCGTTGAGCTATCATTTGTGGCTAGGTCGCTTCTGAAAAAGCTCAGTGGGCCTTACAGTGAGGGAAAAAAGTATTTGATCCCCTGCTGATTTTGTACGTTTGCCCACTGACAAAGAAATGATCAGTCTATAATTTTAATGGTAGATAGTGAGAGACAGAATAACAACAAAAAAATCCATAACATGTCAAAAATGTTATAAATTGATTTGCATTTTAATGAGGGAAATAAGTATTTGACCACTCTGCAAAACATGACTTAGTACTTGGTAGCAAAACCCCTGTTGGCAATCACAGAGGTCAGACGTTTCTTGTAGTTGGCCACCAGGTTTGCACACATCTCAGGAGGGATATTGTCCCACTCCTCTTTGCAGATCTTCTCCAAGTCATTAAGGTTTCGAGGCTGACGTTTGGCAACTCGAACCTTCAGCTCCCTCCACAGATGTTCTATGGGATTAAGGTCTGGAGACTGGCTAGGCCACTCCAGGACCTTAATGTGCTTCTTCTTGAACCACTCCTTTGTTGCCTTGGCCGTGTCTTTTGGGTCATTGTCATGCTGGAATACCCATCCACGACCCATTTTCAATGCCATGGCCCCGTCCATCGTCCCTTTGATGTGATGAAGTTGTCCTGTCCCCTTAGCAGAAAAACACCCCCAAAGCATAATGTTTCCACCTCCATGTTTGACGGTGGGGATGGTGTTCTTGGGGTCATAGGCAGCATTCTTCCTCCTCCAAACACGGCGAGTTGAGTTGATGCCAAAGAGCTCCATTTTGGTCTCATCTGACCACAACACTTTCACCCAGTTGTCCTCTGAATCATTCAGATGTTCATTGGCAAACTTCAGATGGGCATGTTTAAGTGCTTTCTTGACCAGGGGGACCTTGCGGGCACTGCAGGATATCAGTCCTTCACGGCGTAGTGTGTTGCCAATTGTTTTCTTGGTGACTATGGTCCCAGCTGCCTTGAGATCATTGACAAGATCCTCCCGTGTAGTTCTGGGCTGATTCCTCACCGTTCTCATGATCATTGCAACTCCACGAGGTGAGATCTTGCATGGAGCCCCAGGCCGAGGGAGATTGACAGTTCTTTTGTGTTTCTTCCATATGCGAATAATCGCACCAACTGTTGTCACCTTCTCACCAAGCTGCTTGGCAATGGTCGTGTAGCCCATTCCAGCCTTGTATAGGTCTACAATCTTGTCCCTGACATCCTTGGAGAGCTCTTTGGTCTTGGCCATGGTGGAGAGTTTGGAAACTGATTGATTGATTGCTTCTGTGGACAGGTGCCTTTTATACAAGTAACAAGCTGAGATTAAGAGCACTCCCTTTAATAGTGTGCTCCTAATCTCAGCTTGTTACCTGTATAAAAGATACCTGGGAGTCAGAAATCTGTCTGAATGAGAGGGGGTCAAATACTTATTTCCCTCATTAAAATGCAAATCAATTTATAACATTTTTGACATGCGTTTTTCTGGATTTTGTTGTTGTTATTCTGTCTCTCACTGTTCAAATAAACCTACCTTTAAATTATAGACTGATCATTTCTTTGTCAGTGGGCAAACGTTGCAAAATCAGCAGGGGATCAAATACTTTTTTCCCTCACTGTACCTGGTAAAAATACAAATAAACGGTGGCTCTAGTTTGGCGGCTGTCACGAGGCATATGACTCAGAGAGCAGGGATCTACTTTGGTGGATTGCAGCAGTGAGAGTGGACTATGACTCTCACCGATTAACTCGGTATAAATACTCGTCTAATAATAAGAATAATTTACAGCTGTTTGTCAGGCCGTTGCTGGTTGTTTGACCATACTTAGTGCGGGTTGGCGTCGCCGCTTTCGTCCGCTGCAAACATTTTTAAAGGGATAAAATGTTCTGCAACAAATATTACTCACGCAAATTGCGGAGTTCGTGCGGGGACGAAATTAAATGTAATGGATGCCGTTCTCAATTGTAAGCGTTGACAGCGAGGAAATTACCAACAAAAATAAATCCTCCGTAAACGTGTGCCCGTTTTGCGAGCGCCGCGATCTATCGCGAGTAATGAGCAACGAGGCGATGGCTTTTATTTTTCTGGGCGTCGAAGCGTCTTACGTACGAGCAGTGCTGTTGCTTTAACAAAAATATTTTGGCGAGAAAAAAGACCCGAGCTGGTCGCGATAAACAGCAATAAATCTCTATTCCCCGACGAAGCCGACGTTCGGCCTGGCCCACACGCGGCGGGGAAAGCTGACCACGGCCAATGCTGGCCGTGAAACCGTTTGGCAATGGGAGTGATTGTGAATCAGGACAACTTTTCGTGGGTTTTGTTGAGTTGTTTTTGCTCTTTAGCCATTTTTAATCTCGCTGATTATCAGAATGACATCACTGCGTCCCCGTTACCTTATTCGGCGTGGCCAGGGTGAAACGCGACTCCGGACGACGGCGAGACACGCCAGCATGCGCAAATCTTCAAAAGCATGTTTTTAGTTTTTTTTTACTTTTTTGTCAAAAGCGGCTTTGGCGAGCTCTCCTGTGGGAATGTCAAAGCCGCTGCACTGGCCATATCTTTCGGATGTCCTCTGCGAGATTTGCCCTGTGCACAGCAACGCGGCTTTAAAGATATCTCTGCTCTTTTTTGTTAATCGGCTCTCTCCTGTGGCCGATCCATTCCGAGGAAGAGAAAATTCTGAGAATTCGATCATAATAATCGACACAGACTGGCAATTAATCACTACTAGTCCACGGGCGCACACCAGATGTTTCTCTTGTCTGTGCCACCTGAAGTGGCGTCACTCGAGCCGTTCCGACTTCTCCGTGTGGCCAATAACAGTGAATTTATGCGATAATAACTTGACGCGAGTGGGGTTACCTAGTAATTCACTCTTATTGGCCATGTAGATCACGTTTTGCTACTTATTGACGCTGCCAATTTCGGCTCTGGCTCCAGGACTCTATCTGACAACGTTTGCAAACGGGGTGGGAGTGGTGGCACAGAGGCTAGCGCGCTGGTCTGTGGTTCCGGTGCAGTTGCACCGCCTGCACACTAAGGTGGAGGGGCCGTCTTCTCCTGCATATGGGTGGGGGGGGGGGGGGCTTCCCACCAGGATCCACAGCGACCGCTGAAAGAGAGAATTGCCACGGCTTTTTTTTCCCCATTCCTCTCTCTCTGAAAGGTGTGGAATCGGTGCGGTTGCACCGCCTGCTGTTGCTCGTCGCGAGAACTCACCGCGACACCGCGTGCTGTCGACGGCCACGTAGCCCGCCGAGCAGCGGCACGTGTAGGAGCCGGCGACATTCAGGCACTCGCCGCCCTGGCACCGACCGCCCTCTCCGCACTCGTCGATGTCTGCACGAGGCCAAACGATAGCGACAACGACGACGGCGGCGGTGATGACCACCACCACCACCAACACCACCAACAACACCGCCGGTGCCACAGTGGCAGCAACAGGAGCCGGTCGCCGCCGACGCACCCGCAGACGGTTTATACTCCGTCCGACGGACTCTGCACGAATGTGATAACTCCTGCTCGTCTCCTGCTCCTGACTCGACGGATCGTCCACACGTGAGAACCTCGTGCGATGCGTAAACATGGCTGCTCGGGAAACAAAGAGGCGGGCGGGCTTGGCGCTGGCCACCCGCCCGCCCCCCCGCCCCCGTGTGCTGTGCCGGCCTTCATAGGTGTTCGCTAACAGCACTTGCCCCAAAAGTATGTTAAGGATATACGGGGGATCTTTGTCTTTATAAGTGCTTTGAGTGCTTGTGTACTCTGCTCATGAGAAAGTGGATTCAAACTCAACAGCCTGCGATGAGTAAGTGCAGCAGAATGTAAATACTACGACAAGTCTCCGTGGAAGGCAGTTTTGTTTTCTGTGTTTAACCATAGCTGCAGTTGAACACACGCGTGTGTTCATATGAACACACGCGTGTTTACATGCACACGTGCTTATACGTAACTAATTTACAGCCCTTCGGTAGTCCACTGCTGGACGTTGACCTCCCGCACACCGCGTTGTTCGTGTGAGTAGTTCGACCATGCTTCACCGTGCTGGTCGGTGGGAGGGAGGGGGTTGTTACACAGTATCGGTCCAAATATATCCCCCACGCCGATGTTAGCCGTGGCTGGAAGTCGAACTCGGGTCGCCGGGTTCAAAGCGCAGAGTGCTAACCCACCGCACTTAGCGTTCATCCAAAAAAAATTACCGTTTATAATGAGTGTTATTTATATCCTGCATGATTAAGTAATCATCACTTGCGGTCATATGTCTGTGACGGCTCCCCGTCATGAACATATGACGCGCGTTCCACCGTGACTGCTGCCACCCCTGCCGCCGCTGCGAACGGGAATGCATGTGTATGCATCTACTTAAGTTGAACTTCTTTCCCACCGTACTTAGCCAACCAAGCTAATCGGAGGTGCACGCGGGGGGGTGGGGGTGGGGGGAATCTAATTCCTTTAAAACTGATTTTTGTGGTTCAACATAAATAGATACACATGCATTCCCATTGCCGCTCGCAACAAACTAAACACAAAAGCAGCTTTAAAGAAATGAGTTTTCAATCTAGATTAAAAAGTGCACAGCTCCAGTGGCTTCCTAACAACGATTTTGTCCCGCAGGACGGATCTTTTCGGAACGTGGGAGACGAAAAACTCCACTTGAAATCTGGCACAGAGTCAACATTCGACATCGCCCGCCCAGCTCAACGTCCGTCAGTGAGTTGAGTTTTTTTTTGGGGCTCCCTCCGACCGGACCCCCTTTGCTCGTCGCGCGAAGGCAAAACCCGCGAGGCTACGGTTAGTAAACGGTGGCGGGAAGGCACTCGCGATGTTTATTTAATTCGTAATGACGTGAGAGGGACGTGGGAGCGAGCGGTGGAGGATCGGCGCTCAGAGGGTTTGGCAAACAGCCCGCGCCTCTGCGGGCGGGCGGGTGGGCGGGCACAGGGTTCGGCCACCGGTGCAGACAAACGCGAGGGCTTCCCCAGGTGCCCAGGAGATGCCAGTGCAGCGATACCACGAATCTATCTGCGCGGCATTTAGAGTTATTATTTTTTTTTTTAAAAAAGAGTCTGCAAACCGCGTCACCGTTGGATCCCCGTTGGCTCCCCGTTGGATGCCCGAAGCTAAGCGGGTTTGAGCCCGGCCAGTACTTGGTGAACTCGTCACCTTCGCATTGGTCGCCGCTGCCGCTCAGCCTGAATCCCGGGCGGCACTCGCAGCGGAAGGAGCCGTCCGAGTTGAGGCAGGCGCCGCCCCCACACACGATCCCGTTGGTGCACTCGTCCACGTCTGGAAATCGCGAGCAACAACGGCAACAACAGCAACGACGAAGACGGCGATGATGACGACAATGACGGAGATGTTTGTTTATCAGCGCGTGAGAGGCCCCCTCCCCCCCCCCCTTTGGTGGATTATAGTGGAGGTGAGCCAGCTGAGTCGAACCCTCAGCGGCGTCGAACTTTTCTTAAGATTTTTTTGGAACGAAGTAAAAGACGGGTAAGACTAGGGCGGAAAACGACTGCCGGAGTCAAGGTTGTGAAAATATCTATCCTTGAGTGAACTGTGAGATCACGATGAGCTAGGTCTGCATCAAAACAAATCCGCTTGTGGTGACCGCCCAGTGGCGTACGCTGTCGGGGCACTTCTCGGAAACGGGGCCCACCCTTAATGCCTCGCCGTTTCCGCAGAGGTGGAATCAACGGCAGTGAACGCGGGCTGCTGCGGGACAAAATGCGTCTCACGCCGACGCTTCCACCTTTACATTTCGACCTCTGGCCCTGCCTCAAACACACTGGCGACGACGTCACAGTCGTGGCCCAGGGGTCAGCAAACCAAAATAACGAGAAGAGACATTTTTTTAAAAATGGAATTCGGTGTAAAAAAAAAAAATCAACATTTCAAGAGCAGCAACGCACGTTGTGAATATGAGGACGGTGGGTCCTCAATAAATAACGGCCACGAAAGCGATCCTTTAAAGAGCCGCACGCGGCTAGCGAGCAGCAGGTTGCTGACCCCTGGTCACGGCTCAAGCATCCAGACGCAGTGCTGGCGGTGGGGGGTGGCGGGGGGTGGGGGGCTGACGGGCTGGGGGTGGGGGCGGGGCCGGTGGTGGGGAGGGGGGGGTGTCAGGCGGCTGGCAGGGGGTGAAGAGGGTAGAGTGGGATGAAGCTGAGAGGGAACTTGAGCCATGGATCAGTCGCTGGGCAAAAGAACACAACAAGCAGAAGGAGGAGCAGACAAAGCAGTCGCAGGAGAGGAAGAAGGAAGAGGAGGGGGAGCAGCAGCGGGATGAGGAGAAGAGGAGCTGGAGGAGGAGCAGCAGGCGGAGGAGAAGAGGCACAGCAGGAGGAGGAAGAGGTAGAGGAGCAGCAGCAGGAGGAGGAGGAGCAGGAAACAGGAGCAGGGGGAGGAGCAGCAGTAGGAGGATGAAGAGGAGCAGCAGGAAGAGGAGAGGGGGAGGAGGTAGAGGAGCAGCAGCAGGGGGAGGAGGGAGAGGAGCAGCAGGGGGAGGAGGGAGAGGAGCAGCGGCAGGAGCAGGAGGAGCAGCAGGAGGAGGCGGGAGAGGAGCAGGAGAGGAGGAGACAGTGGGAGGATGAGAAAGAAGAGCGGCAAGGAGGAGGGAGAAGCGGAGGACGAGCCGCCCACCTTTGCACGCCTTGCCGTCGGGTGCGAGTTGGTAGCCGGAGCCGCAGGGCACGCAGGTGAAGGAGCCCGGGGAGTTGCGGCACATGGAGTCACGGCACGGTCGCCCCACGCCGCACTCGTCCACATCTCAACGACACAGCAATGACAACAGCACGATCGATGAACACCGCGTGTCTGTGTGAACTGAACGTCCCAGTGAACAATGACGACGGTTCAAACACACCGACGTTGTACCGGTTTGATACATCTTGGCGGTCGGCAGAAAACTCATCGGGCGACTGTGACACCAACACTGACGACGTTCTCGAAGGGCTAGGAAACTGCAAAATGGTACAAACTGAGTCGGGGATACATTTTTAGGCAGCAGAGGCTCATGCAGCAAAACGGATTGTTGTACAATGCTTCTTAGGCTCCCGCTGCGTGTACTTTTCCGTCCTTGACCAACGCGGGCAAATCCACCGCTTGGCACACACGGCGTAAGGAGAGGGCTGGCGTCCAACGATGGACTGAGAAATCTGCCGTACGTGTACGCATATTAAATTTGAATGGATCGCTTGTCCAATCAACTGCAGAAGTGTAAAAGCACTCTGGGTTATGCTTGTTATTCAACTTGTTTATACAGGAAAGGCTCAGAAGGGTCCCGCCAAGTTTTTCGCAGCAGGCAATGTTGCTATGTGTGTAATCCAAATTGAGTAATTTGCTGGTTATTTTTCAGCATTGGGATTTTTTGCCTGATACAAGTTCCATTTTTTTAAAGCTTTTAAGTCATAGGGAGAAACCAGAGAACCCGGAGAAAATCATAAACGGATTCACTCAGTGACACCCAAACACCCACTCTGCAAAACAGGAGAACGTACAGGCTCCGCACAATCACATACATTCACTCATTTGCTCACACGCTCAAATCACGCACACGCACTCTCACGCACTGCAGAACAGGCGGACATGTGAACTCCAAGCAGAAAGGTGCCCGAGTGGGGAATCGAACCCAGGCTCTCCTCGCTTTGAGGCGTGAGCTTTGCTGCTGCGATGGCTACCTGCCACCTCGTGAAGGGGACCTCGTGAAACGCAGCTCTTAGGGAAGTTTCGCAATGCAGCTCAATTTCTCGATCCCATGGTCCACAGCTCTTTCGCAATGACTCTCCGGTTTTATTAACCTCGTGCTCTCACACAACACACACCAGCCCGGCCAACGCACGCGCGTGCGTTCGCTCACCGCTCGTGTGTGAATGCTTGCTGTGGGTTTTGTACCTCTAGCACGCAGGCTTTTCAGTTGTGAATTTTCAATCACAACAGATTTTTGGGTCAGATCGCCGCGTGACTACATTACCAAGGTGTGTCGCACACCGTCCGCCACCCACCAGAATCCTGCCAGATGATGCTGGCGATTTCCTGACGATGCTGGTTGTAACTACCAGCCAAGCTTCGTACAAAATTTGTTCAATGTGTGGTGGATGTTTCTCCAAAATCCCCGGTGGTGCGCTGATGCAAGTAATACATTGGCAGCGTTTGTTCACGCGATAACCTCATTTATTTGGCCGTGTCAGGTGGAGGACGGCTGTATGACGCACATTGGCGTTTTACTCACGTGGCGATCTGACCCAAACAAAAAAAAGAATCAATGAATCATCGTAGTTACCTCCATTGCTACTTCCAGCTGTGCGGCGGTGGCGGCAGCCTGTAATTCAGCACTGAAGGCGAGGGCTGGTGGATCGCACAAATGTTGTGCGACTACCTTCCCGTGGGCATTGAGGTGTCACGTACCCTGGCTCGCCAGGGTGAACGCAATGCAGCGCGTGTGGACCAGGGGCGGAGCCAGCATTTCAGGCCGGGGTGACATTCAACTTAATGTTAATTTCAAGAATGATTTAGAGAGTCAGGCTGTTGAACTAGACGCCATCGGTTGGCGACACACTCTGACAGTGCAGTTGCACGGAGTCCGCCAGACCGAGTGTCGTACACTTACACACGCAGAATGTCACCCCCACTGTCACCCCCCCCCCCCCCTGGCTCCGCCCCTGGTGTGGACCCCACCTGTTCCGGCTGTGTGGGATAATAGCGTTTCTCCCTGGAACGCGTGGGTTTTCATCGGGTGCTCAGGTTTCATTCCCACGTGAAACTCATGAATTGGCCGATAACCCCAGAATATGTGTACTCTACAGAGAGGGCCACAGAGCGTGGGCGATTGTTGGCGCCGGCTGCTCAGCACGCGTGGCTGCTGCCCTTCCCCGCTCGTCCTGTGGTTTCTCCTCGTGCCTCTGAGTTGTCATCTCCCTCTCTCTCTCTCTCTTCGAGAGCGATCATTACGAGTTGAAATCATCATCATCATCATCATGATCGCCCGTAATCCATATGGAATAAAACACGCATGGCCTCCGTATGCGTGTTGAACTTCTTTCGCGCCGTACGCAGCCCACTCGTGCTAACCGGGAGGCGCTAAACGGGGGTGCAAACACCGTCGCTTACCCAGGCAGCTCTTCCCGTCGGGCGCCGTCGTGAACCCCCGTCCGCAGGAGCAGCGGAACGACCCCTGGAGGTTGACGCAGCGGCCGTGCTGGCACACCGTCGTGCTGCTCAAACACTCGTTCTCGTCTGCGGAGGGGAAAGGCGGCAAGCGGCCGTGACGGTGTAATTAATTTGCGCCGTCGCGTGAAGCCGCCGGGGCAATGGGCGGCACTCCAACGAGCCCAGCGAGTCGACGGCACTCCTCCCCGCTCGGGGACACGGCGCGGGGACTTGCCCACTTTCGTCTTTTTGGGAACGGCAAGCGAGAACCAGAGAGAGCCAGAGGGGCGCGGCGACGGAGCACCGCCCGGCAAAAATTAAGGGACGTCGGAGAGAGCGAGGCGGGGGGGAGGGGGGCGGGGGGGGCACGGGGGGGGTTAGCTCAGTCAGGACGCGCCGCTGGAAGGGGCGATGGAGGCGATGGCCAATGGTCGAGACTAGCGATGGAGTGGCAGCCAAAGTTGGGGGGAAATACCGCCAAGATATGCAGGTCCACCGAGGAGATGGAGTGAGGCGATGGCTTGGGGAGGCCTTCATCTGGCAGTGGATAGATCGTGGCTGTTGATAATGAAAACCTGAACGAGTGGTATAAGCTGATATGAACTCTATTTTGAGGCGCATTAGCCAAGGGTAGAAAAACAATGTACCCAGCAACCCTTCACCAGATTTCAACAGAGAGACTTTGAAGGCTTACAGAGCTTCAGCACGCCACGCATAGAGGCACTGGACCATTAAAAAAACCCCGCGATTAACAGGTTCCACCCCTCGTGTAGATAAAGAGGCCTACGAAACACTGTTCACTTCACGAGTCCCCTCATGCACAGCTCTGCCATCGCACGACACAGAGCCGTGGGCACGACCGGAACACGAGCAGCGAAATTTGTTTACACAAAAGACGACCACATTTAAACAAACTACGTTACACAATTGTGGTCATCTTCGAGAGCCATTCCCTGCCCCCTGCACACGGGGTGGTGCACCGCTAGCTGCGGGAGCGGCCCTCGTGGGCGGCGGGCCGTACCGACACAGCGTCCCCCGGAGCCCGTGAAGCCGGCAGGGCACGGGCGGCACTCGAACGAGCCCAGCGAGTTGACGCACTCCCCGCTGGGGCACGCGCCGGGGCTTGCGCACTCGTCCACGTCTGCGGGGTGGTGGGGAGGAGGCGGGCAAGGGATGGTGGTGGCGGTGGTGGGGGGTTGCGTTGGGGCGAGGGTGGGTTGGAGGGGGGAGGAGTACGAGAGAGGTCAAAATAAACGAGTATGCGACACTTTACAACGCAAGCGTTTCTGCCCGCGGAAGTGGATAATTGGCAGTTTGGCAGCAGACGAATAAGAGGCTGTCGGGGACAAACTGCATCTGCAACATTGCAAGTGAGTCTTCCTTCTCGCCGCGGGCAATCGTTTGACCGACGTGATCAGTTTCCCATAGATGGCCGGAATTTTAATAGGCGTCATGAAAAGTGACCCAAAAATCACCGCCAAAAAAACTGACCATATTGGTGCGAGGGTTTCCCAAAATGAAAATAAAAAAAATCTGTTGCTCTTAGGGACGCGAATTTGTTGTTTGAACTTGGGGGGGGGGGGCGGGGGGTGACGGGGTTAGCGGTTAGCGGCGGCGGTACAGCCAACGCGGCGAAGGGACGGGAATGAGCGTGGGCAACGACCCCTCGGGTCGGAAAAGCAATACCGCTGTAAAGCTGTCAGGAGTGGGCGAGGATCAAAAGCCCTGGGAGCACAAAAAAAGCGGCGACACAATATATACGTGGCGATGCAGCTAATACCAATTCCGCGCGTTCCAACATCTGTTTCGAGTTCCGCCGTATGAATCATAATTTGGCAGCTTCACGGCCGCAGCGCGATTGTTGTAATTGCCTCCTGCCTTCGCGCTACCACCCACAGCAGCAGCCAACCCCCCCCCCCCCCCCATCCCAACCACCCCACCCACTCACCCCACCCACCCCACCCACCCACCCCACCCCACCCACCCCCCACCTCGAGCCAGCCCTGGCGCGAGACGGAGGCGCCCGGTGTGACTCTCCGGGGTCACCTCGAGGGCAGTGACCTCATCAACGCGCCCAGTGTGAAGAGCCGGGCACAGAGAAGAAGGATTGAGGAGGAGGAGGAAAGTGAGGGGGGTGGAAATCTTCGGAGGCACGAGAGGTGGAGGGTCATGATTCACCCCACCAGAGCGAGTTGATGGGTCGTCGCAATCGTGGGACGTGATTGGTTGTGATCAAGATTTCGTTCTTTTCTATCTCATTTTCCTATGACGCCGTTGTGCTGTTTGTCTGCTCGAGTAGCCGACTTGTGACATGAGGATGCCACTGCGTTTCATCCGATTGCTGCTTCAGTGAATGCATGCACACACGCACAACAACATCAGGGGGCGGAGCGGTGGCGCAGAGAGATGAGCGCACTGCGCCATTCACTGGGCTGACCAGAGTTCAATTCCCAGGCGTGGCTGACATCAGTGGTGAGCGAGATCTAAATCATCGGCAATGATCTATCCACTGCTGGACGAAGACTAGGAGAGGAGGGGGGGGGGAGTGTGGGAGTCGGGCATTGTAGAGGATCCTGTCTGTAACTTGGTCAAGAACCAGCAGGAACCGTTCACTCACCGGGCTCCCCCACCTTCCAGCACCATGACCCTCTCTCCTGACCACCCCCCACCCCCCCATTTCACTTTTCACTCAAATAAAAAAATTGCCGTCGCGGGGAGGCGGCTGAGCCGACGGCTGAGTGACGGCCAAAGGAGCGAACGGTGACGCCGAAGAGGCGCCGGCCTCCCCGTGCGGCCTTGGACAGGGGCTCGGTAAGCGCGAAGTAACGGCTTGGGATCGCGTGGGGGAGGGGGGGGGTCGAGGGTTTTGGGGTCAAAGTGGCGGGCAGGGCGGCCCACGCGTTGGTCGGCGGTGGAGACCACCCAGCCGGGGGGGGGGGGTGCGTGGGGGCTGCCCCGTTACGGCTCTGCACACAGGTAGCGGACTGTCGCGGTGGGTGGGCTGGATAATGACCGCGGCGCCCCCCCCCCCCCCCCCCCCACACCGGTCGCTTCGCACCGCTGTCGGTGGCGGGGAGTTGTGGGAAAGCGCTGCCCCCCTACTGTGCGCGGACCAGAGGTCACTTTAAGGGGGTCTGAGTGTAGCTCTGTGATATCCGCTTCCGTGGGTGCCGTTCAGTAACCCGAGGGGGTTTTGCAACTGCTCCGCGAGAGATCCGAACGCCAAACGTCGTCTCGAGAGCACAATCCCGGTGCAATAGGGGCTGAAAGACGAAGGAATGAATGAATAGAAACACAAGTCGTCGGACGAATGAATGGAGAGCAATAATGGACGGCGACACAATGAGCAAAGAGCTTCGGGCCTGTGCTCACGATGTACATTCGTGCAGCAACAATAACAAGCACCGTGGGCAGTTTAACGATCCGCGGAAGGGACGACGACGACTGCGAAGATGACGGCGCATTAAAAAAACCGGGCCGCTCACCCTCGCACTGGCCGCGCCGGCCGGCACGGTAACCGGGCTGGCACGGCTGGCAGTGGAAAGACCCCGGCGTGTTGATGCAGCGACCCGTCCGGCACGCGCTTGGGTCCTTGCACTCGTTCACGTCTGCGCGCCCGTGCGCCAAACAAAAACAAAAAAACGAACGACACAGCCGGTCGATCGGCCACTCGCTCGGCGAGTCGGTCAGCCGGTGGTGAGTCGGACGGTTGGTCACGTTTGGGCGGTCGATTAGCACGGTTGGCTACGTACGGTGCGAAAGAAGTCCAACGTACGCACGTGTCACGTCTGCACAGATATTATTCACGTATCTTCCTCAGCGTGACTCTCGTCGGGTGGGGGAGGGTTAATGACAGCAATTTAAAAAAAAATCCGATTTGTAGCCACACTCGGAAGTTTTTTGGCCGAAGATTTTTGTTTGCAACGGCAAACCATCTGGTTGCTTTGTGTAGCAGAGCAAGCAGGCACAGGAATATTTCTTACTCCGTGTTGATGTTTGATAATTTTGCCTCCGCAGTCCGCGAACTGCCGCTTGCCATTTTAGCGAGGCGGCATCCGGAGGCCGGTTGTCGTGATGGAACTTGATCTATCTGGGTAGCAGGCTGAAAGCGGCCTGGAAATTTGCTGCTAACATAAATGCTGCTGGATAGTTTATTTGTACGTGGATGGACGAACATCTATCTGCTTAGTTATTCGTAATTTTATTATCACCCCAAGTGTTGAGTTTTAAACACATGGAGTGAACAAAGGCCTTCCAAAACTCGCATGTCAAGTGGCGTTAGCCAGGCATATGTGTGTGTACTCTTTTTGCATAGGTGCTCGCTGACATCGCTTGCTCCTAAAGTATGTTAAGGCTTATACGGGGGATATTTGTCTTGTTTTTTGCAGTTGCACAGCACTGGCCCTGAAGACCAGTAACAAAAAGTGGCCAAGAAAAGGCAGAGCACTCATGACAGCACAGCAGATGAGCGCTCCCAGGTTTTCTACAGAAACTCGAGAGCAGAGATTGTGGGACAGAGCTCTACGGGCAATCAACAGAGGGAACTAATAACGATAGCAGATAAGACGACGCATTTGTGGAATTTAGCGAGGATGGAAGACGTTGACGACTGTGGAAGGCGGTTCCAAAATCGACCGACGCGTAGAGAGCAGGGGTAAGAGAAATTGCCGTTGTCTGTTCCGCAATATCGCGGTTCACCACAGAGTGGATGAGAGGAAACGGCCAATCTAAAGGCACTCAATGGACAGGCACCGGGTTACTTGTCAGATCTTTTCTCTCCCTACCAGCCTCGGCGTGCGTTGAGGTCAGCTGACAGGCGTGACCCCTGCTCTGCAGTGGGAGGGTCGGACTCTGGAGGAACGGAGAGGCGGTGGCTCTCTCTGTGTTCGGGAGGCTGCCACCGTGGAACTCTGCCCGATCGCGTCAGGAGCTCCGCCCCACAGTGGCGACTTTTAAATCAAGGCTCAAGGCCTAGCCCTATGATTCAGCCCTCTGAATGTAATCAGGCATCTCACGAGATTACAAAAGGCGCCCTATGAATAAAGATTTGATTGTGTTGTTATTGTGAGCGAGGAGAACGAGCCTTTGGCGATTGACGGAGGTATGTGGGCACAAGGTTCATGGTAACACATTTTAAACGAAACTATTTTTTTTATTTTACCAGGTAAGGCCCAACTGAGCTATATAGCTCTTTTTCAAAAGCCAGCTGGCCACAAATGATAGCTCAACGCAGTGTGGCTGATCGTGTGTAAATTTATAGCAGCCAAATACTCTAAACGCACATTTCCTAAATGTGGAGGGAAAAACCGAAGGACCCGGAGAAAAATCCACGTGATCAAAGGGAGAACATGCAAACTCCAAAATATGCAGGCGTCAGGGTCGGAATTGAACCCACAACCTCCTGTATACCAGGCGAGGGAGATAACATCTTGCCATCGTAGGCAGATGGATGGGCGAGGAGGTAAAAAAAGCAGGTAAATGTTATCTTTCCACGGTGGCAAGATGTCATCTGGATGTTATCTTGCCAGCGTGGCAAGATGATAAATGACAAGGCTTGGGTGACAATTCAGGGCAGGACAGGCACTGATTACCGACACACTGGGTGCTGCTGGGGCTGGCAGCGTAGCCCGTGGAACAGACGCAGCGGAAGCTTCCGGGCGTGTTTTCGCATTGCCCGTTTGCACAGAGGCCCGCGTTCTTCTGACATTCGTCTACATCTGTGGTCGGAGGGGGAGGGGGGGATTGTGGACAGAGGGGTTTGGGGGAGTGGAGGTTGGGGGGGGGGGGGGTGGCGGGGCGGGGGTGGTCACGATAAGAACAACACATATTTCAGATCCAGTCCTATTAATACAACCAAGAGAAACACTGTTTGTTGAGATGTCGCCAGTCAGATGATTAATACATTCAATTTGGGCTGTATTACAATGCCAAGCAGTTGAAGATCAGTTGGTAGGTGGGTCAGTAGGTAGGTTAACAGATGGGTGAATAGGTAGGTAAGTTGATGAGTGAGTAGGTCGTTGGGCACACGGGTGGGTGGGTAGGTCGGTAGGCAGACAAGTGCGTAGGTGGATGAGCAGGTAGGTGGGTGAGTAGGTATGTAGGTAGGTAGATGGGTGGGTACATTGGTAGGTGGTTAGATGGGTGGGTAGGTAGGTTGGTATGCAGGTTGGCCGATGCATTGATTGACAGATGGATGGGCGAGTAGGTAGGAATCCCTTTATGTAATCCGGACGGGAGCCAGTTGGACTGAGAGCCATGCTATCTGCCACTCAATCGTTTGCATCCAGCGTACTCTGTCGCAGAGGAGGTGATAGCAACCTAAGCCGAGGGAGGCTTACCGATACATCGCGTTTTTTGGCCGTTTGCTTGGAATCCCGGCTCGCACGAGCAGCTGTACCCCACTGCCAAACTCACGCACTGGCCCCGGCCACAGATGTTTGGATTTTGGAGGCAGATGTTCGTCACCGCTGTGAACAAAACACCCCATAAATAGTGTACAAATATAAATAAATATGCACGCAAATATGGCTCGAGATTTATTTTGATTCGCGTTCGGCGCTCGTTTTACACGACTACCCAGACCATAACAAAGCCCGGGCTCAAGTTACAAGAAAATATTCTCCTCCGAGCGCCTCTTTTGTCGACGTAAACACGAGCGGAAGAAAGGAAATGGATCGGGGGGGGGGGCTTTGACGCAATGCTGGAGGCGAGGAGCGACGCGTTGCGTAACTCTGCAAAAGACAAAACAGCTGACTCGGTGCAGCAGGCATCAAACGCACGCACGCACGCGCGTGGAAATTATTTCGCACCATACTTAGCCAACCGTGCAAATCGACTGCCCAAACCGACAAACCGTCCGACTCTAACAAACGCGAATTCTCACTTAAACTCCCTTGCTCGCGTCCCCTCTGCCACAAACACTGACGTCGTATCGACGGCACCGACCGGCATCATCGCAAAATACGACGCAGTTTCATCGCGAGCCGCTGAAACCCAGACACAGAGGCTCTCGGCCCCTCTTCGCCAGGCCCTGCCGTGCCAATCTCGTGGAATTTTTGCCCACCCCCCTCCTCCTTCTCCCCTTTCTTGTCCTGTGATTGGTGCTCTGTGCTGGGCTCGCGTCGAGTTGAAATACAAACACAAAAACATAAAAACACAGGATGTTGGCAGTGCCGGCCCAATGCGCTGACACGCGAGCCACCCGTAGCCCTTGTCCCCCGCTCCGCCGCCGCAACGAGCCGAGCTCCACCGCACTTCGTCACGGCGGGCACGGCCCCTCGACGGGCTCCGGTCGGTCAGCCGATCTTTCTTAAAACGCCAGACCACCCCCCCCCCCCCCACTACCGCCCCATACACGCGGATAACACAGCACCAGTCCCGGTACGGGGGGCAGGGGGACCCCACGCTGGCAGCTGACGGCCCCAAAGCCTGCGCTAATCCGCGATGGCGTTTCTGGCACCGCGGATAAAACTAGCGCAGACGCACGCGGGACTGGCGCGGGGCGGACCCGGCGCTTGCGCCGAGCGGAGACCACAATCAGCTGTGGGGTTTCTTCAAAGTGGCCGGCCGGAGAGCAGACAGGCTCCGATGGTGCCACGGGGAGCGGGCGGGTCAAAGAGTTGACGGCAGACGCGGCATCTGATTCAACTTTCTGGGGATCCGGCAGATCTGGCTTTCAGGCGAAGCGCTGGAAATTGTTTTAATGCCACGTGTGGCGGTAATTTTTTCTTAAAACTGTTTTTTTTTTACTTTTACACATCACAGCCCGTTGTGTTTGATGGAAATGAATGCAAGAAGCGATAATAAAGGTCAAAGCGAGAAGTTATTTTCGTGAAGATCAAAACGGCCGAAGAGAAATAAGTATTTCATTGATTCAACATTTTCCTCCGTTCCGCTAAACGCGCGATCCGCGAGAAAATCATTCCAAATCCTATTTCTGTCACAGTGCATCCCGTGCTCACGTCAACAATCCCCAATCACACGTAGCATGCACAACCGTCCATCCACATTCATTCCTGCGAATGATTCGATTTCCAGTGCAATGCGTATCAAATAAATGCGGTTTAAAATCCTCGTGCAACGCTTGTCTGACGCTGCCTTTTTTCATCTTTTTCCGTGAAATACAATTTGACCGGAATCCACCTCCGGCGCCGCGTTCCTTAAAATGTGGCCGCGTGCAGCGGACCGCGGTCCCAAGATGGTTCTCATTTAGCGTCTCATGCGTAAACAAGCCCTTCCCTCGCATGCAGCACGGGGCGCCTATGCCCTCTGCGATGCCTCAATGGTTCCCTGGTATAAGCCTTTTTCCACTTGCACATGCGAGCCGTGCTGGTACAGGCCAGCACTGGGCCGGCACAGCACGGGTGGTTTTCCAATGGTATTTTACCGAGACGTGCTGCGCTGGCCTCACCGGATGACATCTGGATCTGGCTCGGGGCCGAGCAGGGCCAGGGGGCGTGGCACGACTCAGACACAGTGTCGCCACGTCATCTGCCTGTGTCTTGGCGTCACATGTAGTGTGTGACGTCCCTGGCACACACTACATGTGATGGCTTGTGCAGTGGAAAAGCAACCCGTGCTTCCTGACCCAAACCCCACTGATTGATGATGATGATGATGACCACGATGATGAAAAAACTGATCATGCTCACAATTAAAACGAGGAAGATGATTTGATGGCGATGATGAGAATGATTAGGGTCGTACTTTGGATTCTCTTTGGCGAGTCTCTGTCGGGCGGGATGGCACCAGCTCCTCCTCCTGGCTGTCTCACCACGCTGCCAGGAGATTCACGCGAGGTACCTACTGCAGGAGAAGATAACGATGATGATATCAGTGATGATGATGATGAAGAAGACACTGATCACAATGACTATCATCATGAATAATCATAATGACAATGATGATGACGAGGAAGATGACAATGATAGAGAAGATAACGGCAATATCTATGATGGCAAAGCTAAAAATCGTAATTATGATCATTACGAAGGCTAAAATGATGATGACAATGATGATGATGATGACGGTGACAATAATGATCATGACAATGACAATTATTTCTAGATTTGAAGCTTTCGTGACTGCAAGGATCCATACTCTTTGGTTCTATTCGGTAAAGTCACGTAGGTTATTTTTTTACCTACGTGACTTTACCGAATAGAACAAATGACAATAATGACTACAATGATGATGACAATGATGACGGTGACAATAATGATCATGACAATGACAATTATGACTACAATGATGATGACAATGATGATGATGATGACGATGGTCATACTCTGGATTCTCTTGGGGGGCTCCCTGTCGGACGAGATGGCCCCGACCGCCCCTGCCACGGGCTGTCTCACGCTGCCGCCGCCGCCACCTCCGTGTGTCTCTCTCCCCGTGGCCGCTCCAGGAGGAGGCTCCACCAGGGCTGGACGCTGCAGCCTCTGCGAGATCTCTTCCCCGGCCAAACCAAGAAAACAGCGGCACAGCCCAGTGCACACACGCAGCACACCGATATTGGCTTCCTGCATTTTGAGCAGTTTTCTCCGCAAACGTGAACGCTCAGTAATTGGACGATAACAACTGAATACATAGAGGGCCGCAGAGATTGGACAGGTATTCGGCTACTGACTAACCACTTGGTTGGTGCCGTCCCGCGTGTATGTGTGTGTCGCAGCGGTTAGCGCGCTACGTTAAGAACCCGGTATCCCGAGTTTGATTCCCGCTCACGGCCAACACCAGTGACGAATATGTAAAGTGGTCCTCGGCCTCCCCTAGGTCAACTCAGCCTCAAAGAGCAGTACCTGATGCGGTGTATAAACATCGCCACTGGGAAGACAAACGCGGCCGGGCATGGTGCTGACCAACCAGCCCCTCGTGTGCCGTGCCATCCCTCATAGGTGGTGCTCGCTAAAAGCACTTGCCCCAACAGTCTGTTAAGGCTCTACGGGGGATCTTTGTCTTTGTTATGCGGCGGGAGGTCCCAGAACAATACGGCGTTTGCACGAAGGTGATCACTGTCGTTCGTCTCCCAAGGGACGCCAAGCAAACTCCAAATAAACGGAGAGGCATGGCCGTTTATTTTGTTTAAGCGCTGCCAAGTGGCCCGCGAGCGTCTTTAGAGGAAGGACTTAGAAACAAGTGTCAAGGACTCCACCGGGATAACGGACGATATAAATACGAGACTTTATACATGCGGTGCACATATAAATATCAGATGTGTTATGACTCAGACCGCCTCTTCCCACGGTGGTTCGAATGAGTTGTCGCAATTATGGGTTGTGATTCGATTCAAGAGTATGTATTTATTATTGTACCCATTGTAGTAAATGGTGGCAGCACCTCTAGCGGCTTGCGTTGTAGGTGACACGAAACAATTACACAATCTCTCTCCGTCACCCTCCACTACACCTCCTGGAGTGGTGGCACAGTGGTTAGCACATTGTGCCATGAACCGGGCTACCCGAGTTCGATTCCCAGCCACGGCTAACATCAGCGACCACCCCCAAACGTTCACCAACCTGCCCGCACCAGTCTGGTCAAGTATGGTCTAACATCCCCCGAGACCGACACGGCTTCGGGAGGCCTTCATTCAGCAGCGAATTGACAAAGGGCTGTACATTATCATCATTATTATTAGTAACAACTCATTGAGACTAGATTAATCTATTTCAAGGGAATTGATGGATTACATGTAATTGAATGTATGCTGAGCTTGTTTCGCACCACACGACGCCAACCGTGCTGATCGGTGGTGGCAAGCGTTTCATGACAGAGTGCAAATCAGCGACCCTTGCTCTGCACAAGTCTTTGTTGCTGTACCTTGGAAACTCCGCTGTCCATCTTGGAGCTGAGCGATAATCTGCAGGGGAAATGATCAGTGTTATTTCCGTACCCCTATTCAAGAGCGATGTACCTTAGTGTCCCACGTTATTTATGATTTGAGGATACGCATGAACACGGCACGCAAAGTGTCAACTCAAACACAAGGCATTTACATGGGCAGGACACATCAATGTCAGAAGGGATGATGATGATGGTTGACGGATAAGACTGGTAACGGAATGGCAGCCAAAGGCGAGAGCATGCCTGAGAGAAGGCCCACAGCGGAGATGGAGCAATGAGATCAATTTGCGTGCAGGAAGGAAAGATGGATTGTGGCATTCCAAGGCAGAGATATGATGAGGGAATGGGGAGGCTTTCATCCAGTAGTGGATAAAAAACAAACAGCTGATGATGATAACGATGATGTACGAATACATTTAAAAAAAATGTTTCTTACCTGCTGACCTTCCAAAATATCATCTGCAAAAAAACCCATTAGCAAAACATTATTATAATGCCCGTTTATTACGAAACTATCATCGAAGCACTGCAACGCTGCTGGACACGAGGTCTCTTTGTGCTGAAACAATCTCAGCCAAAACAAATCCTCCGCCCGCTGTCCAGTCAGCGGTGTAAATGATTTCACCACAGTTTGCCAATCGGCAGCGTGTGAAAGTCGTCCGCTAGAGGGTCTCTCCAGAGCTCCGTCTAGCGGAGGCCCTTCAGCCAGCGGTCATCCCAGGGCTGCGTCTTCACCTGTGCCGACTGCCTGACGAGTGACCGTGTGAACTGCGCGTAGTAGAATTGTCGAGAGGGGGAAGCTGCGAGCAGATCGAAGGTGGCCGTGCTGGCAACACGATATTCACAACAGATGCGATGTGCGGCTGCCCAGAATGTGCACATCGATCGACATGTGGTGCATTTCTCCATAGGGGCTGTTTAGTACAGCCGCTGCTGCCTCTGCTGAAGTGTTTACTGGGCACACTGTGTAAAATCAACACTCTTGTAATTACACCAATGCCACATGATTAACAGTGGCTCCGCCACACTCGCTATTTTTATTTTACCAGGTAAGGCCCACTGAGCTATATAGCTCTTTTTCAGAAGCGACCTGGCCACAAATGATAGCTCAACAAAATGGATTATCACGTCGAAATGTATAGTAGCCAAATGATCTAAACGCGTGTTTCTAAATGTGTAAGGAAAAACCAGAGAAAAATCCACACGACCACGGGGACAGTAAGCACACTCCAAATATACAGACGCCAGGGTCGGGATCGAACCCACGATCTCCTGTATACCAGGCGAGGTAGTTAACATCTCTCCACCTGGCCTCGCTTTGCGGCGCAGCCGGCAGTGTGCACAGAAGAATGATCCCAAAACCGACTCACGTCAAAAGCTACTGAATTTTTGGGAGGCTTAACCGGGCACACGTGGTGGTGAACTGGTGGCCCCTCCCTCTGTTAGCCCCGCCCAGTTTTACATAGCCACGCCCACTCAACCACTATCCCCGCCCACACAGTGAGCGGTCTCCTCACCCTGTCCGATGATGGCCTCCGAAGGTGGCTCAACCCATGGCGTAATTTCTCACTCGATATTTACCGGAACGCTGCCAGGCTGGCTAAGAGTCTGGATTATGGGTGTAAGGTACAAGCTATACATCTATTCATAATAATCCTATATTATTGTACCCTATATTGCTACAATACTATTAACAGGTTTATACAATTTCTGAGGACAAAATGGATGGATGTGGTGTGCCAAAGTAACAGCCGGAAAAAAAGTTCTGGACTGTTCCATCTTATGTTAATCACTGGCCCTATGAGACTGTTCCACGTCATCCACACTGAGGTTAACCACCACCACCAACCCTGCAGGGCACAAACATCTCTCTCTGCGTCATCCCTCGCACTGCTCCACCCTGGAATTCATCCCATTGCCTCTCCCAAACTCTTACATTGCTCTTGCTTAATTCAATTAGCGTGTTGACCTCTTGTCTATGGCAACTTCGACAGTGCTGTTTCTTGCTGGCCGCTTGACGTTTTGACCCTTTGGTCCCTGTGCTCAACACACCGTGTTGATGAAAAAAAAAACGATTCAGCTCACAACGCGCCACACAGTACCCGCTCACGAAGACAAAGGACAACTCGGAGGCGAGGGGAGGAACCACAGACAGCCGCGCGGTGAGCTGGTGCCAAATCCGCCCCCACCCCAAGCCCTGCGGTCCTCTATGTATCAAGGTGTTCCATGTGGACAAAACGCCGGAGCCCACGGAGAAAAAACCCACACGCGCGAGGGGACAACACTCTATCCCGTACAGACGGAACAGGTCGGCATTTGTTGCTGATACCGCCTTCTCTTGGAGAGCCAGGGGTACGGGCTCCTCCTCGACGCCCACCCCCCCACCCTTCCACGGGGAAGGGAGATCCACCAACCCTCGCCGGCACCCCCCCCCCCACCACCCCCCACATGCGCTGGTGCTACGGAGCCGCGCGCCCGTAGCCCCCCCCCCTCCCCGCCCCCACCTCGACCGCCACTCACAGTCGTCGAGGCCGCGGAGCAGCGCGGCGTCGTCCCCGTCGGCCGGGGTGGGCAGCGGGCGCCCGGCCGGTTCGCGCCCGCGCTGTGCCACCTCGTCCTCCGTGAGTTTGCGGATCTTGTACTTGACCTCGGACATGGGGAAGTGGTAGCCCATGCCGGCCGGGCACGTCTCCCGGAACGCGGCTGCGGGCACGGAGACACCACGGACGCACGGCACGCGCTCGTCACTCCCGCGGCCCGCACTCCCTCCCCACGTGGCCCGGTGTTCCACGTGTGTCGTGGACTTTAAGCCGCACTCACTGTGTCCCTCCGGGGGGCAAGGCTCGCAGTTCTTTCCCCAGGCCTTGCCCACGCTGCAGCAGCAGATGTGCTTGGTGAGGGGGATGGCGATGGGCAGCGAGCAGGAGCGGCCGTCGGTGGCGCGGTAGCACAGCCCCGTTTTGCCCGAGAGTAGCTTGTCGGCTGGGACGACGGCCGTTCGACGGAGCGTGCGTAGGGGCGTCACAGGGTGGGGAGGGGTAGCGACAGCAGCAGCGTTGTCACCACCACCATCATCATCATCGTCGTCGTCGCCGTGGGCATTGCTATCATCACTGGCATCGTCAGCGTCATCACGGTCGTGATCATTGTTATCGTCATTTACTTCGTCGTTAATAATCATTGATGATTTGCTTCTGATATATATAAAAAAACCTCAATTTTATTTATGTGTGCCATGAAATAGGGCCATCATGCCAATTATATATTTTATTGCTAAGGCCACACACCACACGCAGTGTTGTTCTTGGCGAATGTGTTTATATTTGTATTAATTGTGCTTGTGCACCACTGGCAAAGCAGCAGCGCGAGCATGAGCAGATAATGTTTTGTTGATCGAGCGTCGCCACCCTACACGTCGCGGCGTCTCAGAGCGCTTTACAGCGCATCCCATCTCAACGCATTGAGATAGACAACAGCTCCCTCCATCCCAAGGGCAGCTGTACCTGCGTGGCACAAGATGACTCAGCACCTGGCCTGCAAAAAATGAGCAGTAGGGGCCGATGCTTGCCACGTTTAGTCCCAATTGAGTCACTTGCTTGTCACGATCGTTTTCATTCCTTATGATCAACGTCGTGCTACGAGCCCGGAGATACCAATACGAGCGTGCGAGTAACTGAACCCGGTCCTGGGCCTCGCCTAGCTCGGCTCAGCCTTAAATGAGTGACTGGTGCAGTGTGTAAACATCAATGCTTGGGGAGACAAAGGCGGCCGGGCGTGGTGGTTGTCGGCCACACCACCCCCCTCGTGTGTCGTGCCGGCCTTCATAAGTGTTTGCTCACAGCACTTGCTCCAATAGTCTGTTTAAGGCGATACGGGGGGATCTTCGTATGGGTGTTGGTGAGAGATCATTTTGCTCACAGATGCACTGGTGGCTCGTGGAGTCGAAGACGTAGCCGATGAAGCAACTGCAGGTGTAGCTGCCCGGGCTGTTGAGGCACGTGGAGTTGGGGCAGACTCCGCGCAGCTGACACTCGTTAATATCTGCACAATCGGCGCGCACAAAGCGTGCAAACATTGGGCCAACGTCAACCAACGTTTACATGTTTACCAGGATTCACGCTCGTTCGGATAATCGGGTGGAGCGCCAGCCACAGCTTGCACGCGACGGAAAAGGTGCAGCCCTGCAATTGCTCGCTCATGCCACCGTTGGCAGAAGGGCCGCCACTGAACGATGCTACAGAGAGATCCATTTAGAGGGTCTTTTGTGGCCTACTCTTCCATTGGCAAGGGTGCGAGTACCCACGCTTTACCCCACCACACCCAACCTGCCAATCGACTCACTGCGGCTGTCACCCATTCATACTGCTGGGTGGACAGAGAGGATTTCAGAAACCCCCATCTATTGTTTCAACCGGGGGAGACCGGGAGTCGAACCGGCGGCATCTGGGTAGCAAGTCCCGGCGTGTTGACCACTGCGCCGCCGCCGTCCGGGGCACGCCGCGAGTTGAAAGCCGCAACGCGACCCTGCCCTGTTATTTCAGTCGGGAGCGTGCGCGCGGGTTAAAAAAAAATGGACTGTTTTTGCTTTGCGTTAAACCCGAGGGTTAAGTCAATAGCGTCGGAGTGGCGATTAGCCCCGCGATTGCCCGGGTGCCAGGTGCCGCTCACGCTCCTGCCCACCATCGCCCCTGCCCCCAACCTACCCCGTTTCGCATTGCTGCCCCAAACAAGAAGAAGAAGCCGCCCACAAATTAGACTTCGTTTCCGACCGAAGGTGGGCTAATGTTTTGACCCAGACATCGCACAGGCCCGTCTGCGCCGTGGCGTGTGCACAGCACCTGGCTGCCCCTCCCCCCTCGCCCCCCCCCTAAATCCCACCGGCCGCGCCCCCCTGAGCAAGCCCTCGTTGGTGCAGAGGGCTTTCATCTGCGCCGAGTTATTTAACATCGCCAGCCATGGAGGAAGCGCGCTAACGCGCCGCAGATGTGGGGACACGGGCGGTCCTGCTGGTGGGACGGTGAGCGGTGAGTCAAGGAGGAGGGAACTTCACGCCTGGGCTTGGTATTTAACCAATGATTCCAGAGGCCTCCACGATGACCACAATGAGGACGATAACGATGATGAACGCACGCGAGGATGCACGTCAATTCTGGGCCATGAGGATCGGGAGTGCTGCAGCGATGCTAATTGATGGTCATTCAACAGGCCCCTTTGTTACTTCACTGCGATGTTCGCAACTCAAACGCGCGAGAGTGGGACTTGGACACCAACGTTCATCCGTTGCGATGAACGACCAAACCTCGTCAACCCAATGAAACAATGCCCTGATAACGAAAGAGATTACAATGTATATACGATTAATTCGCATTCATAATATTAATTTACCGGCCTTTGTCAATACGTTTCTGGATAAAGGCCTCCTTATGTCCTGATGGTTATGATTGTTGAATCTATCTGCCCTGGGCTCTGACCCTAGTCTAAGGTGTTCTTGTTATCCCAGGATCACCAAATTTTTTTCCTGTGGAAATGGATACTTATTCCTGGAACATTACAAATTATGGTTGTCAGTTGCCTAATATTACACAACTACATTGGCGTGGAATTCTCGCCCTTCTTCTGGCATTGTCGGGTATTCTTCTTCCCACGATAAGTCCTGTTTTTGTTTTGTTTTTAATAACCCAGAGGTGCCAACCCCCCTGACCCCGTGCTGGCTGACACCGGCCAGCGACTCTTCCTAGCGGGACGCTTACAGCCACGACCGCCTCCCACCGTTTGCTCGCCCGCGCGGCGATTGTTATTCCTTCCCAGTCGCCGGGAAATACCTATTTAAAAAAGTATTTAAAAAAACCGCGGCAAACTGCCAAGCCTCTGCTGATCAAAGGCGAATGTAAAAACAAGGGGAGGTGGTGGGGGGGGGAAGAAGCCGGGATAATAAAATGAAGAGCAGGCCCCGCGGTCATTCGTCATATTCGGCGAGCTCTGGATAAAACCGTCGCGGCCCAGCCCATCGCAGGCTGCAGGGCCACCACCGGGGCGACCGCTGCGGTAGCGTCGGTCGTCCGTTCACCTCCGTCGCGTTGTGCGCACACAGCCGGCGTCAATGTATGCATTCATAGGCGGTGGGCAGGAAAATATTCGTTCTTGGAAGGGGCCTGACATTTTTTTCTCATCATAAGGTTAAACGTATTGGTTTTTTTTAATAGAAATTCAATATTTGTTTAAGTTAATGATTAGACATTTTTTTTGTTTATCTGACAAGGAAAGCGAGAAAGGGGTCAGGTCGTCCACGAGCAGGGGTGGACTGGCGGCGCGTCCAAAGGGGTCGGCCGTTGGACCGCGCTCGCTCTCCGCTATTGCCCGGTCCGGCGTCGTGGACGGTTCCACGCCTGGAGGCTGCGTGAGCACGCTCGGGCTGCCCAATAGGGCTGAGGAGCTACGCCCTGGAAGTTCTCGAAGAAGCCCTTAGCCATCCGGCACCTACGTATATTCTACCATGGCTTTATGCCCTCTCACTGCCCGTTAGGTGAGCTGAGATGCATCGACTCTTTGATTAAAGTAAATTATTACGCGAGAAATCCACACACAGCAATACACGCTAACAATTGTGCACCTTCGGTTAGCACAGTTGGCTATATACGGTGCGAAAGAAGTTCTACATACAAACATGCAGCATAGAATATCTTGTGTGTGTGTGAGAAATTATTTAGTTTTATAATTGTTGAATATAAATGGTGTTGACTTTTTAGTCATATATTTTTGACCATGTAAGGGCCACTGAGCGATATAGCTCTTTTTCAGAAGTGACCTGCTGAAGGAATTGGCTTATCACGTGGAAATTTACAGCTGCCAAAATACTCTAAACCCATGTTTCTAAACGTGGAGGGAGAAACCTCCACATATACAGTAGGCGTCAGCGTCAGGATCGAACCCACGACCTCCTGTAGGCTAGGCGAGGTAGTTAACATCTGGCCACCGTGGCGCCCAATGACAATGACTTCATGCTCCATTCACCATCTTCGAAGCCGCCCTAACACAATCCTGGAATCAGGTCTCGGTGCGCGCCGCTGCACGTTTCAAGACTATTATTGTTATCGTTTCGAGACGGTGCCAAAGAATGAAGTGAGAGGAGTAGGGTTCATTTTAGCCACAAGCACTTTGCGGAATGCGTTCCTGCGTCAACACTTTCGTATTATCCCACGGAAACACTTTCACTTTTCAATAATGGAACCACCTCTTGGATTACGCTGGCATCTCGTGAAGACGGTGAGCAGGGAATGTATGTATGTTGAACTGCTTTTGCACCGTACGTAGCCAAGCGTGCTAATCGGAGGTGCGAGGGAAGGAAAACAAACTAAACACAAACCGCAGTTCTTAAAAAAATAGTTTTTAATCGAGATTGAAAAGTGGCTTTCTAATATCGTTTCTCTCTTGTCTGTCTGTCTCTCTTTGACTTTGTCAAAAAAATGTTCGCAAAAAAAGCCTGCGAACATTTCCAAGGATCAATCCATCTTCTGTTTTATGAGCAACCCACAGATGGACGGACCACGGTGAGCATTTTTTACGAATATTTCTCGCAGGAAGCATAAGGCCGTGAATATACTGCGTCTATAAATGCCCCTGAGAAACGGCGCACCATTCATGCTGAGATGGTAGCTTTCCCCAGCCTTTAATAAGACGAGGATGAATAATAAACGTTGAGACAAACTACCGGCCAGTGTTGGTGCCAGCCTACTGGGGGCCCTAAGCAGAAATTATTTATTGGGGTGCATCACGAGACGAACAGACTCAGACACATTTGTGGAAACGAAGTTAAAATTCTAATTGTGATAATAAACGATTATTTTGGGGGGGTTTGTTTGTTGACAAGGATCTGATTTCCACTTGGTGTGGTCATATTTTTTTCTACGTGAATCTGGGCCCCCATTTTATTGAGCTTCTCTGATGCCCTACGACCTTTTGCTTCGTTTGCTTTCGCACCCCCCCCCCCCTCCTCGCGACTACCAACCGAGAGACCGGCGAATCCGTGGGCACGGCGCGACGGCGCGCCCCCTTAAATTTCTCCGAATTCCCTCGTAGTCGTCGCCGCCTAATCCTTTAATGTGCCCAAGACCACATAATTACAGCTTGCAGGCCAAAACCTATTTTCTCAAACTTCCTGCATTTTAGGATGCCCCTAACTCCCTTTTTTTTGGCAAACACGTTTATTTAAACGAGGTGGCGGGGGGCGGAGGGGCGGCGTGGGTGAGGAGAAGGATTAGCTAAGCCTTAAAAGCCCGAAACGGTGGCGCTTGTCGAATCGTTTTTTTTCCCCGCGTACACAATCAAGGAAAGGGCCGCCCAGGCTATCGTGTTTAAGGGCGGCTGGAGGTGAGCGGTGGTGATGTCTTTTTTTAATTATTGCTCCTGTCTGGAAAAAAAAAGAACACCAAGTGCTTTGTTCCCCTTTTAAACATCAAACGCATCAAAGGGCAGGTGCCTGCGTGCGTGCGTGCGCGCGCCACTGTGCCACGGCAGCCTTAGCTGCTCTGCATTTGACCGTTTGACCGAGGCCAGCCGAATGCCGTGCGGCTGGCCTTAAAAGGCGCACATCTTCCCGCAGCTGGAGAGATTCGTCGTAGCGCGCCAAACCCGACCGAAGGTCGCGTACGGCGAGTGGCGACGGACGTTGAACACGTTTGGCTTCACCCCGCAGGTCTTCCTGGCAAAATAAACTTCTATCAGAATGGTCACAAGTTCGCCTCCCTCCACTGGGTAAAACTTTTTCTAGGGGGGGGGGGGGCTGGAGTATAAGTAGGGAGGGGTTGCCACTGTCTGGGCTCGACCCGGACAGTCTGGGAATTGTCTTTTGGTGCTCGGGTTGCATGAATCCGTTCGCGCCGAGATCTGGCGCGGTGGGAAAAGGTGGGCGGCTCTAAGTGCGAGACCGCTACCGTGTGGGTCGGGGGGGCGGTTCCCGTGGATTACCTTTGCAGTGCGTCGAGTTTTCCCTGCGGAAGCCGTGGGGGCACTCCACCAGCTCGCCGTTCACCATGATGGGCTGCCCTGCAGCGACCGCGGACAGAGAGCGAGAGCGAGATAGGGGGGCGGGGCGGGGGGACAGTCGAGGGGGCCGTTAGTGGGCCCCGTGGCTCCGCACGACACCACGGCGTGAAAACCGCGCGCCCGCCTTCTCTCTTTCTACGCGGCCATCGTCGTCCCATCCGCTGCATAATCGCAGCGGTCGCAGCGGTCAATCCATGCCGAGTTTTGAGAGATGCTTCGAGGTTCCCCCGAACTGTGTCACCCAGCGCTCGGGCGACACTGGGTCTTGGCTCGCGCGTGTTACAAATCGCATTCTTGTGTTGTTATTGGTGTCATTGACCCGCCCCCCACCCGACGGGAGTCACGTCGAGGAAGATAAATGAATAATACCTGTGTAGACGTGACACGTAATACGTTGAACTTATTTCGCAACGTACGTATCCAACTGTGCTTATTGTAGACGTGATACGCAGTACGTTGAACTTCTTTCGCACCGTACGTAGTCATCCGTGCTTATTGGAGGTGCGGGGGGGGGGGGATAAACTGAATACAAAAAAGCGGTTAGAAAGAAATGAGTTTCCAATCTGAATGATTTAAAAGTGCATAGCTGCAGTGGCTTCTTAATATCGGAAGGGTGGTGCAGGGTCAACGGCAAGAATTTGGCATAAAACCACCACGTGGCCTAACCCAAAACCAGACGTGGAATCTATCTATGGGACTCTTTTCCCAGCATCAAGATTATGAGAAAAATAACAATAGGCTTTACCCTTTACGGCAATAATACAGGATGTGTTAAGATGTTCAGACATCAAAATAGACAGCTATTTCAAGGCACCAAGTTTGCATTAACCATACATGCTTGTGGCAAAACATGCAAACAAACACGCTCTGATAATGTACGCATTGTCTTTGAAACTGATTGTCCTTGACGGCTCCGTCTCTCCAGTGTTAGACCAGAGAATGGCAAAAAGGCGAACAGCACAAACGCAATGCACAATATCAAAGCATCAATAGCTTGGGTTGAGCAATCATTGCGCTGGCTACGGGGACCTACGCTTGAAGTGATGCCCTCGCTAAAAGTGTAGCAGCCACCACGTGGTGGCCCCTACCGTGTCCCAGACCCTCTCGTCAACCCTGTCACGAACGGTCAGCCACACCGTCAGCCACCGGTGCTCTTCCTCAACCGATCAGCATCCCAATCCACAAAAAAAACATCCTCATTCCTCACCCGATCCTGAAACAAATCCCGATCGCTAACCCCAAACCTATCGGCGACACTCTTCCTAACCCCCAACCATAGTCCCCCCACGAGCACAACACCGCATTGCCACGAGTGCCAAAGCCAAACGAGGACCGAAGGCTGCACAGTGACTGTAGGAGAGACGATGGGCCGTGGATCTTCTCTCTCGGTGAGAGGGGGCGAGCGACTCGGGTGAGAGGTGGCTGGGACGGGGGGGGGGGGTGCTGCCACCATGGGAGCTCTCTCTGGTCGGGGGTTCGGGGGTGGGGGAGGTGAGAGAAGGTGGTTGGGGGGGGGGGGGTGCAGCCACTCAGCGTCCACACGGGGAAACCCTTCAACCGCACGTCCCGCGCTCGCCGCGTGACCACCCATTCTGCCGGCGACCTCTGACCAATTGCGAAACGACCCAAAAGGCGTTTAACTTAATTGCTCAGAGCTATCAGACCGGCTAATTGCCTATCCGCCCCGCCTCCCACCCCCAACTCAAGTACCTCTTCCTAATTGAAACAGAGGCTCGCGCAGCCCACGGCGCCCGCTCTTGCCGTGGTGCTGTGGCCTGGGCGTCGGGCTTCGCGGGCCGTCGACACGCGACGTCTTCCTCGTTCGTCCACGTGCGCCGCGGTGGCTAGGAGATGTTAACTGCCTCGCCTGGCATGCAGGAGGTCGTGGATTCGATGCTGGCCCTGACACCTGCAGCATATTTGGAGTTTGCGTGTCTCTCTCTCTCTCTCCGTGGTCGTGTGGATTTTTCTCCGGGTCCTCCATTTTTTCCATCCACATTTAAAATCAAAGCGCGTTCAGAGCGTTTGGCTGCTATACATTTCCACTTCGTTGAGCTATCATTTGTGATAGCCAGGTCGCTTCGGCTAAAGAGCTACAAAGCTCGGTGGGCCTTACATGGCACAACAAAAAATAGTTAATAATTTTTAGTTTGCTAATGACCCGTGGCGTCGTCGTTGGTAGTTTGAAAAAAAAAACCCGCAAAATTTTCGTCCCGGGCGCAGTCCCGGCTCCACGGACGGCGCAACCCACAAGGTGGTGGGGGGGGGGGACCCCCCTCCGAGTGTGTTGAGAAATAGAGGGGGGTGTGGTGGGGATGGCATCAGGAGCCTTTCTGGTACAAATTAAAATTCTTCGCGTTTCGCCGGTGTAAAGTCACACCGGAGCGCCCGAGGAACGGCGTACACACACGAGGCGACGCTCGTGAGGGCCGGCGGTTGTGGCACAGCGCTGGCCCCTCGTAATGAAAACTCTCCACGTGTTTTACGCGACTGCGGTAATATACGTTTTTTTTTTCCGGATTATCTGGGTAATGTATATTGGACGCCGCATATGGCTGGAAGCGAAAGGGAAAAAAGTGAGATTGAAGATATTCCATGTGGCGGTGTTATGTCTCCCCACGATCTGCCTTTCCTCATGCCATCTCCGCCTCCCTCTCTTGCAAAGCTCGTAAGAGTCCGCCGAGATCCTGGGTCCGATTCCGGGTTTCAGCCGCCTATGATTAAACTCCCCCGGGGTTTTCAAGTGCAGCGAGATGTTGGTCTTAGCCCGATCTCCAATAACTGCACGAGAAAAAAATCCGCAATATTTCATTTAGTCCTAATTTGAGATACATTTTAGAGACGGGCATTGCTCTCGTAGACAGGGTGGGAAGACGCTATCCTCAACGGTGCGGACCACAGGTTGCTTGAAGAGATCTCAGGGCTAGCTCGGTGATATCCACTTCCGCGAGACATTCTCTCGCAACTGTCCCGCGAGAGCTCTGAATGACACGCGACGACAGCAGCGCGATCCGGATAAAATTGTCCAATAATGATAACAAGAGCAAAAAACATCTCGAGAGGACAGTCGTTTTTTTTTTCCTCTCCCGCGGACGCGAAACAGCGCAACGAGTCGCGGCGGGCGGCGTCTGCAAGTGATAGGTTCCGTCAATAAAGTTGTAGGAGAGCGTTGGGAAATTAATGTTGAGTCTGCTGACCGGCGCTGTGAAAGCAGAGATCCATCAGATCACTTCAAAAGCTGCTGGACTTGTTCTGAGCAAAGAGCAAATGGCCTGGGGCCTTTCGGTAAGACTGCGGGCATGGGAAGTGGTACAGTCTGCGTCTGCTGGGAATTTATTATTAAAAGATGTGCCAGATGTACCCCTCCCTCTCTCTCTCTCTCTCGCTCGTTCGCTCGTTCCGACGTGTTCGTACGAAATCATCTTTTTCTTATTCTTTTCTTTAACTTTGTTATCGTTTCTCAAAAGTAGTATTGTTTCACGGCATGCAAGACCAGCCCAAAGTGGGCCCCCCCCCAACTCCCTCTCCACCCCCCCTCCCATTCATAACGAGCATGTGGCAGTGATCATCTGCTATATATGTTGTGGTAAACTAGCAGCATAAATTCTACATTCCCATGACAGGGGAGGAGTGTATCCATAGCACAACCACCCTGTGACTTTCCCCACGAATGTCCAAGTCGACCCTCGACCGGGATTTGAACGTGCGACCTTCTTTGCTGTGAGTCGGGATTTGAACGTTTGACCGTCTCAGCTGTGAGTCGGGATTTGAACGTACGACCGTCTCAGCTGTGAGTCGGGATTTGAACGTGCGACCTTCTTTGCTGAGAGTCGGGATTTGAACGTGTGACCGTCTCAGCTGTGAGTCGGGATTTGAACGTGCGACCTTCTTAGCTGTGAGTCGGGATTTAAACGTGTGACCGTCTCAGCTGTGAGTCGGGATTTGAACGTGCGACCTTCTTAGCTGTGAGTCGAGCGCTCCAGCCATTTCTCGACCCACGGGAAGGGACACCCAATCGTCTATTTTTGAAAGCGGCGAATTCGAATTGCAAACTTTAAACAATCCCAACACAAGCAAGTAGGTCTCGTGAAGCCATCCGTGCGGCGCTTTGAGTGCTGTCCTCCTTGTGATCTTGATAGGTTTTCGCCTGGTGACTTCGTTTCACTACCACGTGCATGCGAAAGCGCTCGTTAAAGCATTCCACGCTCATTTAGTTATTTCGTTCAGGAAGAGGGCTCATTAACAAGTGCGACCCGGGCCACTAGTCTTCCAGCAGAGGTCGATGACTGCTTTGTACAATCTCAATTCGGACTTTTTTTCTAATTTGGCAAATGTGGAGGCTGTTGCCGGGACACGATCACCTACTCTCAGGTCGCCGGGTTCATAGCGCCTCCGATTAGCACGGTTGCTTTACGTACGGTGCCAAAGTAAATTCAACGTACACACATACATAGCGAACTGTGCTCACCACTGTGCCATCGCTCCCGACAATAACACAATAAGTGCACACACACACACAACTATGACAGCCGCCGGAGAATTAACTAGCAAAATAAATAAAAATGACACTCAGATGCCCTGCGCGGCAGACCGAGGTTATATGAGGCTGCGTGCAGCCTGAAGGTTGCCCACTTGGCAGCGTCTGGGCGAGACGTAGGCGCAGCAGGAGGGCCCATCAATTTAACGCACTTTTAACCGCCGTTCGTTAGCACCGGGGTCACCGATCTCCGACCATTGGACCACATTGTAACGCCGCTGCACGCCACACGTGGACCTGTGTTGAACTCCTTTCGCTAAACCGTACGTAGCCGACTGTGCAAATCGGAGGTGCGCGGGAAGGACAACCAATGGCCGGCAGCGTCTCAGTAATTCACCGGGCTTCTCCTGAGGCCGTCCACTGGCTCACTCGCTGACATCGACATGAATATATAAACATTGCCGATCAACTCCCCACCAGACGGAATAAGGAGTGTCTATTTGAGTCGATGGATGTCCGTGTGAGTCTATGGTGGGTCTCTATCTACTGTATGTCTGTGTTTCCCTACGCGAGTCTATGAGATGCCCGAAACATCGTCTGTCTCTCCTCTTCCAGAGGGATCATCATTACTGCGGTGGAAACAAACAAAAAGGTCGAATAATTGAATTTGGGACCTGGAATGTCAGGACCCTTATGGACAACCCTCAAGGTGAACGCCCAGAACGCCGCACCGCAATCGTGGCCTGGGAATTCAGACGACACGACATTGACGTGGCTGCCCTCAGCGAAACTCGGCGGGCAGGGGAGGGGCAGCTCAAGGCACAAGAAGGTGGCTATACCCTCCTCTGGACAGGCAGACAGGAAGAACAACGGCGGATGCACGGAGTTGGTTTCGCCATCGACAATTAACTCATCAATCAGCTTGACGAGTTCCCTATCAGAATCAGGGAGCGTCTCATGGCTCTGCGTTTCAAACTGGTGGGGAGTCAATATGCCACTGTCATCAGCGCATATGCCCCGACTCTTGATGCCGATGATGAAGCTAAAGAAGAATTTACGCCAGCCTTGACCAGGTCCTTTCTACCATTCCTGTGGGAGACAAACTTATTCTTCTCGGTGATTTTAATGCCAGAGTTGGAAGGGACTTAAACCTCTGGAATGGAACCATCGGCAAGGAAGGAGTGGGAAAAGTGAATTCCATCGGCATCCTGCTGTTGACGAAATGCACGGAACATGGACTCATCGTCACCAACACCCTGTTCCGCCGGAAAAAAAATACAAAACATCATGGCAACATCTGCGATCTAATCACTGGCACTTGATCGATTACGTCATTGTCCATGTATGATTCACCCAGACTGTTCGAGCAGCTGATGATTGCTGACTGATAATCATCGACTCATCTGCTCAACCATGTCCATAAAACTGGCTCCCAAACGTCGAAGGCCTCAAGGGCTCGATTAAGCAAGACCTCTTCCGCCAAAGTGTCAATGAGAAACTCAAACTGGAATCACCACCAGTGGGAGAATGTGGGCAGCGCTTGGGATGTCTTTAAGTCTACCATCATTAGCACCTGTAAAGAAGAGACACTTGGAGTCTCTACCAATACTCATCAATGGGTGCACCACCACCACAGTTTAGTCAATCGGCAGGTCACTCGTGGTGGGGTATTGTGGATAATTCCCACCTCTTCCAATACACCTTGTTAGCGTGGAAGAGTAGGCCAAAAATGGACGACATACTGTGTACGAAGGGTATTTACTGTTTATGTATTATTTTGTCCCATTCGATCCGCTCGTGCAAATGCAACATTTGTATTTAGTTTGTATGCATTTGTAAATCACCGATCCTTGCACCTGTGTATCAATACATGTGTCACGAGAGTAAGAATCACTTTTAATCAATGCATCGATATCCGCCATGATCTCTCCACTGCTGGACGAAGCTCAACCAACATTAATCTATTAACGGATGGACTGTTTCATTCGCAAATGGCTCATGCAATTCTCACACCGAACATTAGACTGGCGACCTGGTCAGTGGTGCCGTCACAGTCCACCTTCTGCTTCATCATTCCAGACACTCAGACCGATAGAACACCACGGCACAGCCCCATTACAGCGGTCACGACTTCAAGGGTGGTCCAACTGGGAGCGGCTACCCACCTTGTCTAAGCGTGTCACACGTCCCAGAAACAGATTAGCCACACGGGCCCCATTTTGAGCTCGCAGACTGCCTCGGTAACCCTGGCTTGGCCCAATCTTCAGGTCAGCGAAGCGACCAAATGGGCTATTGTGTGGCCGTGGAAACGCCGCATCAGTGCCATGCGAACTGCCCACCGGGGAAGAGGCAGCACGGACAGATGCTCGCGACCCTCTATAGCTGAACCCAAGCTGCCCAGTTATAATGGACGAGGCGACGTGTGCGATGCGCCGTTAAACTGTGAATGGGGATAACGGCAGCCCCTCGACGCTTTAAAGTGTATTTCTGCTCCAGATATGCCCGTTGAATAATTCAGACCCATCTGCCACCCGACAATCGCTGCTGTGCCACCCAGACACTTCCCATTCCGTGCAGCGTACCCCTTCCTCCTCTATCACCTCCTCCTTCTCCTCCCGCACTCGCAACAAAACCCCCAATTGTTGTGGCCGAGTGGGTTGGTCCCAGCGACTGGGTCACTCACAGCAGGGGACGAACCCCAAGTAACGACCCTCGGCACATCAGCTGGCATCGCGGGCACAACTAACAAATGGCACCGACTCGGCACGATTGATTATATTATCCACGTTTACCGGTGGCGTTTAGCTACTGAACATATTGCCATACGAAAGAATAGAACATAATCTTCTGGACATTAATTGTGGTACCTGTGCGGCTATACTTGTGGGAAATAGAAATTTATTTTCCGTCACTTCTTATTACTCGAATCAGCAGAAAGCCACGGAGAACAATATATCTCAGGGGACAATATAAGTGCGACCCTTTGTGTTGGAGAACGGCCCACGGAAGTGGATATCGCAGAGCTAACTTCTGACTTTTCCTCGGAATAAGGGGCAGAACCTGGATTCGAACCCAGCGCAATGACCTTTGATTAACCCGGCCACCTCACGTGGTGTTTCCTGTTTTAAAAAAAATATATATTTTGTGTTTTGTCAGATTGTTCCCGATGACCATCAGTAAAGAAAATGTTGTTGTGTTTTGTCATAGCACCACTTTGGTATTCCGAGCGGAGAGCAAGTCAAACGGTATACATCAAAGAGATCTTCGGCAAAAGCAATTACAATGTTATTCTATAATGTATGCCCTTCCTTTTTTCTCCGAAGGAGTCAGTCGATTTCTGATCGCCAGGTGTCCAAACAATGTGGAAATTACTCTCCATGAACCCGTTTCACGTCGGATGACGGCGCACGCGACCATGGGTGTCTTTTTTTGGCAAGGTCTCAACGCAAGCCGACAGGGAGGGTAATGCAAACAACTTGGTTTCGCTGTCGAGCTCAATTGACTGTGCTTGAAATGAAGTAAAACCCCAAGGCAATCATATTTAGCGATCTGGTATCATACCTGTCAATCTATACGATTTACTCCGTATTCTTATACAGGGAAATTGAGTTTTCAGGTCCATACGGCATACCGCCATTTAAATACGGGCAAAAAAATGTCTGTTTGTGTTTCTCCCTTGTGATGGGACTTTGTAGGATGCACGTTGAGGTTTATAAGGGCAAGGGGTGACCAATAAGGCCTGAATTAAGGTAGGCACTGATAAGGGGTTGACAGGTTTGTGGTATACGAAACTTAAGTGCATACTTGCCATTAAAAAGGATCTATATTTGAAGCTTTCGTGACTGCAGAAATTCATACTCTCTGGTTCTTTCGGTAAAGTAACGTAGGTATAAAATAAAATTAAATCACGACGTTTCGACTGCAACACAAGCAATCATCATCAGGTGGGAAAACCACAGCAAGAAATATTTTTATTTTATTTTGCCGAAGTGGGAGAGAGATGCCGTGGTAAGAGGTTATATAGGTAAAGAGAGGGGGAAGGGCAAGGGAGGGGAGGGGAGCGTTGCGTGGACGCTAGGATGGACGGGGGGAAGTGGGCGGGGCAGGAAGTGGGAGGCTGAGAGTTGATGTCACCGTATAATGCCGGCTTTAGAGGCACGGTGTGCGATGTATTGACATCGCAGGCACCACGGATATGTGGGTGCAGTAGAGGGGCTCGGTGAGCACTGACTGACAGAACTGGATGGCACCACGCTCTGCGTGCAGGGCCAACCCCGACAGGATGGGGTGTCAGGGTGACGGCCACGGGAATGGGGTTACTATAGGCCGTGGCACTCTGGTTGACCCTAGAGGACACGTGACCAGTAAAGTATACACAGGGCCCCCAGGTGGGGGGGCTAGGGGTTGTCACGTGTCAGGGTCGAGATCCTGCTCGAGGGTTCCAGAAGGTGGTCGTGGCTAAGGACGGAGCCAGCCACGCCACAGAGGATATAAGCCGGGTCCCCGAGAGGGACCGGCTTCTGTTGTTCATCCTGAAGAAATCTACGTTCTACTTTCTACGTCCTACAAGAGTCACCAACACGTGGACCTGGACCCAAGCTGGGGTGCGATCCATCGTAGCTAGTTCCAGTGTAATTAGTGCAGTTAGCCTGGTGGTCCACCACCGTAGGTTATCTTGATAAGGGGTCGTACCCGTGTGTTGGTTTTAATAAATGTGTTGCCTCCAAGAAGTGCGTCTGCGACTCAGTTGAACTCACTACAATTGTGATAGACCACTCAAGACCGCCCATTCTTGCCCTACCGCACCTCCGATTAGCACGGTTGGCTACATATGGTGCGAAAGAATCTCAAACATCATACACACAAGGCAAAGCATTTACATGTAGTTCTCCCCACTTCCAGTATTGTCAGATAGTCTTCTTCCCATGAAGGTTTTTTGGCATGTAAGCTGGTCAGAGGGTGCGACGCTTACCCAGCTTCTCCGGACATCGGTTGCACCGGTCAAGGCCCCAAGCAGCCCCGACGCTCCCACAGCACACCTCCTGCCTCGTGAGGCCTGGCAGAGGCTTTACACACTGTATCAACAACAACAACAACCAACAACAAAGTGTTTGTTTGCATTTAGTTATTGCTACATTTCTGCCCTGCCCTGCTTTTACACATGTGTTTAGAACTTTGTCGCAATTCAGCTGAAATGTAATGCAATGGGTATTTTGTGTGTGTGTGTGTAAAGTCATTGTTGACCAGCTGAGCCCATTAATATGCTACCACTTAACAACCCGGGTTTCAATCGTGGGTGGCTGAACACCGGATTTGAACCAAGGTTCTCAGCGGTGCTGCTCCAGTGCTCTGACAGCGCCGTCAAGACCCCCACCTTGTTGTCTTTGATGTCCACGTAGCATCGTCCCAGCATGGGCGCACGGGCTAGTATCCTGGGCTGGGAAGGATCAGCTCCACCCGCAATGGCCTGGTCCCTCTCCTTGTCTCGCTGCTGATTCCCACCCAGCGACGCGAGCGAGGCGAGTGGGCGGATGCGAGGGCTCGGCAGGGGGTGTGGCGGCCGGTGGGCCTGGTGGTGCGAGATGTTGAGGCCGTCCATGAGGCGGGCCACTTGGTGGATCTGCACCGTGGCCTCGGGCGGGTGCTTCACGTGGACGTTCACCAGGTCCGGGTAGCTGGGCAGGGACCCCGGCGCGGACACTGCCAGAGCGGCACGCGGCGAGAGAGAACGGACGGTGATGCACCTTCAGCCGAGACAGAAGGTAACGGGCACGTGCAGAGTGTGTGTTGCTCGCAGGCAGTGGGGAAGGCGCAAACTCCCATGTATATGCCTTGTGTGCGCGTTGTGTGACCACCACATGCATTTAAATCTGTAAAGGATGAGAACCCCCCCCCCCCCCGTGACAGAAGAATAAGGCCGAAAAATTGTTGTACAAGCAATGCACATCTGTGTGTGTTGTTTGACAGTTACATTGCATGGACACTGCTGTAAGCTTTGTCTAGACCACAAACTCAATTGGGATAAAAACTATTTGGCCATCCCCTTGTAACGGCAGTGAGACCGAGAGTCAACCAAGAGCACTGTCTATGCAATGTGGTGGTCTCATGGCACGCACACACTGGAAGGGGGGGGTGCGTAGTTGAGGCGACGTCACAGATGTCTCGGCAGCTGAGGAGATAAACTGAACTTCAAGCTAAACTATTTTTATTTTACCAGGTAAGACCCACTGAACTATATAGCTCTTTTTCAGAAGCGACCTGGCCATGATTATTTATAGCTCAACGGAGTGGTTTATAATCACGTGGAAATGTGTAGCAACCAAACACTCTAAATGCATGTTGATTCTAAATGCGGAGGGAAAACCCAGAGGACCCGGGTAAAAATCTACGCGCCCACGGGGAGAACACGCACACTCCAAATATACAGCAGGCGTCAGGGGTCGGAATCGAACCCACGACCTCCTGTATACCAGGCGAGGTAATAAACATCTCAACCCCCTTGGCGCCCATGATGAACAGGGCCCTCACCCTGCGTCGAGTTGCCGATGGTCGACAGCGGGAACATGTAGACGGAGTGACTGGGCTGACTGGGGCGACGGCCACCAGAGGCCGCCTGGGCCTCGCTCCCTGTGGCGGCCTGCCCGTTCACCTCGTTGGTGAGCGCCGGGATTTGGCAAAACTTTCCCGTGAAGTTGGGCGGGCACCAGCACTTCTCCCTGGCAGCGCACCGCCCGCCGTTGTGGCACGGGATTCCGCAGATCACTGAGAGTGGGAAAGAAATCGTTGGTGGCAGGCGGAGGTTTTCATTTCACAACAAGTCGTGGCATCGTTATCATGATGATAATAATTATAAAGGACCATGCCCTGTATATACCTAAGGAAGTCGTACCGAAGCTCATCAGGGCGTTTGGCCAATTGAATTGATGTGAGTTTGGCTCCATGTGGGAGGTTACTGGAGTATGCAGAGAACACCTACGATGCTTGAGGGGTAACACTCAAGGAATCCTGCTGCTGTTGATGCTGATGCCCACCTTGCAGCCCTGAGTCTATAAGGCCTGGTATTCCCAGACAGTCTCCCAACCCCACTGATATTCCGAGATCTGATATGATCAGTACCATTCATGCTGATTTGGTCAAAAAGACAGATTGATCCTTCGGATCGAACAACAATTCGAGCAAAAAGTTTCTTCAAAAAGCCAGGTGTTATCATTGCAAATGCTACCCCTGGCACTTAGCTCGTGGGCACGCGTGTGTCCGTGCATTCCATCGCGATAGATGCCCGTGTGCCCAGATGGGTTCGTGGACTAACGAGGATTAATTTTTCCTTGCGGGTCGCGACGCTGCCCTTGCACTGTGAGTGGCCCACGAGCAGTTTCTCCATGGCGGTCTCCATCTCCGCCGATCTCCTCTCCCCCACCCCCCCCCCCCCCCCCCCCCAAAAATCGTCGGTGCACCGAACGCCGAAAAGAACATGTATGAAGCGATGGCACCGTGGGGGAATTGACGCAGCTGCTACCTCCTCCACCGCAACAGCGAGCGTCCATCGCCGTTCGCTTTTTGGCTCAGAGAATCGGCTGCCGCGTGCGCGTGCGCCCGTGTATGTGGGCTGTCAGCGCGGCTGCCAAGATGCGAGATTGCTGGGCGGGTGGAGCGGGGGTGGAGTGATATGCGGCCAGAAAGATAACACTGCCGCGTGCGTTCATGTCACATGCAGAATATTGGCCTGCTACCCCAAAGGTGTCCCCCAAGGTGGGTGGCGGGGTGGTGGGGGGGAGACATACGGTCGGACGTTGTGCATGCCCGACAAGAAAAATGGGCAAGAGATAATTTGGGCTTGAGGTTTTCACATGCGATGCTCTGCGACGCATCTCGGGCGTGCGCGATCCTTCAAGTGCCGCGGAGATCTGTCGCTTTGTAAACTACTACCATTGTGTGGGCTTCCTGCCAGCACGTGCGACACAGCCGAGGTTTAAGATTTCGCCGTTCAGCATGAGCACAACGTGCAACGTCTCCGCACTGCCTGCGAATTAAAACCCAGCACGTGCCACTTAGAAATAACAAAAAAATAAGTTAAATAAATAATCCGCCAGCGGTAAATGACATGGTGAAATTCTGTACCGCCACTGGGGTGGTCTGGATGCAGTTCACTACCCAATGAACAAGCAAAATGAAAAAAAAACCCTTTGGAACCCCCATAACAATTATTAATATTCGCCCGGGAAAGCCTCACTGAGCCTCAAGTTTCTTTTCCAGGACAGTTCTGCAGTGGAATGTTATGGTGATTCTATTATTGAGTGAAAAAACCAAAGCACCCAGAGAAACCTCACTACCCTTACGAGGAGATAACATTCAAATTTCTGCACAGTTTTCTGGATTAAAGAATCCACTGCCAACCTCCTGACCACCTCGCATCCCAAGCCTACAACACCTGTTACTCCCGGCAAGTGCCCTATCCGAACGCTGGTAACTCAGGTTTGAACCTTGAATTGCTTATAAAGTTCCGACGATAGCTTTACAGGACATTTCCCACTTGAGTCTACGGTAGAACTGGGCCGCGGGCTCACACACCGATGCGGAAGCCGGACCCGTGCTGCGGGAAGATAGTCTGGCCGTCCTCGGCGATGATGGTGGTGACGTTGCCCTTGGAGCAGGAGGTCTTGCACACGGAGCCGGCGCAGTCCAGCTTGCAGATCGTCGGCGTGAACACGACCTTGATGCGCTTGGGGACTGGGACCGAGTAATTTCCTGGCAAAAGGCAGAGGGATGATCTTTGTCACAAATATCGGCATCATCATTGTCGTCAACATCATTCCACCAAAATTCATCATATATCCATCATGATCAGCAATGATCATCCAGGTAAAGGTCTTCCCAAGAATTTCCCATTTCTAATTGTTTCGTGATGCAGCAATGCATGTGGCTCCTGCACTGATGTCATAGATCCATCTCAGTCATGGAAGTCCACTCGGGCATGTTCCCTCCTCAGTCTCAACCATTGGCCATCATCTGTGCTCGTGACCTGCCGCCCATGCCCACTTATATTTTTTTACTAACAGCCAAAATGAGGATCCCTCTAACTTGCGTAACAACGAAAATCAGCGTGCCGACATGTTCACCCACTGGCCAGGCAGCGGTTTTTTTAATGCATCCCAGACCGACGCCATGACCTCAAAAACTCCTCACCGTTCTCGTCACCGGGCCTGGGCACGTACTGCAGACCCTGGGGGTCCCCATGGTTCAGGCGTCCGCCGCCCCGGCCACTCAATAAGCGGTTCAGCGCCTGCCGCCCGATGATCCTCTGCCTCACCAGCCTCTGCTGGGGACCCAGGTGAGAAGGTGCTCCACCTTGAGCTGCCTGCCCTTGGCTGGGTCAAGAGGGAAATACAAACGAAAGTTACTAAACTAAAACAATTTAGTATTTTACCAGGTCAGGCCCACTGAGCTATGTAGCTCTTTTTTCAGAAGCGATCTGGCCATAATTGATAGCTCAATGAAGTGGCTTATCTAAACGCATGTCGATTCTAAATGTGGAGGGAAAAACCAAAGGACGCGGAGTAAAATCCGCGCGACCACGGGGAGAGAGAGAAACTCGCAAACTCCAAACGTACAAAATGCGGCAGGGTCGGGATCGAACCCACGACGTCCTGCATACCAGGTGAGATTTTTTTTTATTGAGGCAATACGCGGGCCCATTACATCACGTTCTGACACAAGTATATACCGTCAACATAGACTAAACCGATTACATAAGGCAGAAGATAGACAGATGAGGAATGGACCCGCTGCCCCAAACCAGGCGGGGTCCCACCGGTAAGGGTACCAGACGAGGTATTTAACATCTCGCCACCGCGACGCCCCTTCGAGTTAGATCAGGGGTGGGGAACCTATGGCATGTGACTTCATTTTCACACGGCCTACGGCCACGTGAAACCTACCAGTTCAAAACGGTGCCCTCCCCCCTGCCGAGTGATATTTATGGGGACTCCATCTTGAGGGTGAGACTGCCTCGGCCAGGGGTCAGCAACCTGCGGCTCTTTAAGGACTGATTCATGAAGATGTTTATTTATGACCGCGTCTTGTGTTCACAACATGCATTGCGGCTCTTGAAATATTGAGGGTTTTTTTTCACCAAATTCGAAAAAAATGCCTCTTATATTCATTTTGTTTCCCTGGTCGAGAAGGATTGAGGCGGAACGTCTTAAATGAGGTTGGGGAAGGTTGTGTCCAGCATCACTGAAAAGAACAGTGACCCAGAATCTTGCACGGAGAACCTAGGAGACCTGCCTGGAGAAATGAGAGAATATTGGAGATGCTAGCAAACCTTTTCAGAGTCCCTCCGCTGACTCTGCCTGGTGAGGCCTGTGAGGCCTAGTGCCTCGTAGTCAGCCTCACGCTTGCCTGTAACTGCATACAAGTGCTTAATCTCTTTCCATTAACCAAATGCGACCTTGTTAGGTGCGCACCAATTCGTTTAATACAGTACCAGTGCCTGGAGAGGCTTGCGAGTAGATCTTAGTACAAGGTTGCAATTCCAGCAACGGGAGAAAGCCTGGGAGCCTATCCCGAGTGCCACTGAGCCTCACAACCTCGCCACCTCTGTGACCCTGCTCAGCTCGTGCCCCCCCAGACCTTCAAACCCTGCCATCTGCACAAACTCTGCTTGGTCTGTGCCGAGACCACCTTCGAACCTTGCAACCTTACCACCTCCACACACCGTTGGGCCTGTGGCAATACCCCGCAAAGTCTGTGACCTGTGCAGACCTACTAGACCCCGTGTCCGAGACCAGTGAGATTCAAATCACAACCCCAAGACCTGTGAGATTCAGATCACAACGCTTCTTTCATGAATGTGCATCGGCGTCTGCTGGACTTTGATCATTAGCTATTAGGACCGTGTTGATCTGGTTGCAACCTAACCGAGTACCTTTGCTGTTTAAAGTTGATCTTGACTATTTGACGAATGGTGTATTCATACTCTTTGGTTGCAGTCACGAAAGCTTCAAATCTAGAATGAATGTTGTATTGTATTGCCCTGCAACGCCCAAAGAGCCTTGAATATTTCCCTCGTGTTGATCTTTGCGAACCCAAGTATTTTATTTGCTTGGACTATCGTCCTGGCAGCCCTGCAGTTTGAGATGAAAGCAACCGAGACTTTGTTTGTGTAACTTGCACTTTTGTTTACTTTAATTTGGAACGGTGAGAATTCTCGTGTTCATCGGTGGCTGTTTGCTATGTCTGCTCTCATGGACCTCCTGCTGACTCCACCTCGTGTGGGTTTTTCGGAGTTTCTCTAATTTTAGCCTTTTAGAGGCGACAGTCTCAAAACCTGTTTCGACCCTCACATGGATGTACACTCAGATCACTGCAGACAAAATAGTGGAATATTGAGAGGTGAACGAATAATTTAGAACATATTTAGGAAAGCGTTTGTTTTATTTGACTATGACCACATCAACAATATGATTCTGGAAGAGACTGATACGAATGAAATGTACCATCATGCCGGACTTTTTCACTGGGCAGAATTTCATGAAGTTGCCCGAGCTCTCACTAATAAATAAACAAATATAATAAAAGCACAGGCCATTACATTAAAACAGATGCAAAGCGGCGTGAGCGGGCACGTCGTGTTTATTTGTTACTCGTCACCCGGGCTCAAGTTAGCAGCGGCGGTTAAAACCTTTTTCAAATTACATTCCTGGCACCGGGGAAGGTTCCAGCTTCATCAAAGCGGCGATCTCAGCTCCAGAGCCATGATGGCTTGAGAACAACATTCTTGTCTCCATAAATCAACACTGAACACTCGGTTAAGCAAAACACACGCTCGCACAAACGGGTTCATCTTTAAACGTTACATCCTGGAGCTGGGTGGAGCGCGACAAATAAAAAAAGAAGGGGGGCTAATGTTTACAGAAATGGAGCCACCACTTCGGGGCTGACGCTAACAAGGCTAATAGCCTCAAAGCGAATGGAAGAATGCACACTGTGTGTGGAAAGCGGCTACACATGGCACGCACCCTGCCAGAGTACACCCCCATAATGCCTTCTCGGTGGCGGTGACAATAAAACAATAACCCGAGCTGTCCCAGCCCAAAGGCGGGTCAGAATTATTCAGGGGAAAAACTGCTTGCGAAAGAGACAATTGAATTACCCCGACGATTAAAAACGCAACGAGGCGACAAACGTCAGCGACGGGGGGCGGTCGCGAGCGAGCTCCAACGTCCGGCGCGATCTTCAAAGTCCGACGTTACGCTCGTGGCCATCGCGCATTCTCCGCTTGCCCCCCTTTGAAACGGAATCAAGAAAGGCGACACTTAGCATAGTTTCACCGAGAGAGTGCCGAGGCCTCAGCACGCGGAAACACGGGCTCGGGCAATCAACATGCCAGAAACTGGAGAGCTGCTGTAAAGTGAATAATCCCGGCACGTTCAAGCTTCAAGTGCGTCAACATCGGAAGCACACCGGGGTGCGGTGGGGTGGGGAGGGGGTGCTGCACGCACACCAGGAACGTGGCGTATAATAGTTTATTTTTCTAGACACATACACGCACGAACATCAGCTTAATTTTTTCCGCAGTTATTTTAATGCCGTGTGAAGCGATCGCCCCCCATCCCCCCACCCTCCCAAAGGAGCCTTCTTTGCACCTTGATTATTATTACATAGCAAAAGTTACAACGAGCCGCTGGCAGGCTTTGCCCTCGAACAATCACGTTTAGGATTCAGTGGATTCAGTGCACCGTACTTTTTTTATGGGGTGAGGGCAGTGGGAATGTTTTAAAAATGCGGCATCAAGGAAAATACCACTTGCCTTGGTGTTCGAATCAAATAATTAACAGACTGACACGGCTACAAAATTGCTGTGAAGGTCATTAATGGGGGTTGTTTTGACTATAACTCACAATGATAGTATGAGTTAGGTTGAAGAGGAGAAGGGCCGTGAATGGCTTAGATGCGACTTGCCATCGATATTAGCCGTGGCAATGAATCAAACTCAGATCGTAAGAGCTTGTTGCACGGTGTGTCTGCTTGTGCGTCACTGCTCACCCCAAACTTCCACTTCAATGTTAGGATTATTATCAAGGTCCACCAGTGAAACATTGCAGAAAAGAGGAATCAATTGAGTCTTTCCTTTTGGGGTGGCCCATTTATCGATACCCCATTACTTTCTAATGACCCTGATTTACTTTTAAACAGGCGATTGAATATTTCGATAGCGATGGCTCCGTATTCTACAGAGGAGAGTGCTGAAAATGTTAACATGTGTATCAAGTTTGGAGGGAGACGTGTACATGGAGTTAGATGCTTTGAAATACAGTGTTGATTTCTCTGTAATTACACACTCAATTTGGTGGGATATCTATAAATGGACAAATTTGGCTTCGAGCATTAATAAGCAGACAATTACGCCTCCTTCCCATATCTGTCTCCCCACATAAAAGGGTTAATTCCCTTATCATCGAGACTGGTGGGAGATGTGTCAGGAAGCTTGTGAAATAAACAAAATTCAGTTTTCTCCATCATTAATTCCCATAGTTTTTGTTTCACGAGGTATATTTTAATGGATCGCCCTGCTATCTTATCACGTGAAGGTTGCAACTGCTGCAAAGCATTCAAAACGGCCGTTCGTTATCCTGAACCAAGTTTATCGGCTGCCACTTTCTCGTTTGCTCAAGCATTTGGGCTTGCAGGCAAAGTTGTCCACTCAAGCAGCACACCCCCACCCCACCGCCCGCGCGCGCGCACTTTGCGGTTATCGGAGACAGCGAAGTTAACAAACTTTGTTTGTCAATGTGCCCCAGACTCGTTTCTGCGGGTGAATGACGGCCGCCGCGAGCGACGCCCCGCTACGGGCGGAGATTCTGGAGAGCGTCAATCGGGCCCAATTATCTAACCGCCTCGAAGAGTGCAACATCTGTCAAGCTCGCGAGAGCTCAGTGTGGGTGCTCAGCTAATTGCCGAAAAGCCTGTGGCCGCCTGCCGATAAGGACACTCACAGCCTCCGTCGCTGCCGCCACCCTATCTGGGGATCAACAGCCCAGGGGGGGGGGGGGATGTGTTTTACAAGGTGCGCGTGTTTCACGTGGACGTGTTGTTACCAGAAGCACTCGGCGAACGCCGTTCCAGATCGAGCACAAAAACTTCGCCCACCCCGACCTCCCCCCCCCCACCCCCCACCCACCGTAGTGGTCGTCGGGGGCTAAACAAAACTCCGCACAGCCAGGGTGAGCACGCCGGCACTTACCGCGCTCGAATCGAGTTTATTTATTGAACACATTTACCCAGGAATGCGCTCTTTAAGGCGTCTTAAACGTCCCGTTGCACAAAAGGTGTCCCCGGGGCAGCGAAAATAAAGCTGTGCAAGCCC